CCCAATGGAGCTGGGATGTGTTAGCACAGTATGGAAAAGGGATACTTGTTTCATGAGAAATACTAACGTAGGGAGTCTGAGAGGAATAGGTGTCAGCGTTGATATTGATATGGATGGTTTGAAACGTACATATAGAGCGAGTTGAGGATCCTCTGAAGCATCAGAAGGGCTCTGTGGAATGTCCATTTGTCTTGAGTGGATACATGCGGGCTTGACGAAACGTGCATGAGGCTCGAGATGACGAGCTCTATTAAGCCGGAGATACCAATTTTCGTCATTGATAAATTTCCGAACACTGCAAAGATAGTCAGCACCATGGAAAGGTATCTCGAGGAGTTAATGTGCCCTACAAATTAGGCTCTTGTCTATCCTGACATGCTCGTCGGATGACTTGGGATACCCAACCAGTATGCGTATACGGCACGTGGATCCACATTAGTTTCTCAGTATCAGCCTCAGGTCGATCGAAACGTGGAACCGCTCGGGGTATATCCGGTCTGTCGGCATTTTGGTTAATACGATCGCGAGTAGACTTGGGTATTGCCAGGAACGGCGATTGTACTGGTTGCGATGTAGAAGAGCTCCTATTATCTATTAGTTTAGGGTTTCGGCTCAAGTTTCGGAATGTGATTTTCTTACGAAGGTGGGCGTTCGATACTTCCCTGGGAGCTGCTATCAGAAGCACTCCGACGATGAGATCGTTTGAGCGGAATTAGCCCCAGCGCCTTGGTGAGTGAGCTCTTTCGTTTCTGCTCCTCGGGCGGCGGAGGACTTTCACCCCGCGAGTCATTTAAGTAGCCCTCCCTCTCTGCTTCGGTGATGTGGATCTTTGGAGATGGACCGGATGGATCATCAAAGCTTTGCCTATAGGGTAGAGGAGGCCGTAGAGGCCTTGGCTTCTCATCAGGGTGGTCATGATGATGGTCATGTGGATCCGAGCCAGGGGCAATGTAGGATGAGCGAGGACTATCAAAACTGCTGATTGACGAATCGTCCAAGCCACTGGGCTGGACTCGGCCAAGTCTTTCCCGAAGGCAAACTGATGGACCCCGAGAGAGGTAGTCTTCCAGGGACACCGTGGTTGACCACAGCTTGAGGGGAGTTTCGTCACTGACGCCCAGTGCAGTATCCTCAAAGAAGCCATTAATTTGAACTATGACTTTCTGTTCTACGCCCAAGGGTGTATCCTCGCGCTTTGAGATTTCAACGGCAGTGTCAACGGCATCACCAAGCTCTTGCAGAAATCTATCTCGTGTGGACTCCTGGCCGTGGAAAGTTGCTGTTCCTGTATGATCTGTCGCCATAGGCAGTTCTTTTTCATGCTCAATATCCAACAAACCCGACCGAATCGAAGTAATGGGAACATGGAACTCGAGTATGTGATTCGTCTCAGCGTCGGCTACATGCATAGTTGAATCCACAGTTTCAAGAAAAGACCAGACCTTCATATCGGCCGAAAGGGTCTTGAACTGGTTTGACAGGTGCCATAGCCGCTCTTGGCGTGGACGCAATTGCTTCCTGAGCGCTACGGGAGTCTCATGCTCTAGATGGAGGAGATGGCGAATACTGGCAGCATACTCATCGGCGGAGAGATAGGTCGAGCCTTGGTGGGGAGTTGCAAAGAACGCGATGCCATGACAGCTGGTTAAGATCGACTGGCTTGGCTCTCGTGATGCCAAGGCTAGAGCTGCTTTAACGACAAGACCGCCGGTGCTGTGGCAGATGAGAAAGATAGGACGTCGACTTGGCTGATGATATTTTAGTAACTTCATCATGATTATGTACGAAGAAACAAGACGATAACATACCTCATGTTTCCGCTCACTACGTAGTTGGTTCAACAGTCGTTTACCTAAGGTGTCGATTGTATCGTCACGCAGGTCTCCATAGTTGTACAGCAGGACTCGTGCGCGAGGCAAATGCTGTAGTAGTTCAGTATCAAGCCAGGATGATGTCGCCCCATGCGCTATCCATGTCTTTCTATGATGGGCACCGATAGGCGGGACGGCGACAATACTGAGAAATAAGTTAGTATCTGCATAAGATTATATGGAAGATGCACTTACTCAACATTAGTATCTGTTGCGACAGCAATATGCTCGAACCATGAGTGACTGTGGCCGGTCACGGGTGGCCGCGAAGTCATATTGGCGACTCCAGTTGAAGATAGGACAATTAGAGACTCGAAGAAAATAGCGGAGACCAAGTCGCGAGGCGATCTGACCATTCTTAAATCTCACAAATTAGGGGGCAGACTTCAGCCTCATGTTGGGGTCCGGATGATCGCGCCCCGACACCCTAGTTTGCCCGCTGATAGTCTGCCCACGGGCTGTGTTGTGAGTCAAATGTCTTGCCATATGGGCTATACATATGTATTATATATGTTATGTATACTAAATATTATTATATGTTCAGAGAGAGAGATTTCCATTAATTTATATACATAGAAACACCCAAATTCCAAATGCAAATGCAACCACTCTATAACTCGGCTCATGCGGTATCATCAGAAACGCCATAACAAAAATAAAAGTGGAGAGAGACCGCGCATATGCATTATAATTGTACAAGGGAGATTATGCGTCCGAGTGTCGCCGTTCGTTGACCTCTCGGGCCATGCGCTTTCCAAGCTCATAGGTCGAGATCATGATGGCGCAGGCCGGGGCAACTTTTAAACATCGTGCCGTCCAACCACGGAATAAGCCAGCGGTGCCTTCTTCACGGAAGATGTGCATGAGGAATTTTGGTAAGGATAATTGTTCTGGCGCCAAGATGCCGGGGGGTAATGCCGTGCGGGGGGCGGCGCCAGTGAGAGGGACATCGTCCAAATGTCGGAAAACTTGCTGTCGCGTCTTACCAACATCGAACGGAGTTGTAACAAGTGCTGCTAAGGACCCCGAAACACCTCCAGAGATGAAGCTATCAAGGAAAGCTTGGAGACTTGATTCTTCGGCCTCGTGGTCCAAGCCCGAAAGATGAGGGGTTTTCTGGCGCGCCGCGATCAGCGCCTTTCTCACCTCCTCGTATCCCCACCAGTAGAGTCCGGAGAACGGAACATCGCGCCACATGGTAAGAGTGAACCCTCGCCAGAGTGAGCTATATCCCTTTGCCTGTGTCATATGGTACAAATCCTTCACAGTGGCTTTGAAATGGCCCGCGCCCGTCCCCGGAGTTGCCTGGAGACGCGTCCGGAACATCTCCAATGGACTGGTCGCAGCTGCAGCCGCGACGCGAGCGAAGGATCCAGCTATCAAGGGCGCATATCCCTCAGACACGCGCTGCTTGATGGGACTTCGCTCATCTGTGCGCAACCAGTCATAACCAGCAAAGTAGATGACATTGGCCGGGATTCCCATCATCAGGGTCGGGCTCAACCCTCGCCACAGTGTCAAAGTTCCTTCATTGCGCGCGATTTTCCGTAGTCCGTCGAGGGTGGATGTGAATGTTCGCCGCTGTGTTTCTTCGACCGCGCAATCAATTACCGGGTGTGGATGGGTTCCGACCACGGTCGCCTGAGGTCCTAGCATGCACATCTGGGCATCGTTTCCGACCCAGAATACTTCGCGACAACAGGATGTGATACCGAGGTTTGGAGGGAGGTTTTTCAAGGTTTGGGTGGTGTGGGAGGTAAAGGGTGATGTGTTGTGGACCTGGGATTGTGACTGTAAACGGACTCGTACGACATCCAAGGGTGTCACTGCGAACTGTTAGTGCTGGGATTCCAAGGATCGGGAGCCGTTCCGACTCACCTAGAAGACCTGTTAAGACATTGCCGGCGGTCGCAGACACCATCCGCTGCCCAGGAGTAATATTATCTGTTGGGATAGGGCTCTTGGGCGCGGGAGGAGAGTCCATCGCCGATGTAGTGGCCATTGTTGAATCTTCAAACTGTGCCGCCCATGACGTCCCTAGAGAGGCGTTTGAGTCTGTGCCGAACTGATTGCCAGTGGCGTCGCCTGAAGCAAATTCCACGTTCGGCATTCAATCAATTCGATGTAAAAACAGTTCAAAGTTCTCCGCGCCTGTGTTGAAAGAAAAAAGGATGCGTCACCGGAAAAAGGAAGTTTTTCGGGGTTTCGCGGGTGGCGGTGGGCGGAGATAAGCCTTTTGGGGGAGATTTTGATGATTTGGGGAGATTTGGAGGGGCTGAAGGCACTTGAGGGACGTGATTTTAGCAACTTTCAGTATTATTCATCTTTAATGAGTTTCTTTCTATGACAACTAGATCTGGCTATTTCTTTTTTAGGCCCTTTTTCCACACGGGCTTATCAATCTGATCTGATCTCCGAGGTCGGACATGAGGCAAAACAGGCTACTTCGGCTCGACCAAAGGGAAGATCGATGGTGGACCTTGTGCAGTGGGGGTTCTGCAGATTTTAAATGGTTGGAGTATCGTTCTTTCATGGATTAATAGGTGCGAATAGGTGTAAATAGGCGTGTATGTTGAGTCTCAAAATTGAAGTATAAAAACCGAGCCCGCGCATAGCCGACTATAACCCCATATACTACTAGCATTGAACCCTAAGGATACATTCGGCTTCCATTATTCTATAGAACATGCTCTACTCCGTATCCTCGTTTGTCTTTCCTTGGCTTAGATGTATGGGCATTCCGTGTCCCGTTTCTCGGCCAACTGGTGTTCTCTATCCTGCTGTTTACCAGAAGCATATTTTCATTCGAGCCCCCAATTATTCCATTCTGGGCGATTTCATAATCTACTATTTCAAACGGCTAACAGTATATAGCCCAGTAAACAACTCTTTTGACTCGACCAAAAGACAGGCTTAGCAAACTTGCTGTAAGCTGTCAAATTCTTAGGAATAACACTAGCCTTAACAGCATCCGCAAGAAGTCAGCTGTGTTGTCTAACTATCTAAGAATACATCAACTAAGTCATCCCATAGCTGCTTACGTTCTCCGACACAGAAACAGAGACGGCGAGATGAAATTACTCCTAAACCGTCAACAAAAAAAAATCCCCCCCCCCAAGAGCAACCCAACTAGTCATCATCAGTGTCTGAATACTCGAAGCTGAAAAGGTCATCTGATAGTGACTTTCGCCGCGCCTTCGTTTGGTTTGCAGCTAATTCCAGCAACATATCTGAATCAGCAGACGTGCTTGACGCCGCACCATTCAAAAGCGGCTTGTACTCGTGACCCAGTTCTTCCACCAAAGCTAGCAGCATATTCCGGGGAAGATAGCGGCCAGGGGTCCCCCAAAACAACTTGCCATTCGTGTCATATAAAACGTTAGCCACATGGTCCTTGGCGGCCTCGGTCTTGTCAGTGTCTTTGGTATATTGCCAAGCCCTTCTCAGAACTTGCACACAGTAGTGAAAATAAAGATATCTTGCGGCGGGTCGAAAGTTTGATCTGAAATTCAGACGGCGATCCTCAAGCTTTCTATAGGTCAAACCTGACTTATCGTCGACCATGTCGTCGAGCTTTTTCCAATCCTGGTCCAATATCTTGACCTTGAATTCTCGTGGTTTGGAACTCAGCCAATACAGCATCTCCGAAACCCCGGCGTTTTCTCCAACGTCTGGTACAATGGCCATTTTCCCACTATCGAAGTAGCGTTCAAACTCTAGACTGACCAGGAGTCCATTCCTGGAGGAAAAGATGTCACCCCCTTTTCCAAAAATAGCATCCATTGTTCCTTGTCCATGCATATAGCCGAACAAATGTGCAGCAACAACCATTTCGGACGGTCGCCATTGGTGTGTTATTGGGCACCAAAGCCAAGTTTGATCGGGGTGCTTGGCATTATATGCCTCAACCATATCTTGCTTCCAGTCACTCTGGGTATCTCGCTTGCGTTTGCCAGCGCCTGTCCACGAGATATTTATGCCCATCTTCGAGGTTGTGAATAACCGCATAAATGAGGCTCTTAGAGTCCTCTGCGTCCCCTCTTCGCGAAGTTCTGCGGCCCGGGTCTTGCATATTCTCTCCGTCTGTTTATGCGCATTTATCCTCTCAAGGATTCTTTTCGCCTCCTCAGTCGCCTCCCAGTCGATCTCTTTACCAGAGAAGCTGCCTTGCGAGATCTTGCGGTCTATAATCTCTCGTTGTACTGACAACCTCTCGATCTTTGCAGCTTGAGACCAGTAGTTCTGGTCAAACAGACCTGAAGGCTTCCATTCTTTGCGGGCAAAAAGAATGTCGCGCTCGACATTGACTTTTCTTTTCTTCAACACCTTGATCGTATCGGACTCGGAGGTTCGGAGTGACTCTACCGGGTTGCAGAGGTCTGCAATTAGTGGATGTGAAGTCATCTTGATGAGTATAGAAGGGGTTGGGCTTGATGGATGGATGGTTAAAGAATGAACATTCTAATGTTGCTATATTTACTAAACAATGCAACTTTGGCAAGGTACGGGGTATGACTGAGAACTAAACCACATACGGAGTAGATCCCGTCATTATTATCCAATACTCGAGACCAGCTGCCCAGATGCCACCCATCGAACCGTGGACCCGTGGAAGTTTATTTACTGGCCATACCATGGATGTACATGTATATATTCAAGCTCACTAGGTATGGACAACCTGCCATTATGGGCTATTTGATGCTGTTGCGACGAGTCATGAACAAAACTGAAGCCCTGACATGCCGCCGGAGCTTGTAGAAACATGCGCCATGCGTCAAAAGCACGCATACAAGTTATCATGTAAAACCAGCCAGAAACATATTTCCTTCATCTTATATTTCTTCCAGTACACGACAAAAGCGAGACTAGGATTTCCATCCGATACCCTCACGTAGAATCCAGCATTGTCCGAAATATGCCGTCTTGCTCACGTAACTCTTCTGGTGTGCCCACCTGCACGACCCGGCCTTCCTCCAGTACCACAACAAGATCCAAGTCCAAAATGGATTGGATATCATGCATCACAACTATCACCGTCCGTTCCCGAAAATTGTCCGTAATGACCCGTCGGATCACCTTCGTCGTTTCCACCGTGAGATGGCTCGTCGGCTCATCTAGGACAACAACAGAGCCCGTACGAAGGAGGGCACGCGCGCATGCAAATAGCTGACTCTGCCCTGCGGATAAGCTCTGGCTTTGGTCGTCAAGCACGGCGGATAGCCCTCCACGTTCATCGATCGCGTCCCACAGCTGTACAGTCTGCAGAGCATCAATGAGCTGGACATCATCGTCGCACAGATCCTGCTGCTGCCGCTGACACCCCAGCAGAAGGTTTTCACGCACAGTCAGCCCGGGGACAGTATAGCTTTCCTGGGCAATACCAATGAGCGCAGCGCGTAGGGTATCTGGATGCAGATGAGCAAGATTCAGCCCATCGATTGTCACGGTGCCGTCTGTGACGCACACCATGCCGAATAGCGTCGCCAAGAGTGTGCTCTTCCCACTACCCGTGCGGCCGCAAATGCCAAGTTTTGTGCCAGGCGGGATTGTAAGAGAAATGTCTTGCAGAGCTGCAGGGCCATCGGCCGTATATCTAGCGGTCAAATGCGTGATCTCGATGTGTCCCTGTGTGGGCCAGAACGATTGAGTCTGGGGCAGCGTAGTAAGGGCGTCCTTGGAAGAAGCCTCTGACTGTGCAGCCATAGCATGATGGTTAAAAGCCTCTAGCCGACTCACAGATCCTAGAGATATTTCCATGACTGCCCATTGAAGTACCAGGAGCTGTAGACTCTCACTTAACGAAATCACATTTACAAGGGCAAGGCCGATCAATGCTGAGCGCGTGCGTAGGGCGATCGCAGTGCCCACAACGAGGACCGCCAATCCAGCAGCAATCATGTCCAGTACTAGCGTAAGCCAGCGTTGCAGCATAAAGCGCTGGTAGTATGGTCGCTGTGATGCGCTGAGGTGGCTTTGGTATGCTGCTTGTGTCCGATGCTGCCAGCCAAATGCACGAATCGTCTGAAGGCCGTCAATAGTTTCTAAAAAGTGGTTTCTGCACTCAGTTAGATGTGGATTGGGTTAGAACGTTGTGAAAGGGCTGAGGCATACAGGAGGGGAGATTTAGCCTCAATATCCATAGAACGTAGTTGCCGTGATGTGCGAAGATAGAACCGCTGGATAGCAATGACGGTGGCGAATATGAACGGGAACGCTATGAGGAGATAAGGGGAAGCACTAGAGAAGGTTAGTGGATGTTGATACTCTCATAGCGCAAGTCACAGCCCGTACCTGGAAATGATTAATACTTGTGCTAGTGTCCCCAATGCACCTGGATTGGTCAGTTATTTGCTGCACATCTGGAGCAAGCATTCAATAACTTACCCTCGGACGCGTTGAGAAATGTCAAAGGCAGTGTCCAGTCAACCAACTGTAAATCTTGGCTGAAACTACTCTGGATGTTAGTTTTGATTAAGCCAGTGGATGAGCGGTAGCGAAGGGAATCCATCTGTCCCTTATCCCCAACCATATAGTCAAGGAGAGGAAGGAGACACAAATAAACAGATCTTACCGGTTTGCAATAGACCCTGTGCTCATTATGCTGAAACAGGGAAAGGGGAGACTGTTCAAATGTTGCCATTAGCTCGAATTTTGAAAATGATGTGGAGTACAGATCCTTACGACATCACCGCGCTCAGGAGACGCGTATGGAAATAGCGGCTCGCGTGGGGCATAGTAACTCGAAACTGGTGGCTAAATGTTTTGTTAGACATGATCCTCAGTATCCCGTTGTTAAATCTACTCACAACGCAGCAACCAACGTAAAACTTAAACCCAGAGCTTGGAAGACACTGTATATCCCGATATACCTTGCATATAGCCGTCCCATCTCCTGCGAGTTACCATCGAGCCACCACTGGAGCCACACAGCTATATCTTTGTAAGTTATTCTGTCTCATGTTTGGGGAATAGGACCCAACGGACTCGGAAATTTGGAGAAGAAGGTCTGAAGAGTGAGTAGTGCACCCAAACTCAATCCCTTGCAGAGACCCATTGATTTGAAATACGATCTATAAGGTGATCCTTTCGCTGAAGAGATTTCAAAGTCGTTGCTCTTGGATTGCGTCGATAGCTCTTTCGATGCGACAGGCTCCAATGGAGAGGTGCCTTCTAATGTAGGTTCAAATTTCTCTTCTTCGACAGCGCTGAGACTATCAGGAAACAGATGTGACATTTGTCGCATTGGTCCATGCGCCTTTAAGGCTCCATTATCATCGAGAATGATTAAAAAGTCGGCATAAGGCACCAAGCGGTCTATAGTTCACATATTGTTAATCAAGTGACCATAGCACCATGACTGCACGTACCTGTGTTTGAAGTAATAACCACAGTCTGGTTATTATTTCTCATCAAACCATTTGGGCCCAGGAGACGTCGAACGACGGTTTGCTCGGTTCGAGAATCAAGGGCACAGAAACTATCATCCAGCATGATAACCTTTTGCTGAGAATATGCGGCCCTTGCTAGAGACTATTTGCATCGAAAATGTGAGTCCTGCATTCTTAGTAGAGCCATGTTGTCAATAATTGCACATACGATCCTCTGTTTCTGTCCTCCACTCAGTGTAGCGCCACTACTTCCAACATTGGTAAGATCATGCTCCAGCATAGACTCGAGGTCACGTTCCAATTCACAAGCCCAAACCGTTTCATCGTATAATCTCCTTTGATAATCTTCGAGGTGGCCGGCAATATTAGCTCGGATAGATTGATTCCCGATCCACGGCGTTTGATCACAGTAAGCACAGCAATCGAAGCCTCTGGTGGAGACCCCTTGAGAAATATTTAATTCACCAAGTATTGCCTTCACTAAAGCCGACTTTCCACTACCGGTCGGCCCCATTACCAAAGTCACCTTTGACCACGGGATATTGATAGTCAAGTTCTGGAGGGCAGGGAAAGAAGAACCTGGGTAAGAAAAGGTTGCGTTGTGAGATGTGAATGCAAAGGGAGGCTTTGGATTGCTTTGGTATTCCACCAAGGGAATACTCAAAGCAATTGGTTGTTTTTCTGGGCCCATTGTGAGCTGTGTCTCAGATTCTCTGTCCACGATGACTTTCCGGTCCATCATATTTGGCTGTTTGAGGAAATTCTCCACCCGATTTAGACAGCTAAAAGCTGCGATGATAGCAGGTATTTGTTGAAAAACAGCCGCAAGAGGCGATGTGACAAGGCCAATTAACGACATAGCTGTGAATATTCTGGCAGTACTGGAACTGTCCCAAGTATTATGTTGAGTGGCGGCATAGATCACCAGGGTAATAACGGGAGATATCGCGGATGGAGCATATGCTTATGCAAATCGTCAAATCAGTACTCTGTGAATTTGCCCAGGGTGGAGCTCATGCTCACCTAAACCCATGACCCACACAAGTAAGCCTCGATAACTCTTGGCAGAATCCAGCTCGGCATCTCGAAATTTGAAGATCATATCGAAGATAGGTCTACCTAATCCGGACATCTGAATGATCTTCATGTTCGATAACATTGACGTGGTAGCATCTATGGCGATACGCAAGACGAGATCAGAGATGCCAGATGGAGATTAACCACCTTGATCATGACTTACTTAGACGTGTCTGGACACTTTCTAGCCATCCCTTCTGGCATATCCCAACGCGCTGGGATATCTTATAGGTGGCCACCGCACAAACAGCCGCGACAATCATAGGAGCTATACAAGCTACCCCTACCTGCTGCTCCAAGAGCCAGGTCCCGATCCCAATTTGAAGCAAACTTGAATACAGTTCGTGCAGCTGATCCAGCCCCGTACATGCCATTTCAATATCTGTGCTGACAAGTGATACGGGTGTCTTTTTCGCATCCATCGGATGGATTGAAAGGGTTTTCTGGAAGACAGCAGAGAGGAGGACACCACGAAGCAGGGTGATGAATTGCAGCTGAAAGCGCCAGTAGGCGCCAGTTGCAATTGCTAGACCGATGTAAATAATGCCGTATCCACCCAATATACCATAGCCGAGATCTTCTGCTGATGTGTCTTCCAGCCACCGAAGAAGTTTGAGCATTAGTATTGGTTGAAGTAAGGTGAATGTCAAAACACACAATCGCGGAATAACCGGACACACCAGCCTGTGCCAGAAGGATTTAAGGATTGTCCTCACAAGACTGTGTCGGTGTGCTTTCTCTTTTTCGAAGATCTGTGTGAATTGTGACTCCATGTTCGTAACAGTACAGCTTTTCGGCAACTGGTTAAGATCACTCAGTGTGAGGACATTCTTGAAGCCGGTCCAAAGGAAAGGAAGAAGCCAAGAAAAGAGACCATTGCTGAATATCCCACCAGTTTCTTCCGGCGACCGAGTTTTATCCTCCTTGTTGATGAAGTATTTTGCCTTCCTTGAAGATTCGACAGTCAACAAAGCCAGCTTTACGGCAAGACTCGACGACGAAACAATTTTAAGTACAAGCTTTTCAGACTTGAGTAGCCAGAGGGTCCGAAGAGATGTTGCATCAAGCAGGACTGACGTAGAAAGGTAGGTGAGCAGGAGACTAGATGGACGAATGGTTTTGGTGTGCTCCAGGTGAGAGAGCACGCAGATCAAAAGTACATCTGCTACAGAAAGGGATAAAGAGGCAATTGAACTCGGCCGGCTGTTACTTCCCAGTCTAATTGATAACACAAGCAAACACAGCTGCAAGATGCCCAGAATCGCCCCGAGTGACTAGCTGGATTTTAACATGCGCAATTTCATTGTCCGATGCTGGGCAAGAGACTTACCTGCTTGACCCAGCGAAGCGACGTCGCTGAGACTCGATACCTTGCATGATAAAGATGAACAATGCGAGCAGCAGCACATAAAATGAATAACGATGATGGTAGAATGGAGAAAATGCTTTGTTCGAATTCGACGGTAAAGTCAAAGTTGCGGCACTGAGCCTTGACACGAGGTCCAAACTGGTCATCCGCCGATAGACAATCACTATCATTCAGGAAAGTGAAGGTCTCCATTGTAGCCATTCTGTCCTCTGAAACTATTAACAAGCCAGGTTGGGCAAAAGGGGGTGAATGGTAACCATTTAATTTGAGGTTCACGTGTTTTGAACACGCTAACCGAGATCCTGACTAGCTAATAAGCCATTTGGATAAATATCGTGTCAATCCAATCACAAATCTGGCCGTTATCTTCCATTCAAGGGTTTAAGGATGAACCAATCATTGGTGTTATCTGCTAACGGCCTAAAGATCCCTGCAAACTAACTAGGGTGGTAGTTTCCTACCCACGCCGTCTTTAATTATGCTAACTTAGCCTCGGGGTCACCAGGGGCCAGGGGTTAGTTTGGCCGCTAAAAAAAGACATTCCCCGCCCATAAGACGGGACGGGACGGGACGGGGCGGAAAATCCCTTTCAACTCTTGGTGTCTGAAAATGTTGAAATGTAAAGGGATATGAGCGGCAGTCTACAACCAACTGATTGTTTTAGGGAGTGGAAGCTGCGAATAAAGAGCAGAATATACCCATATATATGTAGATGAGGTTGTCGGGAGTAAGATAAAGTTATCGGGTACGGTAATGTGGTCGTAGATAGCAGGAGAATTTTCCTACCTCTGGGATACTCTTGATGAAGTGGATGTCTAGGCCAAGGTGTGATCGCCATGGCCAAAGTTTAAACCCAACACTGCTCGTCTTGGTGTTGCTAGTATGTCGCCTCATCCATGCATGCTACAATTTTACTTGAATCTTTCAATCTGTCCTTCATATCGGGGGATTAAATAATGTGCGAATTGCTTTCAATGATTTATGATTTTGAGACCTGGAACAAGGTCGACTAGCAGTAACATTTATGAATATAATACATCCGACACCATACTCCACCACATGGTTCTTATATCAATCCTAATGTTTCTCACAATTTATACAGGGCCCATATTCTTTCATTGAGAGAGATCCCACACCATTTGAACAGCCATCAAGCAGTAGTTAAATCGAAGGGCCAATAATCCGGCGCACTGTTTGAACCTCCGGGGATAGGCGTTTCAAAGCCGAAGCAAGCTCATCGGCAGCTTGGGCCAAAATACTGTCCGTCAGCGGCTCTAGTGCATCCAGAATGAACAAAACCCGCGAAGTATCATCCGTCAAGGCTGTCCGTGGACCCTGTCGCCAATTCCATCGACGGCAAGTAATGCCACTGTCATCACACCAAACCGGCTCCCCCGGTGCTGCAAGTTCCGTTTGAGGTTTCCCTCCAGAAAAAGTTTGGAACTCCTCTTTACCCGTAGCGCGGACTAGGAAGGGCGATCCATCGTATTTGTCAAGATCCTCACCTCCGAATGGGATCTGGTACTTGACAGAGATGGCATTGTAGATGTCGGTCAGGCGGTTGACCCGTGGCAAGCCATCCTGCGCGCGCCGAGTCAGAGCCTCGAGGCTGTTTCGCGTTTTTTGGGGCTTTGCCCCGAAGCCTTTGTAGGCCTCGCGCCATGCAGCGATGTGTGGGAGTTCGGTAACAGGACAATTGGACAATTTGTCTTTGATGGAGTTTTCGGCCTCTTTCAAAAGGGCCTCGCTGAAATCATCGCTTGGGCCGGGAGGAATACCCTCTACCACCATCAAGAGGGCACGGTAATCCGGACGGAGTTGGAAGATTTCTGGAGCTACATGCGCAGCCTGCAACAGCTTTTGTGCGACTTGCGTCCCGCTCATGACTGCGAATGAAAGTAAAGGTGCTGAAGATGTGCCTAATTGTTGTGAACTAGGTGTAAGACAATAGCGTAGTCGAGCAGGCTTTGGAACAATATAAGAGGGATAAGTCCAAAATAGCGCGGAGGTTAACCTAATATACTAGATCGGAAGGCGAATTAATTGTGATAAACTTTTCATCGGACTACTACTATATAAAGTAAGAGAGTGATTTGGTGGATTATAACAACCCCTTAGACCCTCTCCCTTCAAGTTCCTAAGGCGGGAAATAGTGGATATAATGTTTTTACAATGTGCGCCTTCAGGGCTGTTGTGGCAATACTGACATCCGAAAAGGGCAGTTGCTGGGAGTGGGGTCGATCAAGGGAATGTCGGTATCTAATTGGCTGTTTCCATAAGCCTCATGAAAATATACTCTTTGCTTTGAAGAGCACCTAGGTATAACGAAGGAAGCCTTCAAGAGCTAAGTTTGGGTTTGATGATAGATATTGCTAAATGTGTTATACGGTAATTAGGGATTAAGCTGAAGGATGATGCCGTAGCACATGGTAAATATCTTCCTCCGTCAAAGTGTTCATTCAATTAACCAACTATCTCATCATTAATTGACCATACATTATCCATAACTGCTTATAAGAGCTTGTCCCTATCAATCAATAACTCTTTTCCTGTGTTTCATCCAGCCTAGAAGATTATGAAAGTTATAGAACCCAAATCTCCTACTCAAATACCAAGCCATGCTGCATAATTCACTGATCTCTGTCTGGGTAAGCGTCGTACAACCCATCGGCAACGTGAATGTTGCTGTAAGACACTTCACCCTCTCCGTTCTGGAAGAAGCGAATCTCAGTGGAGTTTTCGTACCAAGGACTATCATATAGTTAGTTTACGTTCTGTGAAAATCGAAGGCAAAAGGGTAAGGGAAACATACCGGACCCAGGTAGACAACACGAAGCGAGAGTTGGCGTAAACCTCCAGGACAGAGTTGTCAACAACAACTGTCAGGCTCAGGGTTTCAATGTGCTCCCCGACTTGAGTGGCGTGAGAAGTGTGGTTCCCTTTTCCGGCGTAGCCTCCCTGGCCGCCGTTACCACCAGGCCCGCCGTGACCACCAGAGCCGCCATGGCCACCAGAGCCACCGGAACCACCAGAGCCGCCATGGCCACCAGCGCCGCCATGGTCACCAGAGCCGCCGTGACCACCAGAGCCGCCATTACCACCGGAGCCGCCGGGACCACCAGGGCTGCCAGGGCCCCCGTTGCCGCCATTGTTGCCACAGCTGTCGTTGATGTCAAACAGACGAAGGCGACCAGCTTCCGGTGACGTATCGATACCGCTAGTCGTGTCTGCAGCGGCACTCGTTTGGGAGCGATCGATCATGACGGACTCGTTAGAGAATTGATAATAGATGGTGGTGGACTCAAACTCATTGGCCAAGATCTGGAAACCGGCTTGCAGGTCAGAAGTACGGGTGTTGAAGCTAATCTCAGCCTCGAGAATAAAGAATTTAGTTTCCGGGGAGCGGGTGAAGGGAGTAACACCTGCACTGGTGGTTGTCTGGTCCGGTTCGGTGAAGCTAGGGGCAGCAGTCATAGCGTCGTACGTCTCCCGGGCAATATCGATTCCGAGTGTTTCGAGCTCAACACACTCGCCCGCTGAGTCGGAGTCAGCAGCCACACGCCACGATGCAGTCTCCTTAACGAGATCGTTGTTGACCACGTTGGGAATGGCCTTGATGTACAACTCGCGAGCCGTCAACAGTGTGTTTTGCCATCCTTGCTGCTCAGCTGGGAAGCCAACAACTCCTCCGAAAACATCTCCAGTCAACCAGACGTAGCTGATGAAGCGATCAGGTGCGCCGCTGGCAGTAGAGGCTTGGGAAGATGCGGGTACAACTTTGCCGGCGGCCGCGTAGGAAGCCAAGCCCCAATCGTAGACACCAACCATATCAGGGCTGAATGTCACATTTTCGCCCTCAGGGATTTCGATTGAGCCTGCTGCCCAGATCTGGGCATGGAGTGAGGAGACCGACTCCTGAATGGGCTCGTATGAGCTCTCCACGGCAATGGTCAGGAAAGGACTGCCGTTATAGCTGTATCCCTCTCTGGTGAGACCGAAGACGTTGCTAGTCTCGAAGTTGTAGCCAAAGGTCTTGGACCAGTCGCCATTTCCCCATGTTGAGTTGGCAGGCTCATGGTACCATTCACCGAGATACTCCCACTGCTCGAAGTCGGGGCTGGTGTTCTGGTAGAGGAACAAGCCAGGGCCGACGTCACGGACACCGCCTGAAATGATGGTATACCACGTATTCTCCGCATTGCCAAGGGTTTGATCGAGTTCTGCATTTTGGAAAACGAAGGGGTCACGGAAACCCGTCACGTCCACGTTTGCTGGTGGCTCGGGAATCACAGGCGGGATATCTAGCTTGGTGAAGTTCTTTCCACCGTCGTAGGTGACCGCCAGGGATTGTGATTCACTTCCTCGGGTGTAAGGAAGCGTCCAGTGGATTGGCAATGCCGAGACAGATGTGTACAAAAGTGTCGGTTTGCCGTCGACTCCACTAGGGATGACAGAGCCATCGAAAACGGCAAGTGGGTCGTTGGGACCGCCAGCCACGATGGAGTAGTTGCCATTAGGTCTCACATCGTAATAGTGGACAAGATCATCTGTCAGGACAGCGGCAATTCCCGTACCATTGTGGAGAAACCCGACATGGAAGGACCCTGTCTCGGGATCAGTGTAGTGTGCACATGGGTCACCAATCTGGCCGTTGGGTGGGAGCACATGGGTATGCGGCCTCCAAGTCTCGAACAAAGAGAGTGCGGGGAGAGTCGCGAGGTCTGGGGGTGGAGCGTTGTAGTCTTGAGCTGTGGCTCCCTCCCAGATCAAGGCTAAAACCGATGCCGCCGTTGTAGCTTTCATGGTGATGATGACGATGAAGCTTTGGTTGGAGAATGGTGGCAAGAAAAGTGTTAGTTTACAACAATTGTAGTAATATTTATACCTTATAATAGCGGAACAATACCCCCTCACCAATCGTGCAATGTTATTTTCAGAGAAATAATGTACATTCTAACCCCCTGGAAGATCTTATCCTAGGGTACCGTCGAGGAATTTCAATACCAGCAAAGGAGAAGCCATACATTTGGCGTGTTGGACCGAGAAAACAAACTAAACTAGGGGGGCTGATTGTGGAATGTAAATGAAACTGTCCCAGTAGCGCCTTCATTCTCCGGAGAAATGAAACAACAAAGCTATACAATTTTGCCAAGACAACAACTATACTTAAATGTAACAGCATTGGGAAAATCAAAAGGAATGAGGTTTGGCGACCAAATCTCATTCCTTTGAGAGCAATCACAAAAGCCAAGTGTATTTGCATATTTCTAGGGTGTCGTAGACATTTAAATTGTATTGTTTTTTAGTAGGATTGTATCAGAAGGTTGGTCCACGGGGATATCGAGGTGCATGGTGTAATTTTTGCTAATGTGTCGTATATCGCCCTTGTATAACTGAGTAAACAAATAATAGAATGTCTATACTGTGAGGAAGTGTACTATCTAGTAATTTAAGGTTCTAACAGAATACGCATGTGTAGATACGTACCTCAGATATATATCTCCGAACCATGTACCGAATTCACTGAATGTATAACAACAACTTATAATAATAAAAATAATACCTATGAATTCGTAATTGTTTAATAAACATAGCTATACTATATCTACACAGCTCTCCTGTTCTTCAGTCCGTATAGCTCCAGAAAGGAGCCCCACATCATGGCTTCACTAGGTGATATGTTTTGGATCCTGTAACCTGATAATTCTTCGTTGGATGACAGTCAGTGAGATCTCTGAGTTCATAATGTATGCATAGGAAGTCATTCGATGTTATTCATATTACAGCTATACCTACTGACTGAGCTATATGCGTTTAGCGATACTGCCCTGGCTATGTTAACTTCCGGCCTCTGCCTCACATACAACCCTGGACCCGGGAGCCTCTCGGGTGCAACAGAAATGCTGCACCGGTCATGCACAGGCGTTAAACCAGTGGTGGAGCAGCCTTAGAGTAGACCCATGATACCCATGATCCATGGGTCTTCCCAGGGACCGTCCATAGATTATTTCCACACTAATGGATAGGAGATAATTGTAGAGAAACAATCCAATGAAGACTAGTTCACCAATTTTGCTCTTGGAACCTCTCAAACACTCTGTACAGAATCTGCGACCCTGACGAGGGTCGCGAGCTTGAAGCTGGCGCTTGATAGTTTCCACCTCTTGATTATTGACCATATTCACCACCATTTCTTGAAGTTTTTGCAGCTCGGCAAGTTGATGGTGTAGTGCAATAATGTGGGCCTGGGCAGTTTGTACATGCTGCCATGTGCCGGCAGTCTGAAACCGTAAACAATGCGGGAAGGGGTCTAGGGCCCATTCGCAGCACGGGCATGTACCCCAGGGCCGATTCCACCTTGATAGTAAATTCTCAAATATCACGTTGCCATCACCGGAGTAAAAGGTTGATTGTTTCGAATATCAATTCCCACATCGCATTTTTTTCGACCGGTTTGGCAACCGTGTAATTTAGTTTCTTAACATGTTGAGCTCAACGGACAGATTAATTTTAGTTAGTGCCAGACGAGACATATTCAAGGGTTAATGGCTGGTCAAGGGAAAGGCGATACGGCACGCTCTCGCGACTAAGAAATTTTAAAGTTAGTGCCGAGTTCCCAAGCATACGGAGATGGGGCCATACGGATGAACCCGAGACTAGAGAGCATGGGAAAGCCAATACCAGAGGTGGATAAGAAAAGACGAGGTTGCTAGGTAGCGAAACCGAGTCAATTGGAGCAGAGGAGCTCTAGACAGGAGCACATGGGGCGGCGAGGAAGGAAAAATGAGAATATCATTTGGACATTTCCAGTCACCCGGTGTGCAGTAAGAGTATATACCACAAAGCCGTCTATCGTGATTTAAGTTAGGTGAAATTGGAGGGATTATTCAATTGTTTGTAATTAGTGACGGGATATGTATCACTACAAATGTTTTATCTCTATGTCGAAGTGCTAGTATCAGTTGCTCATTCTCACTCCACTTCATCTTCTGGAATTAAACTACCCCGACCCCGCAAGAAGCGACTGCAGGTCTTGCGACATACACAACAAATACATTCATTGTCCTCTCAAGAAGCAGGTTTCCCACGAGCCATGCATCTGTTCTCTTGGAGACGTCGCCGTGCAGGGACCCAAACCTGTAACCCAGCTGGCACCGCTCACGGCCAAGAGAAAGACTTGAGCGAAAGTGCGACAGCGTAGTGTCTATGGATCAGCCTGATGGGTACCAACCGATATATAGACAAGCGAAAAGCCGAGGAGGCAAACCCTGACAACTCCCCGGAATCAAACCTCGCTACCAGCTTCCGGTTCGCGAGAAAAGGAACGAGCTCAATTGTATCTGAAGTTTCTCGACAAACGGCGTGCTACTACCCTACAGGCCATCTACCAGAATGAGTTTATGCTAGAACAGCTACGGATGCGACTGCATTACATCGACGAGGATATCGCTGCTGAGGAGCAGAAGATGGCCCAATGATTGGATTCGTGCATGGCGAAGGATGGAACTCATATTTACGCGCTTTCTCGAGGGCAAGCAAGTGAACAAAATGAGACTAACGGTGGATTCACGGATATATGGATGGAAAACTTGCCAATTAACCAATTAACCAACGAATCAATGAACCAACGAATCAATGAACCAACGAATCAATGAACCAACGAATCAATGAACCAATGAACAAATTCACTCTTGCATTTTAGTAAAAATTCCAACTTTAGCCTGGTTGTCATTGCAAAGCAGCCCCTTCAACTAAAGACGGGGAGAAAAAGAAAGAGAGAAAGTGGGCCCTGGGGATGCCAAGCCTGAGATCGACGTGTGTCATCTTGGAAACACCCGTGGACATCCAAGCATTGGGGCGAGAACGTGCTCCGACCACCACGCCATGGACGATAACGATGAGCTCCAGTCGTTCCGTCAACAATGGCGCGAGGAGGTCACTCGTCGATCACGACCCAGAGCTGCCCCTCCTGCTCCTGCTCCTCCGACTCCGACTGCCCCGCCTCCGGCTCGTCTTCCGCCCACACGCCATGAGGCGTCTCACCGGAAAGAAATTGAGGAGGAGGGTCCCCCGCTAGCTTCCTTCGACCCCGATGAGCTGGCCCAGCAAGTTGGGGAGCTGCGCGTGGAATCATCCGAAGATGACTTCGCACGTCGAGAGGTAGCAGAACCAACGTCTGCACTGGAGCACTTTGAACGAGCGGTCGAGAAGGAGGCCGAAGGAAACCTGGGAGATAGTCTGTCGCATTACCGAAAGGCATACCGGGTGAGTTTTCATCGCTACAAATGGTAGTCACGATCCAAATACTTATCTCTGTTCAGCTAGATTCCTCGGTCGATAAGTCCTACCGGAATAAGCACTACGCCCATGTATGGAAGAAGCCGAATCTGTCCGCGCCCACTGCCCCTGTCGCTGTGACCCAGCAGCCCGCAGATGTACCGATCCTCCCGACACCTGAGCTCATCGCGTCGTTTGCACACCTGCCGATCTCACAGCTAGATCCTATCGTCGAAAACACACCGCCGCCGCCTTGCCCAATTGCCACCGTACCGTCCGAAGTTCTAGTGGAGATCCTGCGACATGTGGCGATGGATGACCCATCGGCCTTCGGTCGGATGGCACTGGTCTGCAAACGGATGGCATACCATTTCGCCCATGAGCAGCATATCTGGAGACGAATCTGTCAAGGGCGGGAATTCGGCTTCGAGGGAATGCATTATAACTTTGCATGCGACCTGTATGGGGAACCGATTTACACCCTTGCTCCGCGATACACTCCATTTCCCAAGGATGGGCCTGTCGAAATTCCCTCCCCGCTGTCTTCATGGAGTCAAGTGTTCCAGTCCCTCCCTCGAATTCGGTTTACGGGCATCTACATCAGCACAGTCAACTACACTCGGCCTGGTGCGGCATCTGCGTACTCGAATCTGTCGTGGAACAGTCCCATCCATATCGTGACTTACTATCGCTATCTGCGGTTCTATCCCGATGGCTCGGTAATCTCACTGCTCACTTCAACGGAGCCAGTGGATGTGGTCCCCCACATCAGCACAGAGAATGTGATGTCGGCGCGCACCCCAGCACACCGAAAGCATCAACGACGTCCCTCTGATGCGGGCCATACCATCTCTGGGGCCACTGATGCCGTACCACCCGTCGCCATGAATACACTGAGGTACGGCCTTCGAGGCCGGTGGCATTTGGCCTCGCCCGTTGACACATCTGAAACTTCCGAGACCCCCGCGGCGGCCTGGAAGCCTGACGTAGCATCGGATCAGAAATCGCTTCTTTCGGACGAGCGGGATCTCATCATTGAAACAGAGGGTGTAGATCCCAAGTACGTTTACACGATGCATCTATCGCTACGTTCCTCGACTGTACCGAAATCCGCTCAACTTGGGCCAGCTCCTCCAAACCCATCGAAAAACACTAAACTAGCCTGGAAGGGCTTCTGGAGTTACAACAGATTGACGGATGACTGGGGAGAGTTTGGCCTTCGTAATGACCGAGCATTTGTGTTCCGCCGCGTACGTGGCTGGGGCTTGGACTGACATATGATTGATGACTTTTACATGAAAGATTTGTTACGTACATAAAGAAATGAGGCGGGCCAGGTTTCGGTCTATCAGTATTTGGAATCGTGATTTATTCCCTTATAAAAGTCCAGCTAAGTGGCTGGGTTTGAAAACAAAACAGTATCATATGCATCCCATAGGATGTGCATTCAAGCCTAGGTCATAGTAATCACTGCGTCAAGTAGGAGGCCTGAACATTTTAGCATCTTCATATCACTCCTGGGAACTCCATAAGTGCTACCACATATCCTCTACTGGTTTCATCTCCTATCATAACCTTTGAAAACCTCATGGAATTAGTCGAGATGCCTCGAGTGATACTTTGACCTTCGGCGAGTCTCTGTAGCCTCTGCCATCCGGGACTGCGGAAAACCTACCTCTGGAAGATTGACTAGACCGCCGTGGACGCCGGAGAAGGCCTTTCCAATTCCAAGGAAGGGGCATGTGGGGAGCAACAAAAAGTCCCCGAAGAACTCCGAATAGATGCTTGTGGACGCCGCAGAGGACTCTTGTGAGCCGAAGCGCAAAAGGCAAAAGAACCACAAGGATAGGATCGATCTTGAAATATGGAAAGTGGTGATACGGATAGTCCATACTCCGTGCGCAGACAGCTGAAGAGCATACTTTGGATGTATTTATTCACAATAACAACAGAATATATACATGGGAACGGTCTGGACTATTAAACTATGTACACCGCACCAATTCAGCAACATCTCTCATCATCTATCATCCACAACTACAACCATCCACACACCGACTTGACCATTGCTCGCGAGTAGAGGCGTGCAATGGACCCAGCGATTGCGGCCGTCTGGATTGGATCGTGTCGTCCACTTGATACGGGAGGTCACACTCCGACCAACCTTCATAGCTTTTAGCAGGTCGTCTTTGACTGCCGAAGAACTGCCGATGCGTGATAGGAATGGTGATTGTAACATCCCTGGGATCTGGAGGGCGGGCGATGTGAACAGAATCCGGAGGGAAGGGTATGGTCGAACGAGGAGGTACTGTATCATGTTAGTATCGGCAATAATGTAACGAAATATGGAAATAAGCATCCAGCGACTTACATTTTCATACACGCCCGCAAATGACATCCGTAAAAGGGGCGATTTCATATCACGCAGACGAATCGCCTCAGTGTCCCTTTCAAGCGATATGTCAGGCTGCAACCACGATTGCGGGTGATGCGGAGACGCGAGGCTTTTGGTAGGTTGGAACAGATGTCCACCATACCGCCGAACAGCGGAGAGTTCCCGCGGACTAAACAATTCAGTTAGTTCCTGGAACTCATCCTTTTGGTCTAGTTCTGGTGGCTCTCCGATGCTCTCTTCATCGGGATCTCGGTATTTATTCTGTAGTTCCATCAAGGATTCCATCGAGGCTCCTTCTATTGCGAGTCCCGAGACGTCGATCTGTGCGCCCACAAAGTATTTGACACGGCCGTGGCTGTCGCATAAGGGCGCGCATTGGAGTAGGTTCATAAATGGTGAGCCGTCGCGACGACTGGTTATGTTAGCGATTTGATGACTGAATTGGAAAAATACTTAGTGTAGAACATACTAGTTGAGAAACATCTCCGAGTGATGCCGGCCTGCATGGATAGCTTCGCGTAGACGGCGAACACTGTTTGCATTTGTCTTCGGGCCTTGTAGGAAGCGACAATTTCTCCCAAGCACGTAGTCCATGCCGTACTGTGTTGTTCTGTGGAACTCTAATTTAGTTAGTCCAATCCAAACAGTAGGATATAAAAACGTACCCTCTGAGGCGAAAATAATGGGATTGTCAGGTCGCGATGGGTCCGTCAAGCAAAATACTTCCGCCAGTGCATTTGAAGTCCCGCGGAACTTCATTGGCAACGTCCCTCGGACTCGTTCCTCGACTATCTTGCTTGTGATTGCGATAGATCTTGATGTGATGAATGCAGGGAGTTCCTCGGCAGTAAGAGCCAACAGCCCGTCTATAACACGCTGCTCCAAAACTCGGTTCACAGTAACCCCGGCAGCTTCCCCGTCAGTCTGGACTACTGGAGGAGGGACATCTACCGAGAGACGCACGAGTGAATTAGCATAATGGATTGCCTTGAGCGCCTTTGAGGCATTTAAATAGTATGTGAGGGTAGACATCGATCGCGGTCGTTCTTCGAGAAGAAAGTCCCGGAATCGGGCTAGATATCGGGGATTGTTTAGGATTGTGAGCATATGCTCGGATGAGAACATGATATTTGCAATTCGTTCCAGCTTGTAAAGTGGTAGATCACAGCCATCGTATGGCGCAATGAGGTCATATGAGCCGTTCTCTTCGCTGACAGGGTTAAACTCTGGCGCCCCCTCATTTGGATTAATCTGTTGTAGAAGAGGGAGTTCATTGGGCGTAGCATGCCGACGCAGGCTCTTGATAGAAGGTTTTGGTGTGGGATACACTTCCATCTCTTCCTCAATGGCATCTAAACTTTCCTTCCTCGGAGGTTGGGGGAAGTTGTGGAGTAATTGATCAGTTCTGTTTCGTTAGCGCATTCGATTGAGTCCATCACCTCGAGTTCGACCTACAGCGAAGATTGACCAGACTCGCTAACCCATTCATGGTATTCGTCTTGGATTGTCTCAGTGAATGGACGCAATGACTCTGCATGTGACGATCTGAGCCCATCATGGAGTCCATCGTGCCCGTCAAACCCCTGGAGGCCATGGAAACCTGTCTGCGACATAGTTTGAGCAAAAAAAACGATAGAAACTCCTGTATCACAACGTGGAAGCAAGCCTTGTCTTTAATAGTTGGAAATCCTTTCCTACCGAGATCCCTCTAGAGTGATACATCATTTGATTGCCCCAGAGTGCTGTCAGTAAGAGGCATAGGGCATACAACAGACACAATGAAAAGTGTACGACAAAGTACAAATGTAATATGGGAGATCATAACGACACACGAGGCAGATCGATCGATGAGCCAGTGAACCCCACGAGATCAGAGTAGATCGTTGACTAATGATGCCATCGTGCAGCAGATAGCCCCTATTGAACTCTAAGTTCAAAGAAATGCTACTGGAGTTGCCTGGAAATGTGATAGATCACTTGGATTGCTCGCAAATAGGCTACGGTTTGTCATTCCCTATTCGTTGGTTGACAGGGCTCTTTGTATTTTCTTTCCTCTAAAGGCCGGGCGTGTAGATCACCACGGAGGTATCACAAAGTACTTTGTACTTCATCTTAACTTCATTTTTTTTCTAGTGAGCCCCCAATTAGCGAATAGCTAAAAGGAGTGATAATATTTCATACGGAGATTAAGCAATTTTTCACGCCATCGAGGGTCAGGATATTCACAATACGCCACTTTTCCCGGGATGCTCGGTATATTCCTATATGGTGACACCACGCCGTCGGCGATTTTCTTACTATTCTAGACCTGCAATGGCTGCCAGAATGGTGAGAAAGTTAAACAAAAAAAAGAACACAAGTACACTGCAAAGATGTCCCCTTCCAACATTCGGGCCAAGGCAAGGGCCGTGGTGGCAGGCTCATTTCTCACGGACAAGCAATGAAGAACCCCGATGAAGATTGACACTTACAGCTCAACGTGCTATGGTCTGCCTCTCGGGTGTTTTGATCCGTGTCTTCCTCGAAACACGGATGCCGCGAATCTGTTGCGACATTGGGCACGTCTTTATCGCTACGGTCGCAATTACATGTCTGGGATTTGTGTCGCAACCTGCGGGCTGTACGGATGCATAGCCCTCAATTAGCCAAAGAAGCCCTAGGTATACATTTGCTGGACTATGCACGCTCGCTATGGAGGTCAATCAATACTAGTATAAGTGGAATAGGGGAGTAAGACTAGAGAAGGAAGAAAAAAGAAGAGCTTAGGTGGAGACGAAGTGGGAGTATTGTTGGGGAATCCTCAAGGTGCAGTTTATGGGATAGGAGAGACGAGATGTCCGTGCTTTGGCGAGCATTTGTCGATGCCATCGGCATCCTAAGGTGGTCGGGTACCCCGCCGGTATGATCACTATGCCAGTGTGGAGACCCTGGAGCGTTCGCGGCCGAAGGAATTGCCAACCGCTTCTCGCACAAAATAGCGTATACTCTCTTTAGTAGCAGCCTCGTGGACTACGCTGACAAATACCGTGGTATGCAAGCCGTCGTGATGAACGAGTTTGAAGCCTTCGCCGGCATCACCCTCAAAGACGTCCAGGGTGGAGGTTATTACATAGTACCCCCCTATTTCATCGATAGCGTCATTCATCTGGCCGGTTTTATCATGAACGTGTCCGATGCAAGTGACACCGCGAAAACATTTTGTGTAACCCCTGGATGGGATAGTATGCGCTTCGCTCGGTCTCTGGTCGCGAGCCAAAAGTACAGGTCCTATGTCAAGATGATCCCGACAGAGGCCGACCCATCTGTGTACCCTGGTGATGTATATGTCTTCCAGGACGGTGTGATTATGGAAATAGTTGGAGGCATGCAGTTCCGCCGCTACCTACGCATTCTGATGAACCGTTTCTTTGCTGCACCAGACTCCTCGGTTGCTATGTCTTATACTGCCGCCAGCTTTTCTAGTCCTGCTGTGCCGGCACCGGCCCCTGCTCCAGCTGTATCTCAGCCTAAGCCTACAGTGTACGACATCGCTAAACCTTTAGCACCACGCCCTATCCCTGTCCCTGTACCGACGAATGCACCTATACCAACTGCCCCTGCTGCAATTGACTCGGACAGCACATCAAGCAAGGCCTTGGTCTTAATTGCTAGAGAAGCCGGCCTTGATCTATCTGACCTCGTTGACGATGCTGCATTTGCGGGTATTGGAGTAGATAGTCTGATGAGTCTGGTGATTGCAGAGAAGTTCCGTGAGGAACTGGGTATTGTTGTTGCGGGAAGTTTCTTCTTGGAGTATCCCACAGTCGGTTCTTTGAGGTCATGGTTGGAAGAGTATTATAGTTAGATTTTAGATTTCCTCTCTGCTTCTGTGTCTGGCGTTGACTGTGAGGTGGGTATTTCGAGACACCAACTTGTCAAGAGTTGCTAGTACATACGTAAGGCATTCAATTCAACAAGATCGGGCTGTTAAATCCATGTTCCTTTCGGGAGACATTCTTTCCATTCAATATCTCCCAACAGTCTCTCTCGCTTCTCGGTATTAGTTCGAAGTATAAGGAGGTACATCGGCTATGATAAGGCCTTCTTTTCCCAATTCTAATGTCTTGGCTCTAGTATCTTGGCAGTCGCCGAGACACAGCTACATGCTCACCTGGTTGGACTCTGTTTCATCTTACCTGATCTTCAATCTCCCCAAGCCCTACCCAGTCATGCACAACATTTTCGTAACCAACATCGATCGTAAATGGTAGATATATATCAAGCTGTAAGAGGGTTAAGGCAGTTTGACTGTATGATCAGCAGGACTCAAGAGACAGTTGGGGATACCTTATATTTCAATGGCAAGGCATCCTGCGTAGACACAAAAAGACTTACAATATTGTACATTTACTAGTTATCCTATCTACCTAACTACCTCTTACCCTTACGCGACCTCAAACTTGCAATCACTCAACCTCAACCTTCTTCACCTCAATATCATCTGGCTCCGTTTTCGGCACCTCAATAACAAGAACTCCATCCTCCAATTTAGCTGAAATCGAATCACCATCTACCTTGGGCGGATTCGCCCGACTCCCCAACCGCACGTTGCGCCTAAACGGCCCAACCTTCCGCTCATCTAGCGCAATCGCCTTGACCAGGTTCTCAGAGCCAGGTCGGTTGATCACCCCGGTGATAATGATTTCGACCGCCTTCGGATCCCAGTTGAGTTCGACATCTTCCTTTTTGGCGCCGGGAAGCGGCACATGAATCACAAATGTCTCAGGAGTGTCGAACACATCCACCTCAGGCTTGTATTTTTCGGATCCAGTGGCCGGAAATTTGTAGGGTGCCCGTTGACTGAATGCCCAGGGACCATGAGAGGGATGGTGGCCTTCGAATTCCTCTCGTCCGACGCCGCCAAATGAAGGGTCATCGAAATGTGGCTGGCCGAAGGAGCCGTGGCCACACCATCCTCCATTCCCATGTTCTTCATGTTGGCCACTGTGGAACGGGTACGGTTGCTGATGGAAGGAATTGAGGCCTTGAGGGTTACCCGGGTATTTGTACGGTTGTTGGGGGAATGGACACGCGGTATGCGATTTACCCGGGAGCTGATACGGTTGACGAGGAAAGGAGGGCTTGTCCTTGTCGTGCTCCTCCCATGGAAATGGATATGGCTGTCTCCACGGGACCGCACCCGGATAGGGATGTGGTTTGTGGCCATCGGCTGGTCCAGGGTAAGGGTAGGGTTTGCGAGAGCAGCGCTCGACATTGTCGTCATCCCAGGGGGAAGGGTATGGCTTTCTATTCTCTGTAGGGCCAGGATAGACGTGGGACTGGTGCCGTGGAAGAGGGTCACGGTAGGTGCGCGGCTGCTCAGTGTAGCCTAGGAAATGGTATGGCTTGCGGAAAGCGGGGTCATAACTGGACTCATGATTGCCTTCGTTGCCCTGATCTTCGTCACCGACCTGAGCCCATGGAGATCGGTAGGGGTGGCCTGGGCGGCGCACTGGACCGTTGCCAGACTGAAAGGACCACGCGTTGGGATAAGGATGGTCACCTTCACCACCAGGGAGGAGGAAAGGGTGGGGTGGGCCCTGCTCATCCGTGTTGGCGGCAAAGCCCGAGGAGCGGAAGTTCTGGTTGAGAGCTCTGATGGACATGTTTCAAGTTGAAATACAAGTTTGGTTGGAGTGAGTTAATATAGTAAGATTGATTGTTGTTTTTGTGAGTGATGAGAATATAGAATAATTCTGGTTATCTGCCTTTTATAGAGAGTGTTCGCAGGCAGCAAGGTTCGAAGATGTAGTGTTGTACTGAGCACGCAGTAGGTATACAGCAATTGACTTTTTCATGATGCGGTACGGGTGGATCCGCGGCGGATCTGTGGCGCCGCCACCTTTTGAACATTGCAGCCAACCAGGTCAATCTCAACAGGAAGGATCGCCCCACTGGAAGGTTGGCGGACATCCTAACCCCCGAGCTCTCAATAACTACATCCATATTTAGGTAACCTGCTATTCCTGAGCTGGCTTACTCGGACATTGTGCGACCCGAGCCGAATTTGAACTGGCCCCATTTTCAGACCTGCCCCTGTTCAATGACGCGCGTATGAATATATCAAAGGTCATACAGGGAACAGTCGTTCTGCACATTTTAAGCGCCTGTATTCTAGCTACAACAATAACAAAGGACGAAATATCCATAAAATTTCATCTAAAGTTTTATATCAAAAAGGCTACCAGCAGAATAAGTGACCGTATAAGCGCCGGAGTACTGGCCATCAAAGATGTCGTGATCCTGACGGCCTGCTTGTAACTCGCGTCCTCTGGGGAGGTGCCAGCGAGTGCAACTCTAGAAGCCCATATCTATGATCCGCTCTGATAAAAACGGATCATGTATGTGCACAAGATGTGGTTTAGTAATTCGGAGAACTTGGGTGCAGTAGACGTATATGAGGTCTTGAAGAATGGCTCTGAGAAGGTCAAGGTCAGATTTTCCAAGTTATTGTTCCAGCACGACCCCGAGGTAACAACTACAAATCGTTCAACTACCGAGAGGTCATGTATGTAAATGATAATCCTTTTGGACTTAAATTGGCAATGTATAAAACTAACAAAATGAACTCGCCTATGTCAATCTAAAGTGAAGCGGTCAAAGAACACAAAAGTTCCCCTGCCCTAGACTATTTGTCCCGCCTTTTATGTACTCCTTCCTCCACCCTGTTGCTTATTCTCGGAATCGGACTTTGGCTGTGCCTTCTTGATACTCTTCCACTCGAGTGTAGCCGCACCTAGTACTGTCAGACAGGAAATAATCATACCGACCTGAAACACCTTCCGCAGGGAATTATTGTAAGAACGAAGGACCGTGTCGTACAGATCCACCGGCATTTTATCCAGCAGCTCCGTGACACCCCCAGAGGTGACAAGATTGGAGTTGAAGCCCGGCAGCCCGGAAAGACTTTTCACGAGCTGATTAGCCAGAATATTCTCCCCAACTGACACAAAGATGGCTGCCCCAATCATCTGCCCGAAAAGCATAAGTGCTAGTCCGGATGGCACGTCGGGCTTCGGAAGAACGGTCTGCGCAGCAAGATTGGGGACTTGGAAACACAGGCCCAGGCCAATCCCATAGACGATCTGATACCCTATCCAATTTCCCTCGCCGGTTTCCACTTGGAATGTGGTGATAAGACCAGCTCCGACGGACATGATGCAGGATCCGATAATCGCTAGTGGGGTGTAGTATCCGATCTTCGAGTTTGTGATTCCACCACCGATTGAGCCGAAAACCATCGATATCATCATCGGTAGCAGGCGGATGCCGGATTCCACGGCGGAACTGCCTTTGATGGATTGGAACCAGATTGGGAGGAAGTACACTGTTATTGACGTCAGTAAAGAAGATAATGCCTGATGGTGTGTGCGATGCTTTTATACCAAAGATATAATTTCCAGAGCCGACACAGAGTGTCTGCCAGAAACCTGAAATGACGCTGCGCTGCGAAAAGATGCGCAGCGGCAGAGTCGCTGTCTTTGGAAGGAAGACCTGAACGGCGACAAAAGAAAGAAGTAAGACGGCCATCAGGACGAGGCAAGCCACGACGCGACCGCTGCTCCACTGCAAAATGTCAGTTGTGGTCGAAAGCAAAGGGCCACATGCCTTACAGCATATGCTTGTCCTCCCCACTGAAGTGCCAATATGAGACAAAGCACACCAGCCACCAGAAGTATAGTGCCGAAGAAATCCAGCTGTAGCAGCTTCTCCCTCCAGGAGACGTTTGCTGTATCTTGCTTGGGAATCTTGAGGCAGAAAGCAATGAAAACCATGGCGGCGCCACCAATTGGCAGATTTACATAAAAGCACCATCTCCATGTCACGTTCGACACAAAAGCGCCGCCAATCAGGGGACCTACGACAGAGGCAATGCCGAAAAGGGCGCCAAAAAGTCCCTGGATTTTTGGACGTTTCTGGAGAGGCACGGAATGAATGATGCACATTATCTGAGTCCGCCTGTCAGCAATCAGGACAAAATCCAGGGTCATGGAGTCAAATTACAGTGCCAGCGAGGATACCAGCAGCGCCGACTCCACAGATCGCTCTTCCGATTATAAAGGTAATTGAATTCGGAGCCGCTCCACAGATAGCAGAGGCAACCTCAAAAACTAGAATGCTAGCAAGGAAGACAATTCTGACAGAGAAAATCTTGTAGAGCTTCCCGAACAATAGTTGGAATGCACAGCATGTCAACAAGTAGGCACTTCCGTACCAGCCAACGTCATCGAAGGAGTCGAATTCATCAGTGATCTTGGGTATGGCCTATCAATTCCCTATAAATTAGCGCTGGAGTGGGACTGGATTCAATGTATATTATACACATACCGTCGAGATAATTGTTCTGTCTAGCGCGACCAAGAACATGGCGACGAAGGCTGATACAATCAGACAGACAACCCTAAGGGTAGGCTGATTCTCGGGCGGGCCCAGAGGACCTGGAGGGGATCCAGCTTTGGATGGTCCTTCGTCTTTGACAGATGCATCGGTAGCCGACTTACTATATTCCTCTATCAACTGGGCAGCGTCTACCGCAGCTGATTGTGTGGTCTCAGGGGTTGGAGTCCGTGATGCAGGCATGGCGATTGCGGTATTCATAGATCCACTAACCAAGACACGATCGATCAGTTGCCAATGTTAGAGTGGTAATAGTCCAGACCAAAATGAATATTGAGGAAATCTTCCATATTTAAAGAGGCACAAGGGTAAAAATATGGTCGGTGATTTCGTGTTTTGCATGATGATCACCACGATGGTCGGGGATTAGAAAGCGCGAGGGTTAGCAAGCGGCGTTACGGTTTTGGACCTTATAATGGCCGACTTCCCCCGAGACCCATGAATTGCCTTCTACCCCCAACCAACGCGGGCTTTGGAGTCCGGGTTCTAGTAATAACGCGGAACAGCATCGTTAGTCCCATGCCATGACGACACCAATAACTCCATCCAAACAGACAGCCACCATCAAGTCCCGGCGCGTGCTCGCCTGCGTGTTGTGTCAGCAACGCAAGATCAAGTGTGATCGTAGATTTCCTTGCGTCAACTGTGTACGTGCTGGAGAACATTGCGAGCAAGCAATCCGCCAGCGACGCCGGAGGTTTGCTGAGAGAGATCTGTTGGCGCGCCTGCAACACTATGAGAGCCTGCTGCGCCAACATAACATCAAATTCGATCCCCTCCACACGCCTACCAGAGACCGCAGGTCCCCCAGCCAGGATGAGCCAGATGAAATTCCGGAAAAGGACCTGTTGGAAAGCAATGTCCCTGATACGAATACTCGCTTGTTAAGAGAAAAGAAGACAAACAAGCCTAAATCATTGTATGAGATTCTGTTCTGTTCATTTGGTGAACAAGCCAGGGGATACCCCGGGATGACTAATCATGTAGTAGGAATATCTGGCATGCCATGAGTCAAAAGGTATGATGGACTATACAAGTGATTGTGGTACTGGCTGACAGCTGGGAAAGACCATAGATTCCAAGGGCGATGACGGAACTGACGGTGAAAACGACGAAATCGACAACGGGTTCCTGCACGACAATGATGATCTGCGCCATGCCGTGATCAAGAAGGCATGGAACCATATGTTCCAAGGTAAAAATAACGACCGTCTCTTATTCAGTTCACCGGTAGAGAGCGTCGATGACCTTTATGCTTTCCATCCGACCCAGGTACAGATCTTCAGGCTCTGGCAGATCTACTTGGATAACGTCAACCCGCTTCTCAAAGTAACGCATACACCCACCCTTCAAACACGTATCATCGATGCTGCTAGTGATATCGCCAACGTTAATCCCACATTGGAGGCATTGATGTTCAGTATCTACTGCGTCTCCATCCTAAGTCTCACAGAAGATCAATGCAGCGCCTTGTTCGGATCCCCCAAAAAGGATCTCTTGACAGCGTATCAGTTTGCATGCCAACAAGCGTTGCGAGGTTGTTCTATTCTACGCTCCAGTGACCGGGAGTCCTTGACCGCGTTGTATCTGTACCTAGTAGGTGTCTCGAATCGTTTCATCCACACTTACTAATTTTTGTAGGTGTCGATCCGACCTGATACAGACCCTGCATCTCTCTCATCAATGCTTGGCGTTGCTATACGAATCGGTCAGCGCATAGGCATTCACAATGAGTCAATGTATGGTAAATGTTCCGCTCTAGAAGCTGAGATGCGTCGAAGACTCTGGTGGTCGCTCATCATCTTCGATAATCGCATCTGCGAACTGTCCGACTATAAGACGGCATCGCTGGCTCCTACTTGGGACTGCCGCGTTCCACTCAACGTTAGTGACTTCGAGCTTCAGCCAGATATTGAAATCCCACCCTCAGCAAACAACAGACCAACAGAGATGCTCTTCGCTGTTGTGCGTAGTGAGCTCGCCGACTTCGTTCGTCACAGCGCCTTCCACCTCGATTTTACCAATCCCTTTTTGAACACGATGGACCCTCGATCTGCCACCATGGACGAGGCGGAGCGGTTTGTGGCTCTGGAGAAGACGATAGAGGAGAAATACTTGGCATCCTGCAATCTAGAGAACCCACTGCACTTCATGACGATCTGGACAATGCGAGGCTATCTAGCCAAGAATCGTCTTTTGCAATACTACTCCCAATACTCGGCCACCTCTGTGCAGCAGACGGAGTTACAGCGTTATGTCGGCATATCCCACGCGCTTCGCATGCTGGAGTGCGACACCAACCTTATGACATCACCTCTAATCAAGGGATACCTGTGGCTTCTTCACTTACAATTCCCCTTCCCCGCATACATTCATCTACTCCAGAATTTAAAGAAGAGGCCCACCGAGAAAAATGCAGACCACACGTGGGAGGTCATGAGCAACAATTACGAGGTCCGCATGATGGATGTGAAGGATGACGAACGTCCCTTTTTCATCGTCTTCTCTCGGATTGTCTTCCAGGCTTGGGACGCGCGTGAACAGGTAGCCAGACAGCAACAGACGCTCCTAGTGCCACCGCGGATCGTTTCAGATATCCGGAACAAAGTGACGGAGATGATGTGGAATTTTGGACAGGATGCAGACACTATGCACACTAGTGGTACCTCAGATGTCAACGCAGACAACCCATATATGCCTATAGAGATGGATTTCAATGTGCCGTGGATGGCTAATGGTGCTGGGGGGCCGGTGCCTACTAATTTGGGACCGTGGGGATATCCCGAGATCACTGGGCCGAGCTCCGTGGACGTGGGTGGGAATCATTTTATTTGGAACCCGATGAACTGGAACGCGTTGCATGCAAGAGGCAGGTAGCAGTGCTCTTCAGGAAAAAAACAATAATCCTTCAGTTGCGATGGCTCTCACGACTTCACTTTTAGATCCTTGGCAATATTTGTGGGACTCAAGTGACCTGTAAGCTGCAACCTCAGGTTAATGAGAACCGGGGCGAGGGTGAGCAACTGACCCCTTGTGTACGTCGTCTGGAGTCATATAATATATACTCTAATGCGAATGCAGTTACAAGGCCACGACGGGGCAATTATTTGTAAGAGTTTGATAATTTACCTGGCTCAAGATGGTATAAGACACGTTATAGTTGAAGATAACAGCCCGAACTGTTTTTGGGTGTTCTTTTTAGATCTCCTTTTAAACTATTCTGTAGATGGCAAAAATGATAGGAAAGGATAGGTCGGTTTATACACACAGTAGAAAGCAGAAAAAACACAAACCGTATAGAGGAGCTTCTAACTAACTACAACAAATATACTTATGTGTAGGGTGCACAGCCTCCCTTAGCACCTGATCTTATAGAGTGACTGTGATACAATCCGAATGCTGCTATTGGCCGAATATTATACAAAAGGCAAAACCTACTTATCAGCTCATCTCCGGAGGCAGCATCTCCGACCCCAGGGACGAAAATAGATGACCGTGCCTTAAGTGTTTTAGAAAGAAGTCTGAAAAAGTCCGAGAAGGCGTGGTGACATGATCGGGCCGACTGCATAAAGCCCAAGGATTATACTCATGGCCCATCTCCTCGACCAGTGCCAAAATCATGTTACCAAAAAAAAAGAACGAACGAAATATATTCTGAGGGGCTATTCCTGAGGCCTCGTTCCAATTACCTCTGTTGTTGATGTTGATAAGGATGTTCTTATCTGCTTATCGATAAGGCAAAATTTTTCAGATTTGAGCTTCGTCCCTGCTCACCATTCTTTCGTGCCACATCTCAAAATGCCGGAAAAGGTCCGTACCGTGTTTGCGGACTCGGACGATGAAAATATTGTGAAGCGCAAAGTCTCCTCCCAACCCACAGAAGAACCAGAGCGCAAGAAAAAGAGAAACAAGAAGCGCAAGCTCGATGAACCCGCAGCCTCCAAACCCGCCCATCAAGATGAACCGAGGGCAATCCCTGCACCTGCCAAGCAGATAGAACGAGCAGCCCGTGTGCCAAAAAAGGAACTCGAGACCGTATCTCAAAGCAATGGCCCACCAGCACCAAAATCGTACCCGAAATCAAAGTCGAGACCCTTCACCGATACCAAAACCAACTTCACACCCTTACGAGAAAAAGCCAAGGCCCTCCTCGAGACGCGGCGAAAGCTCCCTGTATTCGAAAATGCCGATTTGATCCGCGATCTGCTACGCGAACAAGATGTGATGCTTTTGGTCGGTGAGACGGGTAGCGGAAAGAGTACGCAGATCCCGCAGTTCCTGGTAGACGAATTCTGGTGTCGGCCTGTACCTACGCAAATCACACGGGATGGAAAGACGGAGAAGAAAATGGTTGGAGGATGCATCGCTATCACGCAGCCGCGTCGAGTCGCTGCTATTTCGCTGGCCCGCCGTGTAGCTGAGGAGATGGGTACGCCGCTTGGATCGCATTCGCCTGCTAGCAAGGTCGGCTACTCGGTACGATTTGATACCTCTACGTCTCCCAGTACGCGGGTCAAGTTCCTGACTGAGGGAATGCTGCTTCAAGAGATGTTGCATGACCCAAACTTGACTAAGTACAGCGCTATTGTTGTTGATGAGGTCCACGAACGGGGCATCAATGTGGATCTGACACTTGGATTCCTGCGTAACCTTGTATCGGGCAAGAAGGAGGGCCGGGGTGGCGTGCCGCTCAAGGTGGTTGTCATGAGTGCTACTGCTGATATGGAGAGTCTAACGGATTTCTTCCACCAAGGATTCAAACGATCGGAGCCACAGCAGAAGGTCATCGAAGGATCCGAGACTGAAGCTGATAGAATGGATATTTCGACTCCAAAGGATATCTCTGTCTGTCACATTAAGGGTCGCCAATTCGCGGTCAAAACTATATACTCGCCCGCGCCAGTACATGACTTTGTGGACGCAGCGCTCAAAATTATCTTCCAGATTCACCAGAAGGAACCAATGCCGGGTGATATCCTGGTCTTCCTCACTGGTCAGGAAACCGTCGAGGCCTTGGAACACCTGGTGAATGAGTATGCCATGAGCATGGACCCATCGCTTCCTAAAATTCTCGTTCTACCCCTGTTCGCCGCTCTGCCACAGGCTGCCCAGCAACGTGTCTTCGCCCCGGCTCCACCACGAACTCGCAAGGTTGTTCTGTCCACTAATATTGCTGAGACTTCCGTCACTGTGTCTGGTGTACGACACGTGATTGACTGCGGCAAGGCAAAGGTCAAACAATTCCGCACTCGCCTTGGTCTAGACTCACTCCTAGTGAAGCCTATATCCAAGTCAGCTGCGATCCAGCGAAAGGGTCGAGCTGGCCGTGAGGCTCCTGGTCAATGTTTCCGGCTATACACAGAGAAAGACTATCTAGCCTTGGATGAGACAAACACGCCCGAGATTCTGCGCTGTGATCTGAGCCAGGCCCTGCTGAACATGAAGGCGCGTGGCGTTGATGACATTATTAGATTCCCATTCCTGACCCGCCCACCACGGGAAGCACTTGAGAAGGCTCTTCTGCAGCTATTGAACATTAATGCCCTTGAGGATGATGGCAAAATCAGCGCCGTCGGCCTACACATTGCCAAGCTGCCTTTAACTCCAACACTTGGGCGTGTGCTGTTAGCAGCTGCCGAGAACGGGCATGAATGTTTATTAGACGTCATTGACATTATCTCATGCCTGAGCGTGGAGAACATTTTCCTGAACACCACCTCAGAAGAGAAGAAGGAAGCAGCAGAGGCTGCCCGTCGCGATTTATACCGGCGCGAGGGTGACCACCTCACAATGCTGATGACCGTACGCGTCTATGCCTCTGAACAGGCCGATCGTAAGGCATGGGCAGAGCGACACCTGGTATCCCACCGGGCGATGCAATCTGTCATGGTCAGTAGCAGATAATTCCCGAACGCCAATCATCTAAAACTAACAAAAATCATTAGGACGTCCGCAAACAACTCCGCACCCAATGTCGACAAGCCAAGCTACTCACCAACGAAGCCTTGAACAATACCTCATTACACGATCCCTCGCCTATCCTCATTCTCCAGAGTTTCCTAGCCGGATTTGCGACCAATACGGCTCGTCTCGTGCCCGATGGCAGCTATCGTACGATCGTTGGAAACCAAACCGTGGCTATTCACCCGTCGAGTGTGCTTTACGGCAAGAAGCTCGAGGCGATTATGTACAACGAATTTGTGTTCACCAACCGCAGTTACGCGCGTGGCGTTAGTGCTGTGCAGATGGATTGGGTGGGAGAAGCTTTGGCTGGGAAGGATTGATCGTCGGGTCGAGATGCTATATTAAAGTAGACTAATATATACCCCATGAGCGATGATACCAGGTAAATTGGCATCTCTTACTTTTTTCTCTTTCTCTCTGTCTGTCTTCCTTTCTCTCTCTCTCGGTAGAAATCCAAAATGGTTGCACGACACCAGTCTCCGACATTTGGGGGCCAAGCGTTATCGAGAATGCGGGGAGAAGAGGTCGGTTGTTAAGAAAACGAAAGAGCCGTCGTTAGCTACTCGTATAGGTTTGAGAAATACCAGGTTAATCGATGTGGCTTCCATCATCCCAATGTTGTTTCTAGTCGCGTCGAGTTTACCTTCCAGTTGATCTACAGATCTGCAATCACGCTGGAAATTGCTCTACTTAAGCATCGAACATGACAAACAAGCAGCCAATTTGCTTCAGAAAAGGCAACGGTTGAACAGGATTTCGAGCCAGGGACCTATATGAGAGTCCATGTAGCAATCAACCAATCATCGCGTTTCCCAGCTCCTTATATCTGCGAAGCCCAACCTGAGGGTTTTCTTCGATCTGTTAATCTTCGATATTCGACTTATCCTGTCCTGGGGGATCGTCAACAGCCGACCTTTTTAGTGATTCGGACCGGAGATTAATCCGAAAATGTCCCCTATGTTGGCGGGTTGCTATCTGTCTCAAGTACAGGAGCAACTGCCCAGGTGAGGGGTATTATTTAGTGTGCAAGCGAAAGCATGATAATATGGTGGTCTTCCTAGCAATAGCATGCTTGCAAGGCTGATATCAAAGTACGGTGTAGTAGCTTTTTTGCGAAAGACAGATCTTGTTAGCTGTTAATAGCAAAATGTGACTGGTGGTAAGTTCACACGTCACTGTGTCGATCCCGGTGACCGTCTGTCAGCTGATGAGGGATCCAAGATTATGACTTCAAGCCATACCTACAATAGGGAGATAGCCCTCTTGAAACCAATAAAAGTAAAAAAAAAGCAACGGATCAACTTTGAAAGGTGGTCTCACCATTCCGATACCGGTTGCATCATTGGAGGATCATTTGGGCGATCCCCTTTCGGGCCCATCTTATCAGCTAATCTCCCCATCGACATCACCACCTGGGCAATCCATTACTCTTGTCCTTTTCTTTATTTATGGGCACACTTTCTACTATTCCCGGTATTACTTCTAATACTTACACCGATCCCCCTTATATCCTCTAATGCCACTATTCCCCACTTGAACAGCCTTAACCCTACTGGTCTCTGGATCCACCATCAAACACCTGTGAACGCTTATCGTACCTATCCTATCACCTATCGGCTTCAGCTATAACCACATCAACAACATGGCCTTCCAGGTCCCAACACACGTCCCTCGCCGGAGAACTTCCTATTCCACCCCTCACCCTCAACCACCGACCCTCAACATCCCCTCCTCGCCGGAACAGCGCGATGACGACACCGCACAATGGGTCCTATTCTCCCCGACCGCTCGGACGCACACGACTTCAACCGATCGCACGCAGACTGTAGCTCCCTCTCGACTGAGTGACTTCGGCTCCTTTGCTGCAACCCAGTCCGTATCTGGCGTTGAGGGTGAAGCTGATGACGAAAATGCCCTCGACGACCAACTGGACGAAGATGGAACCGAGCTGGACAGCCTAGACGATGGACTGCACGCCTTTCGAGCACCAGAGATGGCCCCGACTTCCCCAATACGGTTTGATCAGGGCCCGCCTGCGATGCTCCCCGCCCATGACGGGTTGGGCAGTTTCCAGGCCTCGAGTCAGGCAGTCCAGGAACAGCTGTGGCAGCACGAGCAATACAACCCCCAACGACCCTCATATGGCCATCTCCAACATCGCCGTAACTCAAGTGTGCAGAGGCATTTGGACAGTATGGAGGAGGGCGAGGCAGATGTCGAGCGAGAACGGTGGCAGCGAATCGAAGAATGGCGCATGGACCAAAGCCGGGCTCTGTTACAGGAGATCGAACGGGAAACCCGACAGCGGCGGTCTAGTCTCGCCAGCCGATCGAGCCTTCATCATTCTGTTGATCGCAGCCCTCAAGCTCGCGTGCCTGAGGTTCTATCACGGAATATATCGTTGTCGAGAGATGTTTCAGAGGACGAAGACTCTTTCTGGCGCCGTATCACACGAACGGTGATCCGTGACCTGATCGGGATTGATGATTCCTTGCTCTCCGTGATCTTCGGTGAGTCATTGCCGCTGGACGCGCAACCTCATACCCAGGAAGATCCTCTAGACATAGAAACAGCACTAGCTCGTGAACCGGAGCCAGAGTTTAGCGACTCGCCGATGTGGCAGACAAAGGTACTTCAGACGATCGCCCATGAGCTCGGGATCCTTGTCCATCAACTTTGCGAACACCCCGGTGCATTTACCACATATTACCAAATGACTAAAGATATATCCGCCGAATATGCGGGCATGTCTCTCAACCGCCTAACGGAAAGCGGCATCTCCCAGAAACCCGCCGAGTCCACCACATCAATTACTGCCGATACAACTGGCGATTCCATGCCATCCCCGCACTTCATCCCCACACTGCGAGACGCAAATCGAGAGCATGAAGCACAATGGGGTATTGAAGATGAAGATCCAAAACGATCTGACCAACTCCCCGAATCAACAAAGCTCCAACGCGAATCCGAGTACTGGGAAAGTGGACTTGATGTAATGATGGTCTTCCGCTACCTCCGCAACCGTTTCAGCCGCCGAGGTTACATGACCAACGAAACGTACACACCGACCCCACCCCGCCCGCGGCAAGATGCATCTCGCCGGGCAGCCATCATCCGGCAACATCACCCTCTCGTAGCGCGAGCCCACTCCCGCTCCCAAACCCAGACCCGTCGCGTGTCACAATTCTCCGGTGTATCAAACCCAGCGGGTGTCTCCTCGCCACTCCTACGACCGCATCCCCGACGACCTGGCTCCAGTTGCGCCAGCCAAAGCGCCAAGCTCTCGGTTATTTCCAGTCGGCGGACGATGACAAGTTCTAGCCGGAACTACTGGGATATTGGCGGCAGTGAAACCAACAGTGCCATTGGTGTTGGAGCGGGGCTCGGCACTTGGGGTGAGGTGTGAACATTCGCATACTTGCTGAGCACATGATGCATTCATTGGAGTCGGTAAGTGGCAATGTTATTTCGGCGCATCGCTTGTTATATATGGGCTGCATACTGTTTCATGATCATTCAACGAACTAGCAATTTTTGGTTTCATAGCTTTTTTGTTTATACCTGTTGATTATGGTGGGAGGGTTTGTTATTCTCGATCTCTTCTCTTCATATATTGAAACTCGAACATACGGCATACGGTCTCGTCATTACCTATACATTTCGGCTAAAAGGTCTAGTGGTGGGATAAACAAGTCAGGCTTGAGCAGTCGGTACTACAAGCTACCTGACTCTCCATCGTTACCTAGTTTCCGCACTCGTAGAACCGCACTCTGCGTAAATATAAACACCAGCCGTCGTTCACCTGATATGCTCAACCATAGCATAGATGTCATCCAAACTTGGGAGATCGTGGTTCTTGCGGATCAACCTTCCACTACAAAATCCAGAATTCCCATTTAACCAAACAGATCACTTTACCGCAGCACCCCAGGGCAGATCTCTATTAAAGATAGGCTGTCCCTTACTTTCGGGCGCATCGACATCAAAATCAATACGATCTGGCACCTCGAACCCAGCCTCGAGATGATGTCTGACCAAGAGCAAGGAAACACCATCGCGGAACAACCAAGCATCTTCCGTCCTGCGCTGCCACTTCTCCAGCGTGGCCCTCATATCTTCCAGAACGGACCGATACTCAGCATCATTGGCAAGATTGCGAATCTCATTCGGATCAGCTTGGATATCATACAGCTCTTCAGCCGGACGGAAGAAATAATCCTTCAAAGGTCTAGACCCAATCATCTTCGTGCTAGTACCGGCATTCCGGATCTCCTCCCATGTCAATGACCCATATATATCAGCCGCGAACGGGAAATCAAGTCTCCACGCAATATTGCAGTGGTACTTAGATCGACGGTTACGCATCATGCACGTTAGCTAGTAGTTGGTGATCTCATGGAATGTGTGTGAACCGAAGACCTGGCCCCAGTCCTCAAGAGGAGATGTTTCAGCGAGGATGGGGAGTATCGAACGACCGATACGATCTGGATGCTCGGGGCTAGGATGGTTCGCATAATCGAGAAGAGTGGCAGAATGTCGGTGTACGACACGGTATTCGGGTTGACAATTCCGGGAGGTGATCCGGGGTATTTCATGATCAATGGCAGACTGACACCGGCGTCGTATAGTGTTGTCTTGGAATTAATGAACGGTGACCTATTATTACTTAGGAAGATAATCAGTGTATCATCTGCCAGACCAGATCTCTTCAATCCGTTCAACACCATACCAACGCCTTGATCGAGTCGGGAGATAGACTTATAATATTCGGCGAATTCATAGCGCACGCCGGGTAGATCGTTGACGAAGGGCGGAATTTCGACGTCCTCGGGCGAGTACTCAATCTTCTTCACCCGGGGGTCATATTCGCCGTCATTCCCAAACCCGGATTGAGTCCAGTCCCGATGTGGATCAATTAAGGCAATTGTCAAGAAGAAAGGCTTCTCGTCTGTACTTGACTTCTCAAAGAACGCCGAAGCCTGATCAGCAACAGCTGCCACGTCGCGACTATCGCTCTCCGCGCGCATATCCCATGGGTAAACGCCCGATGGTCCGACATGGACCTTTCCGATCAAGCCAGTCGAGTAACCGTATTTAGAGAAAAAAAAAAAGGTGCAGTCTTGACATGGTCGAAAGTTGTAAAGTGGTGCCGATTATTATGCAGCCCGTATTGGCCATTTTGGTGAGTGTGCAGACCGGTATAGATGACAGAGCGACTAGCACTGCAAGAAGCAGTCGACGTAAATGCTTGCTCGAATTTCATCCCCTTGGAGGCGAGCTGGTCCAGGTTTGGGGTTTGGATCTTTGTGTTTCCGTAGCAGCCTAGTTGTTTGCCTAGATCGTCGGCAATCATCAGGATGTTGCGTTTAGCCATTGCGATGAGAAATCAACGAAGTTTCTACCGCAATTGAGATTCGGAAGGCGCTTTTTTTTCTTTTTAACTTGCCACTGGGATCCCTACGATATTATTATTTAGCTCGGCTTTTTATAGCCGGATGTCGGCTTCTTTCTTGCTAGAGTGTGGGGATGAGCTGTTGCGCGGATATCGGCCGGATCTCGCGTAGAAGCTGAGTTCTGAGTACTTCTCCCTTTTTGGGTCCACTATAGTATCGCGTCATATTTATATAGATTTCACGATAGACTGTACAATATCTGTTTCTTAAATATTTGGGTAAATGGATGAACAGTGGTGAAGTGGAGAGAAGGTGGAAAGCCGAAGCGGATATATATATACACTACTACTTTATAAGTGCTTGGTGCTGGATGCTATTGATGAAGAACAGTTTTGATGTAAAATAATAATTATTAATTATCAAAATTCACATAACTATCAAGTACCATATATTTTGAATTTTTCGTCTAAGCGTCTTATGTTGCAATCAGCTGGTGTCTAAAATAATTTACTATGAAATTAGGGATGTAGGGCAGGAAAACTAGTGTTGCGGATGGCGATGACCCATTGTGGAGCCAAATGTCAGACCTTTAACGTTAGATCTGCTTTTTTTTTACGTTAAGGCAATAGCCGACGATCAAAGAACATAAGACACGAGTTGATGAAAATAGGGCGCCCATGGATGAGCTAGATTCCTACGTGGGTTTCTAGGGATGGTATATCTAGGTCCTTAGCTAGTATCTATTATTAAAAGCCCCTGGCCACAACCATGTCGCTTCTTCCAGGGATACTCCCAACCACATTTTCATGCAATGTGGTGGAGTGGAACAGAGTAAAACATGAGACTACAACATAGGCTGCTCAGCCCTGGAGATCAAGGGCCAAACTTGTATACGCGTATAGATTGGACCCACTTGAATGCCATTGGCTCTAATTTATGTGATCGTCGGAATTGCAATTCTTCATTACATCCTTCTAACGGCACGATTATGCGTAATTTACAGCAGGAAGACTCGTTGGTTTTAGTTCGGAACATTTGCATTAAGGAAAATAAAGGAATTGAAGGTATTCACTTCCAATTATCTATGTAGTACATTGAACCTTTCGTGGAGTTTCTAAATGAGTGGCAAGTTTACCCCGACATACATCAATACATACCGGGGTAACTTTGAATACATGCATGTTCTATACGTCCGCCGTACTCGTATTCCAAATTTAACCTTGAGGGCTGGGTGGAGCATCGGGGCTCAATTCGGCGGATCTTGATATAAGGCTTTTTCCCAATGTACAGAGTTGATGCGAAGTTCTCTCTTGTTTAAGAATCCTAGCTCGTGTTGTCCCTTTCAACAGTATCCCTGCAACCTTTACTATCGTCTTGGTTTTCATTTTCTTGACATATTCATAAATTCTATTTGAACAATGGAACATTCTAAAATGTATTCGAAAGATGCTGAAACGGCGTCTCACGACCAGCCCGACGAGCACCCTCCACCCCCATACGAGGCAATTCCGCAAAATTTGAGTGAAGCTCAAGGTATCTCTGTCAACGGTGCGTTACCCCAACTTATCACACGGCTCTACCTCGGCAAAGCAAATCTGACTTGTTATAGATGACGGCCGTGTTGTCGTGGATGCTAGTTCTCGGCTCTGCAGATCTCTTTCTAAACTACTCCCTAATGCTGTCCGTCAGAGTGTATCTCCACCAAGCTATTCGGAAGGGGTACCGACATTCAAGTTGCCTCTGAATATTGTGATTCAAATCGTGGGGAGTAGAGGAGACGTCCAACCATTTGTTGCACTTGGCGCGGAGCTACAAAATATGGGTCACCGCGTGCGTATTGCAACACATAATGTCTTTGAGCAGTTCATTCTCGAAGCAGGCTTGGAGTTTTACCCTATCGGCGGTGATCCGGCCGATCTGATGTCATATATGGTCAAGAATCCCGGGTTGATCCCCAGCTTAGACAGTGTTCGCGAGGGAGATATTCAAAAGAAACAACTAATGATGGCGGAAATTCTCCATGGTTGCTGGCAATCATGCCTGATGCCCGACCCTATCACAAATGCCCCCTTCGTGGCCAATGCGATCATTGCCAATCCTCCGAGCTTTGCGCACGTCCACTGTGCCCAAGCCCTAGGAATTCCACTTCACTTGATGTTTACAATGCCGTGGAGCCCAACGACGGCTTTCCCGCACCCGTTAGCTAATTTGAAAAATATTCCCGCTAACCAAGCATGGCTCAATCGCGTTTCATATGGTGTGGTGGACTGGCTATCATGGCAGGGGTACGTAACGATGATTCCTTTACAACGTGTGTGCTGTGCGAATAGCTTACCTATCTTCTATTTGAAACAGCCTAGGCGGCGTGATCAACGATTGGCGGAAACACGAGCTCGAGCTCGAGCCTATCTCTCTTTCAGATGGCCCTTTCATTTTAACCAAACTAAATGTTCCCTATACATATTGCTGGTCCCCAGGCCTAGTTCCCAAACCCAATGACTGGCCTCATAATTTTGGTGAGAAATGATCACGTTTGCTGAAGTAGTTGAAGTAGGACTAACTCCCATGAATAGACGTGTGCGGGTTCTTCTTCCGGGATCCACCAAATTATCAACCCCCTGCCGAGATTGCGGAATTTCTCAACGCCGGACCTCCTCCAGTCTATTTCGGATTCGGTAGCATTGTGCTCGAAGACCCGGTAGAGATAACGAAAACGATTCTTCAGACGGTTCAGGAAACCGGGGTTCGGGCAATCATCTCACGCGGTTGGAGCAAGCTAGGAGGCGTGGACTCGGGAGAATTGAACAGGAGTGATGTTCTATTCATAGGCGATTGCCCGCACGAATGGCTATTTGAACGTGTCAGTGCAGTTGTTCATCATGGAGGTGCCGGTACAACGGCATGCGGGCTACGCAATGGAAAGCCTACTATCATTGTGCCCTTCTTCGGAGAGTAAGTGACACACTGCTCCTTCCTTCTCACTTGAATTACCCTATAGCATTTTTCTAATCTTTTCTGATCTATTTATAGCCAACCATTTTGGGGAGATATGGTTGCCACGGCCGGTGCAGGACCAGACCCTATTCCATACAAACAACTGAACGTCAACGCATTAGCGCACGCAGTACGGTTTTGTTTGACACCGGAGGCAGTGCGCTCCGCACGGCGTATTGCCACCGAAATGGAGAAGGAAAAAGGAGTGAAAACAGCCGTGGAATCGTTCCATCGGAATTTACCCAAAGGTCTAGTTGAATGTGATCTACTACAGGAATTCCCAGCCGTCTGGAGATATCGTCGCGGCAAGAAAAGATTTCGCCTGTCGAAAGTTGCTGCAGAGATCCTTGTTGAGAGGAATTTGTTGGATGTCAAAAGGCTGAAACCGTAAGTTTGAATCTTCCCACTCTAAACCCATCAAGCATGCGTTCCAAGCTCGGCGTTAGGCAAAACTTTGGCTAACCTCTTTTCAATGCAAGGTACCAACCAAACCCCATTATCATCGAGAACACACGATGGGACCCTGTTACTGGTATCTCATCTGCGGGAATGGGAGTCACATTTGACATGCTCAAAGCAGGTGGAGATATCTTTTATAAGCCATACAAGGTATACCAGGATGGTCGCACCGTACCCCTTCCATCACCAACCGGTTCCGAAAATACTGCCCCCCAACTACTGTCACAAGGAGACAATGGATCATCAATTCCCAAATCCCGATCGATGAATGATTTGACAGCAAGTAGGGAAATTGAGCCTAAAAAAAAAGGCAGAGGTGCTGCGATGGCTGCAGCATCGACTCATGCTTCTGGGAAGTTCCTAGGAAAGATCGCGTCTGGATTCATGGTCGATATTCCTTTGGCTGCGGCTGAAGGCTTTCGTGTACTCCCTGGTCTATATGGAGACAAAGTTCCCCAATACGGAAATGTAAAAGATTGGAAGTCTGGCGCAGTCGCAGGTGTCAAAAGCTTTGGCATTGGCATGGGAGGAGCTGTGACGGATGTGATCTATCAGCCATATAAAGGTGCTAGAGACGGAGGCGTCGCAGGCTTTGCGGGCGGCTTGTTCAAAGGCACATTCGGGGTGTTGGGCAAAATGGTACATGGTAAGAATGCACTTTCCCTTTTAAACCAACTTTTGTATTCTGTTATTTCATTTTCGCTGACTTCTTACCAACTAAAGGCTCCGTTGGCCTTGTTGCCTATCCCAGCCAAGGCATCAAACAGTCCATTTATTCGGCGTTTCATAAGAGCACACGCAACCTCATTTTGGCGGCTCTTCACCTCGAGGGAGAAGATGCGGTTCGGCAACAGAGAGTGAGAGGGTTTGACGATCAGAAGGTCATCGAAAGGTTCATGGCCATGACCAAAAGTGAGGTCGATGATGAGAGTGATTACATGTAGTCCAACTGATACGATGAAGGAACTGCATACCTGCTTCTGGCTTTGCCCTCTTAAAGTAAGGAGTGTTTGCATAATAGACATACTCGCCAGCGTCCATCTCAATATATGGAATATTAAGATGGTTCTTAAAAACTTGTGAGGTCTTATGGTTAAAGACTATCTTAACTGTTACTCATATTAAATCACTTTCGTATAGATAGATATATGCCGAGACCTTTCGGCTACTCCAATACTATGCATTAGACTATTATCTCTATGGGTTTCTGCTTCTCATTCTCCTGTATCTCTTCAAAGAAAGCACCCTCAATGCGTTTGACCTTTCGGCCCTCCCACCATGACGTTAAACCTGCTAGAAGCGAACTGAAACAGCCTAGACCAATGAAAAGGCCAACTCCGAAGGACGGGCGGGTATGGCGGTCATACTCCCACATAAACGTCGCCATTCCAATTTGGAACAAACTGTTCAACAACATATTTATCACGACAAAGTCCATTTTCCATGTTTTTGTAGGTGGAGCAACCTTGCCAGTCAGGGTCTCCCGGACCACCATTTCGTCACAATTTGACTCCTCGGAATCCTGCATCCTATACCAGCTCGAATTCCGCTTTGCCAGATGCATTATCGATTTCTTGGATGTGTTCGCCGAACCGAAGTGCCACATCAGCAGCCAATATGTGTCGCGAATCCGCCACGGCGCCAGTCCCCAAGAAGTTAGACAGAATAACCCATTGAGAATTTGGGAATCAATTTCGATCCATATTTCTTTGCGCTCCTTGCTCATGGAGCCGACGCCGAGTAACAGGAAAAACAGCATGGCACCCCAGGCGATAACGTTGAGACCATAAATCAGAATGAAAAGGCCCGTAGGTGTAAGAATGAATCTCCATGCTGCGAGGGCAGCCTTTTTAAAGGCGGTCCCCCAAGGCACCTTGGGAGCAATGATGTCTTCATTGTTCTTGTTGGGTTCAAGTTGAGATTCAGGCAGGCTTTCGACCGGTCCAGCTTTGTTCTTCTCTTCCTGGAAGGCTCCAAGTTCTATCGTAGGTGCCGTTGCTCTCCGAATTACCGCTCCACCGACTGAATCTTGAGTGCTGACTCGTCTTACGCCTCGACCGTGTACATCGAAGAAAACATCGTCGGGTGATCTCAGGTCCGTCACATTCGGGGCGTGCGCGATAGCTGTCCCGGTCGCCTGCCACATTCCACCGGAGGGATTGTAGTCAAGTAGTCTCGTGACAGTGCTAACCGAGGCTGAGCGTAGTGTCCGTCCTGTTGCCCGGAAGGATGGTATTGTGGTATTCGGGATGAGGAGCTGTTCAGTTTCTGGCTGGGCCGATTGCCCTTCGGTTATGGTCTGGTCCATAGCCATAATTCGTCAGTTGAATGTTTCGAAGCGCCGTCTGATTTGTGGAGGATGGTGCAAGTGGTGATGTTTCGTAGAAATCTGATATTACAACTTGTAGAACAACCGCAATAATTGAGATCTTGAAATTATCTAGGGGCTTGTGGGAAAACGGGTCTTATGTGGCTCAAAAATGGACTAAGTAATCTAAGGTTATTCTAAGTAACGCTGCAATCCTTGGGTCATCAAAGTGGATACAGTGGAGCTGAGGGCTTTTAAACTTTCGGTAATTTTCAAGGTTCCAGCGTTACCCTGAACGTACCGTATGCGTATCAATTTCTTGAAACAGAACACTGGAAAAAAGGATGGTGTAACCTGGATAGCTCTACAATCGGCTATTCTAGGCACCCTATATTTGTGAATGGCAATTTGCCACTCAATAATATTCGCCGCTAGTTTGATACTTCCAACTCATATCGCGGTTCTTAATACAATTCAAGCCTACCTTGTTGAGCGAGTTATGTATGAATATACTCCATGGATGCTATAGCACGGACTAGACTAATACGTTACTCGTCTATGTATTCTCTCTCCTGGGGTTAACACCGGGGGAATCCAATTGAAGAGTCACTGAAATACAACTAAAAGAAAGGTAGAAGAGGCTTAGAATACTGTACATGGCGCAGAACTTGACCTCACATCATCATGCATCGAGTCTTGTGGAGTTTTTGCAGAGTGGCATATTCCCGTGATGTGTGCTTGCATTTGGTTCTCCGGATCTCGATATCCACTGTTCCCTCACCATGCCACCATCGTAGATATTGAAGCTTGACCGTATGGAATTCCTGATGGCAGATTTCCCATTTCCCTCCACTGACCTCAACCGAAGTATTTCCCATTGGAAAATGGAAGTCAGGGAGGTATATTTCACTCGGTGTTTCGGGCGCGACCTGATTTGCAATCAACCTCATGGTGAAAGTACACTTCTTCAAATCGAATGCGTGACTTTCTAATTGCCCATTCGTGTAGATAGGAGTGGGTCGGAGAAATGCTTCCACTGCCCTGTAGCTCTGTTGCGGCCACAGGGTAGTCTGGGACAAATTACTTGAGGTGCAATTGGGTGTCGAAGCCTTGCACAAGCTAGCTTTCTCCTCTTTAACGTTGATAAGATGATCTTTAGAGCAGACTGTGGAATCGGACCTGGTTGAATGAGATGAGGTTGGGATAGGCGATTCCAAGTCATTCGGTGAGTATATAGAAAGATCCTCCCCATTCCACTGATCGCCCCATTCATGGTCGTTCTGGCGAGAGTTAGTCCAGCTTGTCTCTGTCAAAATCAGACTCGTATACATACCTCTGCCACATAGGCCCACAAAGCAAAGCCGTTGGCCTTGCTCCCTTCTAACGCAAAATGATTTGCATCCATTGCTTTGACCTGGCTGCGGTAGTCTCCACTCTTATATGCGTGTTTATCATCCATATCATATGGAATGCCAATCTCGCTGAAGAGTAAGGGATGATCACCCATATTTTGTAGACTTTCGTCACGTAGAAACTTGAGTTGACGACGTAGGATCTTTCGAATTGATTTCTCGCCGAATTTGATAGCGAAGGCTGGCGCAAGATACTTGCCTCGAAGCAACCCGACAATATCCAAGTTGTAGAGCCGATTCCTATTAGGATTAATATCATGAATGACAGGCGAGGCTTTTGTACTAACCAATGCTTCGTTAAAAGAGTCAGACCATCATAAAAGTGAGCAGCGTGAACCATGTTCGGGTCATCATCCACTGTACCCTTGAGAGTCGGTGGTAACTCCATGACTGGTGGCTGGCAAAACATAATAGTAGTTCCACACACATTGCGAAGGGCGTCCTTGTATGCTCGATAGTGATTCAGAAAATATGTGTTTGTAAAGCGTTCGTAGTCAAGAGTCTCGCCAGTCTGTGGGTTTCTTGAAAAGTAGTCCTTTTGTAGCAGGGTCGGCTTCCTTTCGGATGAATCCCAGACTCCATGTTGCCCCCAGAGGCATTCACCGAGCTTCCAGCCCGGATCGCGGTGCCAGCCATATTGAGAGTCGTCGTATTCGGTAGACAGCCATGCCTGTTCACCCTTTGGATCTATAACCTCCGTACCTGATTGGTATGGGCCGAATTTCCCGAAAGACCAGGTTTTTACCTTGCATGGCCATCCGGAACCAATGAGCATACCCTGAAATGCCGTTGGAGATGTACCGAGCTGGAGATGCTGCTCTGATGGTATTGAGGAAATATCTTGAGTCCCGATCAGGCCTTTATTGGGTTCGTTTATGCTTTCCCACCCAATTACTACCTCTCCTTCGAGATCACTGGCATTTTGGATTCTCTGTGCAAGGTATTCGCATGCCGCGATAAAGTGGCTTTGTAAATAATCCTGAATATTCACACCATCAATGATCGCCTTTGGTGCGAAATCTCGACCTGCCCAAAACAGAGTAAACATCGTCTGGCAGGCTAACCTAGTGTAGTTTGTACACCAAAGCATTTTGGGGAAATCTGCCGGATTGTCCCATGTGTTGTGAACGAGGGCTGCCTGTGTATCTTTGAAACTCTTTGGATTTAGTCCTGCAGCATAGAGCGTCCATGAAGGTGCTCCCGATCCTCCTGATAACCGAGACCACTTGGAATAGTAAGCTTAGACCTCATGGACGATAAGGGTCACTCAAGACCAGACTTACTACATCTTGATGCGGATCCATGAAAATGTAGAAATTGTATTGCTTGGCGATACGAAGAATCCCAATGGTGAAATCGATCCAATGCTCATCGTAAATCCTAGGTCCGGCATGTTCAATTGCCTCCCAAGTGAAGATATATCGAATGGTGTTGTATCCCCATTTTCGAAGACGTTGGAAATGTATGTCGGCATCTTCCAGGGAGAACGGCCTTCCCACGAACGATACGTCCTCCTCGAAGAACTCCTGGAGATTATGCGATCTGAGATCTGGGGTCTTCGGATATTTAGCATCACCTGCCACATTTATTCCACGCAAAATGATTTCTCGATTCAGGGGATCTCGAAATGTTCGTCCATCGACGCGCAGACGGAGATGATTCATGTCGTTGGCCGCACTTCATGAGCCCATGCACCACTTAGTTAGCGAATGGGCTGGAGCCAAGCACAACTCGCAAGGAGGAAGCAGATTGCAATGCCACAAGTAACACCGGGTCATTTGAGGAACGGGACGTCTGTAAAGGGAAACGAGAGATTAGCAAGAGTCAGTTTAGAAAGTCGTACCATAACCTCCAAGTTTGTGTTGTTTGAAAATATCCGCAAAATATGCCAGTGTCACTATCACTCACCTTAATCAATTTCAAGTTTGTGCAGCGGACGAAGCTGTACAACAGAAAGGTAGTTAGTGGTAAAGTTAGGATAGCAGTAAGCTACATTCACTTAATAATCCGATCTCAATTGGAAGTGGACTGATGACGTGCAAGCTTGTTCTATGGTAGCCGATATGGTAAAAACGCTGTTGCCTCTATCATTGCCACTGCTATACGAGCTTATACGATCTCTCAATCTGATTAGGGAGATGCATGGATATTATTATACACAACTAGCAAGCATTGTATTTTAAACTGCGTATTTGTAAAAGTACTGTAATTTTTGTAACAAACTCAGAACCCCGTACGTATTCGGATACTGTTTGCTGCATGGAACGCGAGAAATCCCTGGATCGAGTGGATCCCTATCCCTCGGATTGTAAATTTGGGTTACTGTGCCTAAACGAACAGCCAATCAGCGCAGTGCACCTTTGTATGCACGGACAGTGGGGCTACTACTATAAGATCTCTATACGAGTACGCGCATAGCTCGCCGGTGGGTTCATCTCTTTTTTCAGTTGTCAAAATTTGTTCGCCTTTGGAAGAAATTATACTTGACTGGCCGAGGATTTTGTTTAAGTTCAAAGCCTTTAAGACGCCCCCAATTGTTCCATAAAATTAATTTTGGATTTTTAGTACGAAAAGTGTGTCGCATTCATATAGAGGAGTGGGTTTTCATGCCTGCGAACTGTTTCGTGCTATATGTATATGTATATCCGGGTCCGATATTGGTTTTAATCAAGCCATTATTTAGATGTCACGGAACTTGGGAGAAATTAATACCAGAGGCAGGATGGGAACGAAATTGTAGGTTGTATTGAGTTGTTAGAGAAGGAGAGAAAAATAGTGAAGATCCTTTCTGCCCAAGGCAGAAATGGCTTCTGAACAAACATCCATCAGAGAATGTTTCAATCTGATAAATTGCCAGTACAAAGAGATATAAGAACACAGTGGATGATAATGAAAGAAAATAAAGATGATACAAAAGAAGGGTAAAATACAGAACATAGGAAAAGACGCTGATAATAGCTAGAGGCCCCTATTAACAGGTCCACACCACAATTGTTTCGAAATTAGCACGGTAATCTATGCATTATATGACAGGCGCATTTGCCAATTGTGGACATTTTCCTATGAAATCTTTCTGCGGATGCGCATTTGATTCCACGGCGATGATGTCACGATCTATTTAGCGCAGGTGAAAGATGTGGCGTTCCTGGAATCACCGCCAATGAACTTCTGGCGGAGGGGATACGGGCACAAGTCTCGTGCAGTGTTGTTGCTGCCTTTGGTAGCGTGGAGAGTGACAGGAGCATGGTCTTTTTCGACCCATTCCATCAATTGCGACATGGCACCATTGGGAATTGGGCCCATTCCACCATAACAGTGGCCAACGCCAGGCGCTTCGAAGAAGCGGTAGAAGTCGTGAGCTTTGGGATCCTGCTTCAACACTTCCTCGTAGTAGCTGACTGTTCCATTTGGTGGGATTGTTTCGTCTGCAAGTCCATGCCACGCAATTATCTTTCCACCATGTGCCTTAAACTTGGACAAATCAGGGTTGTTGTTTCCGACCATTGATTCATACTGGCGGGTTGAGGCATGCAACATATCAAAAAACATAGAATCAGTCATGTTCTGAAGTGAGAAGCTAGCATCTTTGGCAACGGCGTATTTGAACCAGTTGCCGAATAAGGAACTATCCCCAGTGGTGCATGTGCCATTGCCGGTACAGGTGGTTGGGACATAGTAGCGGTCGATTGCTGCGTCTTTGTTGACGCCAGTCCAACCAGCCTCCCCAGACCCAGACCAGGCAGCTTGAACAACCTTTGCACCTGACGCGCTCAGAGTATGCTGTACTCCTTTGCATGTGTAGTCCTGTCCGACGAAGTCGTGGGCCCTGACATTGCAATAATTTGGCAAGCTGATAATGCCATCTTCCACTCCATCCAACCTATCACAGGCTTTGATTGCTGCTTTGGTGAAAGCCTGAACCTCACAAGGAGATGGGTAAATATGGTGCTTGTTCATGACATGCGCGGGCCAGTAGCCTGCAGGAATGAAGGTTTCCAGGTTGATAGCGGGAGCGATAGCCAAGATGCCGTCGAAGACATCCGGATAGTCTTGCGCCATCATTAGGCCTTGTCTTCCACCGCCAGAGCACCCGGCAAAATAGGAATATTTGGCAGCTTTCTTGTAAAACGACTTGGTGATCTGCTTTCCAATCACTCCCATGTCATTGGTGGCCTTGGATGCATAGTCTTCGAATAGATACCAATCGAGGTTATTTTTGCTCTTCAGAGACCACGTGAGATCGGTTGGAACAGCTTGGCCTCCCACCTCATGACCTCCATCGGTGGAGGTAGATGCGAAACCTTGGGCGACGGCGTATGTGAGGTAGGTAGGGCCGAAGCCAGTGCTGTAACCTCCACCACCCAAAGCTTGGAACTTGCCATTCCAGTCCTCGAGTGGTAGCCAGATCTGAGTGTTGATTGTATCATTCCAACCAGGATGAGTGTATGTAACTGTGACGTTGCAAAAGCTGATGGTGTACTTCTTTCCCTCATTGGAACCCGGGCCAAGACTGACAGCTGAATAGTTGTGGACTTCGTCAGCTTGAACACCGAGGATAGAAGCTCCAAGTAGCTCGGGTTTGGGGAGATGGGACGGCGAGCATCTAGAGACTGTTGCGGCTTGCGTGGCTACCGCACCCACAGCAACTAATGTAGCTGAAAGTTGAACCATCTTGATTGTGTTTAATTAAAGTTCTCCAGGGGCAAGCGAAGAGGTTTATATATCAACGATTTTAGTAATATGGGGCCCTTGAAACCTTGCAAATTCAACTAAGCATGTTCATCAATACGTATGTTGTAGTACTCGCCCCAGATAAAAGGTATTTCATGCTCCATTCTGGAGATCGGTACCTGCGTATCCGTATCTAATTATGTTTTCCGCGTACCCATCCGATTTCCTATACCAACCTTGATTAAGCTACCGTTCTCATTTGATAACTAGCACATTTTTCTCGTGTGTTCCACCTGATAATTCGATGATTTGATGTCATGACTTTTGATTTGTTTGGGGAGTGGGTAGACATACGTGCTAAGGTATATATGTCACTTGCGCGGCTGTATTCTGTAGTAAGGAACGGGTTAGCTTGTTCGTATGGTTGGGGTGCCTAGCACAAAGTATATAGTACCGTGAATATCTGTAAGATCGCCATGGAGTTAATGTTCAGAATAGAGTATTATGGAGCCACTATTGGTGTGCTAGGGGCAAAGTGGAGACGATCTATACGCGTATTCAGATTTTAGAACTAGAATATGAGCGAGCACCTATGGCATTGACGCCGAAAATGGCTCCCCTTTAGCTCAATCCAAGTCCCCTCCTTGTTCATCCAGTCTATTTAAGTGCCTATTAAATACCTCGCCTTCTCTCCCTTCCCGTGTCCTTAGACCTCCTATTCCCCTATCCTCGTTGCCCACGTCTCTTCATGACCTTGACTTTGTCTTTTCTGTCCAGTACCAAGTCTGAATACATGGTAGAAACCGGGTATTATACCATTGAAAACGATGTGACATTGGGTACTAGGCATGCCATGCAAAAGTGTATATCACAGTTAGTCATCAATGTCCGCACAGACTGTGAAATAGCGGGTTTTGTCATTTGTACAAGTCCGGTACGAGGAATTAGATGGACCAGACGATCCCAAAACCCTCAATATTATCAAACACCTTGGCAGAGTTTATATTGTCAATCAAAGATTGAACGGTACCGAGTGTATGTATGTACGGGTGATGGCTGGGTATGAGAAAGTGTAGGGATCGGAACACACGTTCACCCTTAGAATGGTCAACTATGTTGTCGTTCTTTACGAAGCTCAAAATAAGTGGCATAACGCTGTGAAAATGTATAGCTGGGTACGGGAACACCCACCTAACCGCACTTTAATCCTTGGTATCGTCGACGTCCGATAGGTGGGCCCAAGGAGATGCATGTACGAGCGAGGGAATGTTGAAATATAAGTCTAATGTACTAGTTTACTCCATTGAGCAATGATGAACAAAGATGCCTTTTTATGAGTTTATAAAGTAAGGGAATGATGACCTGTTGCGCGAAGAAGATCGGCGAATCTGGAGGGTTGCGAAGCCAGAGTGACTGGGTTTCCACATTCCACGATACTTCCTTCATCAAGCACTATGACTTGATTGTAATCCAAGATCGTTTCGAGTCTGTGCGCGATGCACACCACTGTATGCTCGGGAAACTGTTCGCGAAGCACATCAAGAATGATGGTCTCGGTCTCCTGATCAACACTGTTATCGAGAACGAGGGGTTAGTTTGGCAGCAGAGGATAACTTAAATAAAGATTGGTGCAAGGCCCCACCTGCTTGTAACCTCATCTAGTATGAGAATTCTTGACGCCCCCAAGACTGCACGAGCGACACAAAAAAGTTGCCGTTGGCCATGGGACAGCAGGTCATCTGTCATCGGGACATCCAAGCCGCCTTTCTTTATTATGAGCTCATGCAGTCCAAGCCTGGTCAGAATTTCACACATTTCCTCGTCCGAGTGTTGCCCTTGGATGTCCAAGTTCTCGCGGACCGTACCATAGTAAAAGAATGACTCCTGGGGCAGAGTGATGAGCCTGGACCGAACCTCCTGCGGCGCCATAGTAGAAATGTCCAAACCATCGATTTCGATGGAGCCGCTACGAAGTTCCAACATTCGCAACAGCGATCCCACGAGGGAACTCTTACCACTGATATATTATTAATGGAGAGGCCTTAGTTACACCAGACCTTGGGCCCAGAGAAGTATTCTTACCTGCCAGTTCTGCCGCAAACCGCCAGCTTTTGTCCCGGCTGGACTTCTAGAGAGACGTTCTTGAGCACTAGTGAGGACTCGCAGCTGCCAAGAAAATATCGGCCTTCAGTTCCTGGTATTCCTTTTCTGTCATTCAAACCTTTAGCTGTTGACTCACCTGTAGGCTGCCGAGACATCATGGAAGCGGATTAGGCCCTGATCAGGCCAGTTCAGGGGTGGAGGCTCTCTTGCCTCCGGTTGATCCTCGCGCGGAGTATTCGACGTGAAATCTTGGATACGGGCAATTGCACCCATTGCGATCTCCAAAGCGGTCCAATTGTACACGAGGCCCTTCAGGTTAGCGCCAAACGCGATAACATTGACCAGTGCAAGACCAATTGATGCACCCGTCGAACTCCTAGTCGTAACCGCAACACTGACCAAGGTAATGGCCAAGAATGCGACGATCATATCCAATGTGAGGGTGAGCCATAGTTGGGCACAATATAACAGATATAGAGATTGTTGGGCCGTCCCTAGCAGACGATCATTTTGGATGGCGTATGATCGCATCCAGCCAAATGCGCGAACACTGCTCAACCCTTGTAGTGTTTCCATAAAATGGGTCAAAAGAGGCGCCCGAGCTTGGATTTCAAGGATGCGAAGTTGTCGTGAGGTTTTGAGATAATACTTTTGTACCAGGTACAGAAGGCCGATCAGGGCCGGCACAGCCGCGGCGACGTATTTGGAGCTCCACAAGATAACAACCAACTCGCCGATACATAATAGGAAAGCCATCATAGTGCCGATGAGTGACCGAGGGAGTTCCATGTCAACCAATTCAAGATCTTGACTGAAACGGTTGGCGATCTCTCCGCTGTCAGTACCGGAGAAAAACACCAACGGGGCTCTAATTGTAAACATCAGCCATATTGTTCCCTGGGCTGGCTGAAAATCGAATCCAACCTTAAAACTGTCTTAAGCAGCAGTTCGTGGAATTCTCTGGCGGTTCTCGGGACCATAACTATCATTAGTTGCCTGCAGTCGGTTTGTCAACATCGACTATTTGAAACTTGAAGTCAGGTTTGCAAAGAACCTACAAACATGCACCCAGGAATAAAAGGATAGCCAAGGCAGACCAAAGCACGTATAGCGAAAGATAGTATGCCAGTCGATCATTTGCCTTTCTGGCATTAGCCTCTACCCAGAACTTAATCCAGATTTCTGAGGACGTTAGTCTCGCCATGAGTATAAACAAGTCAGAAAGGAGGAAGGGTATACGTCGACTTACGGGAGAACAACAAGCCAAAGACGAAGCCAGAACAAAGCACAGAGAAGACAAAAAATGACACGCGCCCCGTCTTGTCCACGTAAAATTTGTAGATAGTCAGGTCACTGGTTGGCCGATTTTCAGCATTCAGATTGGGATTTTGTAGGGCAGAGTCATCTAGTGCAGCATGTTTGTCGTCGCCCTGGTGATCTGTCTGTTCGATTCTGTCACCTTTAGGGTCAAGGCTTGCCAGGTAACCTCCTTGACTGATCAATTCCGAATGGATGCCTTGTTCGACTATTGTGCCACCTGGTCCTAAGACAATGATGTAATCCGACAGGGAAATATTGCGAACTAGAAGAGAGGTTCCTCCACAGTCAGTGGGAGAACTTATAGACCCCATACTTATCGCGACCTACTGGAGTTTGTGGCAAGAACAGTTGTCGTGCCCTCCTGCCTCAACAGACCGCCGGGTCCGAAAAGCGCAGCAAAGACATCTTGTTCTGTTTCTGTGTCCAGACCGGCGAACACATCATCTAAAACAACCAATGGTTTCCTCGCATACAGTGCTCGTGCCAACGCCTGATTCAAGGTCAGCTCAAAATTTGAGAAAAACGGAAAGAAAAATGGGAAAAGAGATGAAAACAAGTAAATAGAAGCGTTTAATTACCAGACGGCCTTTCTGGCCACCACTTAACATTATACCCTTGCTTCCAATCATGGCATCCTCTCTCCCGGGAAGCTGAGCGAAGTCCCGATCTAAGGCACAGCTCCTGACGACAGTGTTGTACCACTGACTGTTGAATTCGGAATGTCCTAGAATATTGTCTTTGAGGGTCGCATTGATCAACCATGGAGTCTGGCTGCAGAACGCTGCTTCCACATCCTGTACGATGACCGTTCCCATTGTATGGGGTATCTCGCCCAGAATAGTGTGCAGGAGGCTTGACTTTCCCGATCCAACAGGCCCGATAACTGTCACAAATGATCCCTGTTGGACATTTGCGTCCACGTGATTGATCACAGGCTTTGATGATCTCTCCCAGCCCGCAGAACAGTTGCGCAATAAAATCACGGTCCTGGAATCTATATCTCCCGACACATTGGGCCTTAATAAGTTCTTCTCTTCGTCCTTTTCGCCATCCTTATCGTTAGAACGTGCGGATTTCTTGAGCCAGGCACTGAAATTTAAATCGGTCGTACTGCAAGTATCACCTGGAAGCGGAATTCCACCCTCCAGCGCAAGATATTTCCGAATACGTTCCAGGCTGGTTAGTGCTTGAACCCATCCCATTATAGCGTCAATAACTCTTCCTGCGGCCTGGCAGAGAAGTGATATAATTGTCAAGGACGTGTAAGCAGTAGCTGCAGTCAGTGGGGTCGTATTTCGGATCATGGCGAGAATACTATATGTGCCAAAGGCAAAGGGCGGTGCCATTGTGGTTGCCAGATATGCTAAATGAAGTTAAGGAGCTCAGAACGGACCCAGAGGCGACAGCGGGAGGTTCACAACCTACATAACGTCACAAGCATGACCAGCACTTCTCGAAATTTAATGGACTTTTGGATTTCATATGTTCTCAGCTTTGTGATAACTGATTTTAGAATATCCGTTGAACCGGTTGCTTTGACTCCCTTCATGGTGCCAATTGCTGCCACGGTTGTTGCGATCCGAGTTTGCATCGCCTCAAGCCATATCTTCTGGCGAATGCCCATATATCTGCTTACTTTGCCACTGATGATAATACAAGCTGCTCGATAGTTACCATGAGTTAGTTACTCTAATCTCTAGAATGAATGAATTCAATGAAACGAGAGAGGAAGCAAAAAGGGAGAGGGTATTTGGCATATGTTACCTATGACCACCGCGGCAGCTGCAACGGTCGATACTCCGATCTTAATATCAAGTAACCATAGAGATAGACCGATTTCGAGCACGCTGGCCCAAGTCTCATGAAAGCTGCGGAGCCCCAATCCTATCCGTTCGATGTCAGCATTAATCAAAGTCAACGCATCGCTTTTGGAGGGGGCGGATATATTCAAGTTCAGGATATGGTCGTAAACCAAGAGGATTAAGGCGCCGCGCACCATCACGACTGTACGATAAGACCGATGATGAAACATCGCTGTCATCCACTATGAGGGTTCTCTAAATGAGCAATCATGTCGATCTCGGGGCCAGAAGCCAGGTTACATGCGCAACTTACGGCAATGCCAACGTAGACGACACCGTAGGCTGCAATCAAGCCGTACGCTATTTCGTTGCTCGTGGAGCTACTGGATTGCCCTAAAATGCCCGTCACACGGTTGACTAGGAAGGGCTGGGCATAGTTGACGCCTGTTAGGCACAGACGTGGCAGAACACCGGCTAGAAGCGGCCACTTGTATAGTGCTAGTAGGACGTTAAGGAGGCTCCTAGATTGCTCTTTTGCAGCTAAGGAGAAATGGAGAGATTAGTTGAACCACTTCATTATTAGGATGTGATAGGGTCTCATTACCATGTTTCCACTTCTGCCGGATCTCGTCTTTTGATCCTTCCAAACTGATATCCTCATCAACTTGTAACAGATCATCGAATTCCAGGGATCGTTTGTAGCCCGCCCGCAGCTGCGGATTGAACCACCAGAAGGCACTTAGGTTTAGTATGCCCGCTGTCTGCTCGGGAGGCAAGGATCGGGCCATAAGGCTTCTCTTCTCTGTTGCTTCCAGAGCAAGGAGTATCGATTTACACACCACGAGCGTGGTGAATACAATCGCGATGGCTTCATTTCTAGGCATGTAGAACATGGTGCGCGCTCGTGCCGCGTCCATAGGAATAGATCCTAGTAAATATACATTTAAGATAATGGACGGTCGCTGTGATCTATTGTGTTCCTGGTGCGATAGGAAAGCGAACATCGGTGAAACTGCGAACCCAATTGCGATGGCTGCATTGGATAATCTGGTGGTAGATGTCTTGAGCACCAACGAGAGCACCAAATGTGCAACTCCCAGCAAGATAAATATGAACCAATATACCTTCAATGGAGGGTTTTAATCTAGTTAGATGGTCTCTCGTATGCAAAAACTATATCGGAGGAGGTTTTTGAGAGGGGGGGTTCATCTCTGTTATCAAAGAAGGAGGCACTTACTTGCTTGACATACCACAGAACCCCTCGATAACTGAGAACTTTCTTTGCAGATCGGAGTTTCCACAGACGCCAACATCCCATGACGCTTGCGATCAAGAGGGCAGGTAGGTAAAGCACGCTTTCTTCGAATAGCAGGGTGAAATCGAAATTATCGTAGCAATCGGACACCTGCGGACCAAATACGTCCTCCACTTGAATCCGACATTGTTCCATGGCGTCTTCCTGATCCAAGATTCGCTGTCATTAAAATTGTGTCGATATCTTCATGGGAAAAGGGGGTTAGAGATATGAAGATGTCGCGGGTTAGCGAGCGGTGTAAGAAGATGCGGACCTCGGGGTGCGCCTCCAGCGCTCTCTTTATACCGAGCTTCTGAATAACCGCCGTAAGCCACTGGGGGTATAATCCGATTCCACAGATCATATTTGATAGATGCAGGGTTAGAAGAACCTCACTTTCTGGGCGTTGTGGGATGATGTAAGATACGATTATCCACATGAGACTCGGTGAAAGGCCATTCTATCAGGGGTTTTACTATCCCTACCGCTACGCAGAAACAGCTTTTCTGACAATATATATAAATCCCACTAAATCTCATCAAGTCGCACCCCGGTGCCAAAATACATTGCTTGGAATTCTACATTGACTTTAAGTCTTCGACATGATGGCTATTGCAACGCTTGATTTCGCTAAGTTCCACGGCGGCTCTGACGCAGAACGTCGTGAATTCGCCTCTGCTCTAACGGACGGATTCAGGCGTCTCGGTTTTGTCAAGCTGATCAACCATGGCTTCTCTAAGGATGAAATTTCTGATTTGTTCCAATTGGTACGGGTTCTCTCTTAACAGCCGACTCCGCTTTATTTGGTTCCTGAACTTACCAGAAGGGTTAAAATAGAACAAAGATTTCTTCAATTTACCTAATTCATACAAGGCTAGCATCCAGAATGATGAAGGTCCCAAGCCACAACGAGGATGGAGTCACGTTGGAGCCGAAAAGACGGGCCTACTGAACCCAGGCGGCAAGACTAATCTCGCTAAAACCGATCAACACGACCTCCAAGATGCCAAGGTGAGAATATACTAAAGGCCTCCCGTGCGGATGCCAAACATTAGGCCGGAGTGAACATATGTTGACGTGTTCTTTTTTGTTCGTCCCCAGGAGCACTTCGATACGGGCCCAGTTGAAGACATGCAGTATCAGAACAAATGGCCCTCTCCGGATCGCCTGCCTGGGTTTCGACCATGGCTGGAGTCATACTTTTACCGTAGCCAGGCCATCACACTGGAGCTGATGGCAGCGCTGGAGCTGGGTCTGGGGATTCCTCAGGGTAGCTTCGTTGGCTTATGCCAGGGTCACGCCAGCGAGCTACGCCTGAACCACTACCCATCCATTGCCCTCCGCACGCTCAGGGACGGTAGGACAAGCCGTATCTGGCCGCATACTGACTTTGGCATCATCACGCTGCTGGCGCAGGATGACCGTGGCGGCCTTGAGGTGCAAAACAAGGAGGCCCCGGACGACTTTATCCCCGTGTCGCGCGAGGATTCGTCTGAATTTGTGGTGAACATCGGCGACACCCTCGAAAGGTGGACGAACGGCGTCCTCAAGGCGGGCTTGCACAGGGTCACAACTCCGCGACGCGACGCAGTTTCCAGCGGCAACGATGAGATGTTGCCGGCGCGGCGGTCCATTGCCTTTTTCCTTAAGGCTCACCGGGATATGTCCGTTGGACCGCTACCACCCTTTGTGTCGGATCTCTGTCCTCCCCACTATGAGGATATGACGGCCTTGGCGTATCAGCAGTTGCGGACGAATATCGTTTATTAGACCGACAAGGAGGACAAAAGCGTTAGTCATGGGGGAACTGCAGGCCATACCAGGGACGAGGTGCAACGTCTCTTAATCTAGCGGTATATAATCCTATTATATTTTTCGCTGACAGTTACCCTGTGCTCCTGATCAAGTATCAAACGACGTGGTACTTTCTTTACCTACATAAAACAGAGTTCGCTTGCCGCATCATCTCATTCGACTGTGAGGGAAGAAGCTAAATTCCAAGGCCTCATCTATACAAACAGTATGTTTCAAAGCCATATTGAGAAAAGAAAACAAATTAGTGGAAAGGAATAATCATCAGTAGACGCAGAAAGACTTTATTTGGAAAGGCATAGTTGCTGTATACGCAACACAAACGGGCGATGCGTGGGCTGGATAACCGTGTCTTTTCTTTTGGCGACTTTGTTTTGGCCGGAGCCTGGGACCCAGGGTGTTGTAGACCGGAGCCGCAAAGAGTGCAATAAGTGGGTTATACCACCGCCTTGCATAGTTGAAGCAAATGTTCTGTGTCGTATACGTATTCGCTGAGGGAGGCTATGTCGACCGTCTCAAACCCAAAGTTTTGCGAGAGATCTAATCCGCCTAGCACGTCAAATACCCCTTTGGGTAGAGCCTGGCTCAAGCTCCGCAAGTACGTACCCCGATGTTCTTGTAGGTATGTCAAGAAGATCCGGATGGTATCACTTGGTAACTTCTCCACCCTAGATGCGAGAGAGATTCAGTCAGTCCGTGTGTTGCATTTGGCTGTGAAAGTCAGACTTACTGATCTATACTGATGGAGTATTGCCCAGCGCAAGGTATCAGGGCCAGAATTGCTCCGGGAAAGGTATGTTCAAAGGTATACCAGTTGCGCGCGCATGATAAGCGGTTACGCAGTTGGGTTAACTTTCTAGCATACATGCAGTCGTTGGTCTGACGACTCTCCCCTACGGGAAGCGGAGTGAGACCCGGGTATAGCATTTGCATTAGATCCGTTAGAGCCTGCGTCTTGGACCGGTTCTTGGGTCGATCCTTGCGTACATGTCGATCACTCGTATCGGCTGATCGACCTCCATCATTTCCGCTGTCGCGGATCAGCTGCAGGCGAGCGCAGTCATATTTCAGCATGGGCTTGGATCCTCGCCCGGCAAGTTTGGTGGCAATATGATCTTGTTCCAGTCGGGTACGATGGGCTGAGAGACGTACAAGGTAATATCGCCGGAGGATGTGTGAGAGGGCAGTGATGGAGTCAAGTCGGTCAAGGGCTTGCACAGTGGTTGCAAGGTCGTTCTGAAGGCCGGATTGCACCACCGGAATCATGGAGTTCTTCCGTGCGAATTGGAGTGCATGACGTAATTGGCTCAAAGCGTCCGGACTCCCAATCGCGTAAAAGAGACACGTCAAGAGCTGCGCGACAGACCGCTTGTTCTCAGGGAGCTGGTGGCTAAACGCCGCAAACACCTGATTAGCCGACGGCAAATGAACCGGAGTGCAATCCAACAGCACCACCGATGAGATCTCAGTTGCGTAGGGACCTATAATCTGGGTACCCCCTTCCTGTACATCATTGCAGGGCGGTGCCCCCAGTAGAGTCTCCTCGCCACCCTCAGACTCATTCCTAGGCATTTCATGCGTGGACTGCGCTTGGACGACCTGTGTGCCACCAACGCTAGCAGGGGCCCAAGCCAGAAGACCGTGGGAAACCGCACGGCTTACGCGGGAATCCCAGGCAGCTGAGATTTGGGATCGGGATGCCGAGGGAGTAGGCTGCTGTGTGGATATGGCCGGAGAACTGGGAGCTGGGGAGAGTGTCCCCTTTCGTTGCGGACTTATAATACGTCCACCAGTTCTATTTAGCGCTGGAGAGTGTGTACTCCGTCGTTGCGGATTTAGGATACTTCCAAGGCCTTGATCTGGCGCCGGTGACCGGATCTGTTGGGCGACACGGCCCTCTCGGGCCTTTTCTAGTTGTATACCATTATTCCCCATCTGTGTCGCAGATACGGGTAGCGTTGCACTCCCTTTCAGGTTGGATTGGATGGTGGGACCATTATAAGATTGCGTTAGGAAACCCATTTCTCCCGGTTCCGCCAGTAGATCCAAATCCATGAAGTCTAAAACCGCAGGAGTGGGCACTTGAGTTAGATCTTGACTCTGACCTCCCAGCCAGAAAGGCACATTGCTCGGTGTCTTTGGACTCATTCGGGGAGGGGTATCATCAAGGCCCCCCTGCGAGGACCACCACTGCATCTCATCGCTCCCTGCAATGTCCATTCTGTCACATTGATCAAAGTCGCTGCTCTCCACCGCCAGGTCACCGGGTATTAAGTCTCTAGGTAACAGGTTTGGCCACTCACCTGCCACGCCAGATTCTCTGGGTGTTGTGGAGAGCGACAGGCCAAGAGACCCGAGGTGGATGTCGTCAAGGTGTTGAAAGGATTCCGCCGGCGGTGAATCCCGATGGATCCCCAAGTATTCGGGTGGACTATCAGCTGGGATGGTGTCGAGACTGCTTCCGGGTGGATCTGAACAATCTTCTGCTGTCTCTGTCCCTTTCTCACTCTCCGAGACAGATAGGGAGCTGATACAGTGGAGAATGTCGAGTATGTTTTCTTTTGCTAGATGCTTCGCTTTAATGAAAGTACTAGAACGAGATTTGGCGAGTGCATCCAGAAGTCTCTCACGGAAGTCTACACACAGCCAGTCCATGAAGACGAGATCACGGCAATCCCCCTTGCCTCCCTTTGACTGCTGTAGCCAGGGGGCTTCTGGGGTCACATACAAATCCTGTACTAGGTCCATTATCGTGGTAGTGGGGCCGACCTTGTGTGTGTCCGATTGTATAATTTGCGGTCAGTAGTGACAGACCAAGACGAGAACGGATGCAATCGTAACGTGCTACAACTGCCTCAAGCCGAGAGAAGAATTCCAACTCCAAGAGTGATTCTCACGGCCAGCCCGGCCGAGCGTGGACTAATGAAAGCAATATCAGCGAATTCCTCTGTCCCATTGTCCTATCGCCATACTTGCCCTTCAATCGCGACTCTGGTCGCATAATCCCTGGCCTCCTGTAGGTCCGCAGTAAGACCCATGGTGTTCGCGTTCGATACTGGGGAAGTGATTCTGCGACGGCCCCTGTACTAAGCGACACTAAAATCGGACTGCATAGCGAATCAAATGATAGTAATCACTTTGATGACCAGCCACTCTCGACAGAGAAACAGGGGTCTTTAGGGCTCTGACCGCCGAGAGATTGCAACGCGGAGCTACCTATTCTATAAGGCGTCCGGTCTGGAATGCTTTGTAACCGGTCCTGTTTCCCTATCGAGAGTCACTAGTCCCAATGTGATTACTATCGTATGATAATACTGCGCGTGGGAGGCGATACTACCTGGATTCCAGACTAGGAAGACACTACTCCTTATGGATATTGAAGAAGGGAACGACCAGGGCTGTATCCTCTTTGGCATACAGATCGATCCAGCACTCGCAATCAGCTTCATGCCAACCAAGGCATACAAAAGGGATCCAGGAAGATCATCCAAGAAGAGAACTCAGAGATGTGTAGGAGTGTGTATTGCCAATCTGTAACTATCTGTTACTTGTAACCTTTTGCGCATCCATGCTTACAAACAAAACTGCAGAAGTAATGAAAGAACTAACAAAGCTAATACGTGGTGAGAACGATTTCCCCCACTCCAATATGTATTTCCCGCTAGCAAATCAGATCTTGAGCGCCGTCAATCCTGCGTGCCAAGTGGGGTATCCAATTTGGCCCCCAATTGACACGTATTCTCTGCAGGTGCCATGAGCTAGTTCAACTTGACATGCTGAATCAGCGATGATTTCATCTCGATAGCCTACAACGGGTCTGCGAAAGCTCTACGTGTTTTTCGGTCAAACGGAGGTAAAGAGGAGACAGACAAGAATTTCCTCCTTTCTCTTTATTTCCTGATGCTCCTTTATACTCCCAGGTAGGCGAAACGGATCCGGTGTGGGAACGTGAATTTCTCACGCCCCTCGCTCTGCTGGTACTACTACATCGGCTCTAGATGAAATCCTGTTCGTACTCAAACAACTGTTCAAGACAGAACAGGGTAGCAGCCCTCGCTGTGCTTGATACATGAAGGTGGAGGAACATTTTTCTCGTACATGGCATCGACCGTTACAACCCGTACTGTTGGCGGCCAGAATTCGAGTGCGACTATAGCCTTAGCACCTTAGCAGAGAGTTTTGCTTTAAGGCCACTCTCGCACGAGGTACCCCTATTCTTGTTGTAGGTGAGTGTCCACTTCTCTAGGGATTTCCTACCCCACACCTACACCTCCACCTTCGGGGATTTTTGATCGTTGTGCGGACCGGACACCAAAACATGGCGCTTGATTCGGGGAGTGCTGGTCTGATGGCAGTTCGCCAAAAATGACTTTAATCAACAGCACGTTCCTAGTGCCCGGCGCACACGAGATCGACTTTGTGGCAGAGTCATCCACCATCCCGGGGAAGAGGAGAAAGCACCCCAACTTTTAGAAGCGGCTATGCAGATCCGGTAGCGGGGCCTATTCGTGTTGACAACCCATTTGCTAAAGGCTAGTAGGATTCACCCATCTCCACCGTGGATCGACTAGCGTCAAGATTTCTGCCCGTAATTTATGCACGTTGTTTCAACTGCATACAAATAAATGATAACACTCCGATGATGAAAGATTATCCCAATTAGACTATATAAACCATAGATTACTCTATGATACGCTTGGTATGTGAGATCGTGTTAGAATACTAGTATATTTCGTGCAAAATTTCACATTTATGGCAGGATCATAAAATATAAGCTATGGAGAAATGGATCGGTGATATCTCACAAGTCAAATACACAAAGCCGCGACTGATTAACATGTTAACCCCTTTTAGAGTGGTGGGTGGATCCTACTAGGATATGTCGAATACTAAGTCCGACCGAGTACATGGTAGAAACCAGGTATTATACCGGAAACATCATGTGACACTTAGTACCAGGCATTACCATACAAAAGTATATATTACAGTTAGTCATCATGGTCCGCACAGATTGTTGAAATAGCGGGTTTTGTCAATTTAGTTAGAGTTGTCAACATTGGTCATCTATACCACACATTGTTCGTACACCAGCTTTCTGTCAGGGTAGCCTGTTGTACACGCGGCTCCGTGGATTATTTTCGAAAGGTGTGCTCTGTTCTCGCTCATCAGATCCTTTGATCGCATGGAAACAACGATTTAGCATCAGGATCATGATTTCCAGTGCTCAATAGTGATCGAGCCTGAGGATGATTCCGCAAATTAAGGGTGAAATATGGTTGTAGTAATGGGCTAGTGCCTCAAATTACAGTTTTTTACTAGACTGAGGTCGTGTTGGGACGATAATATATATCAAAATGATGAACTTGGGTCACAGCGCGTTGGGGAGCCATATAACGGGCGACATTGGCGTCGCTAACGGATTCAAACTGCGTCCCGGAATTCTGTATAAATACCTATTGTATGCTAGGTTACTAAGATCCCTTATGCATGTTGAGCCAACAGAAGTAGGCTTGTTCTCGAACAGTCCAACCGTGAAGTAGCAATGTGAAGGAATACTCGAGTTTTCATCCCGATGCAATGAGGCATGAACATCACGCAGATGAGGGGCAATCTTGGAACTATGCCTCCTCTTCGGTGGTTGAGAACTTAGTGTACATTTATATACGTATACATATAAGTACATCGAATCGCCGCGACATGAAAAAAGAGCAGTGTTTCCAACGTTTCGTCAAGGGTTTGTAATATCCCATCTTGTTGTTTCTCTATATTCGAATCACACACACAACATGGTCTTTACTTCTGCACCATGGTGCCGCGACCTTGTCTCCTCCTTCCCCGAGAGGCAGCTGGTAGGCGACTTCGTGCTTGAAGGTGTTGGCGAAAAGTTCGAGGGTAAGCCTATGCTAGTTTGTGCTCAGACTGGGAAATCATATACCATCCAGGATCTCGAGTATCGCGTCACCATGTTGGCACGAAGCCTAGCACAAGTGATGGGATGGAACCCTAATGAGGGTTCTCCAGAGAATAAGGTCGTAGGAATCTTGGCCGTGAACGCGGTAAGCTGACCAAATCCCAAAATGTAAGAGCAATGGCATAACGGAGGCTTCTAGATGGATTATGTACCTTTGTCATGGGCGATTCACCGCATCGGCGGCACATGTCTCGTCCTGCACCCCACGTCCTCGGCTATCGAGATTCAGACCTTGATGCGCAAAGCCAACTGCCACGCACTCTTCACTTGCCGCCAACTACAGTCTGTCTGCGAAGCGGTGTTTACTGCTTTAAACGACGATCCGGCGCGACTGTTTCTGCTCGAATTGGCTGACGACGATGCCACACCGGCAGCCCTGAAGACCGTCTCCCAGTTGATTGCGGATGGAGGGCGCCTGCCGGCATTGGAGGCTGTCGCCCTCCAGGCTGGGGAGACCCAAGATCGTGTCGCATATCTCTGCCCGACGAGCGGCACCTCCGGGTTCCAGGCATGTTGAACAACTAAAATTGGGTTTCACAACAGCGAGGACAGACACGCTGACCCTTTTGACAGAAGTTGGCGCAAATCACCCATGCGAGCGTGATTGTCAATGCCCTCCAGGCCATCACACAGGACGCTTATGCTAACGGGCCCAAGAACCAAGTCGCCCTGGGGGTCCTCCCCTTGAGCCACGCATATGGCTTAATCTTGCTACACACGTTGATATGCCGTCGCGATACAACGATTCTGCACGCAAGCTTCGACATGCAGGCTGCGCTGCGGACTATCCAACAGTATCGGATCGAGCGATTATACCTAGTAAGCGAGGCTTGTTTTTAGTGAAGGACGAATGTGTGCTGACAAGGGTCCCTTTTTGTTTAGGTTCCCGCGATCTTGGTGGCCTTGGTCAACAACCCGATCTTATTCGAGATGGTCGATCTGTCGTCTGTGCATACGGTGGTATGTGGGTCTGCGCCCTTGAGTGCCGACATGATGCGCGCCATGAAACAAATTCGCCCCGATTGGGATTTACTCCCTGGTTACGGTATGGAGACAGAGTCTACTCTCTGAACTCGGGACTCGGGCTAACCAGGAGTAAACGACTATAGGATTGACCGAAGCGGCGGTATTTGTTTCATTTACCAGCCAACACAGCATCTTCCCGGGCTCTGTGGGAAGCTTGTTATCGCACGTGCAGGTACGGCTGCTCGATGCCGATGGAGCCGAGATCCAGGATTACGACGTGGCCGGCGAACTGTATGTGCGATCACCCAGTGTTATGAAGGGCTACCTTGGGGAAAACGAGGCGGATGCCTACGCATTCGACCAGGACGGGTGGCTGGTGACGGGCGATGTAGCGTGCGTTAGGCGCCAGGACGACGGCGAGGAACATCTGTTCATCGTGGATCGGAAGAAGGATATCATGAAGGTCAAGGTATCTCTATCACTTCCTAGTCCGTGGTGTGGCATGCCTAATAACAAGCGCCACAGGGCATCCAGGTGGCGCCGGTTGAGATCGAAGCCCAGCTCTTGAACCACCCAGCAGTGGACGAGGCCGCAGTAATTGGCGTGCAGCACGACGAAGCCGGTGAACGCCCATTCGCTTTCGTGGTACGCTCGCGTCAAGTGGACACCGTGATGGACGAGCAGACACTCCGAGAGGCCCTCGCCGCACACATTCAAAATACCCTCAGTGAGCCATTCTGGCTCCGGGAGAATATCCGGTTCCTGGAGGCGATCCCCAAAAGCCACAGCGGCAAGGCTCTAAAGTTTCAGCTGAAAGAGCTGGTTTAAACGGTTGACGCATCCCAATTGGTCGGGAAAGGGGCCCGAAGGGGGCGGAAGATTTGTGACATAAGTGCGCTGTCCATCTTATCAGGCTGCAGCACTATGAAGACGCTATGCAAGTCTTGTACATAATTACAACAGCCTTTCCGTTCTTACATCTATTCCAATATACATGTTCGCTGACCAAGATTGATAGAGCCATGATCAGCGCTGCTTTGGAGTGTTGGAGCCTCAATACTGATTTGTTTCAAGCCGACCTAGCGCGTACTACGTGGGTGAAGGCGAAGTTCCTCCAATAACTCGGTAAGTCACTACAGGAAAACCTCGGATTCAAAGTGGCGGGAATCATAGGGCAAAAGATGGTTCCAAATGACCACAGCGATGTGCGATCCCTCCCAGAGGAAGATTTTCATTGCTTGGTGGATTATAGATCTAGATAAGACAGGCATATCGCCGCCCCAAGATGGGTGCTTTTCACCGCTTGGCAATTATATCTCAAATATCTCCTCAATACACCATGCATGTACGGATGTAGGTTTTGACTTCAGGATAATTGGAAAGTATTTAAAAACAGAGAGAAACTCAACTGCAAAATATACCCAATGCCCTATCCATCCCGGCCCGGGGGTTCCTGACAGTTATTCGAGTAAAAACTTTATTTAGCCACTTGCTATATAAACAGGAACATAAGGAAAGTGGAATAAATGAATATAATCACGTAGCTCCCACAGGAGTAGTCACGTTGAGCTGACGAGTGGAAATCATCTCCTTCTCGCCCTCAGGCCGGACATGCGTGAGTGGGCGCGCAAAGGCGTCAAACTTCCGACAGTGATAATCCTCATACGCCCAAACCGTCCCATCATCACTGGTAATAACAGCCTTCTCATTTGGTCGGACGAAATACGCTAGGGTGTATTTGGTGGGGTGCTCGATGTCACAGGGAACGACGCGGTGGATAGAAGGGACGCAGCGTCCTTGGGAAAGGAACTTCAGACAGTCGCCGAACTGCACGAAGAGTTGCTGTGGATTTTGCTCCACGAAGATCCAGTTTTGCCTTTCAGCCTCCATGATCTGCAGCCCCCGAGCTGTGGCGGAGAGAATAGTCAGGCTACCCACGTCAGTGTGCGCGATGTGTCCAAAGTTGCTGGATCCGGTGGGTTGTGGCGGATACTTGAGGAAGCCTAGATTGGTGACCGAGGGCTCGTTGGGCTGATGGGCGGCCAAAAGCGCATCTCCCAGCCCCAAAACCTCGCCCACACGGCGGAGGATCAGCTGGGCGGCCTTCTCGTACCGCTTCATGCAGCGCGTGAGGGTTTCCCGGTGGGAAAAGACTAGGTCTGGAGACTGTAGTGCGGGCTGGTAGCTAGGCAACAGAAGCTCATTTTGGGGCAACTGTGGACATTTATAGGTTAGTCGAACAGGGTGACTGTCACCAGCTCCAAGATGTAGGTACCATGAACATCTCAAATCCGTCGGGCTGGCCGGCATGCGCGCCCTCTTCGACACCCAGGGGCTTGAATCTAAAGAGCCACAAGGAACTCCGGTTAGTCCCACGTTATAAAATTAGGGATAGCATTGTGAATTCGGTCGCCGCTCACCCCATGGTTCGAAATCGCCCCAGCGTCTTAAAGTCGTAGCGCTCCTTCAGTGGCGTGGGAATATCAAAAATCTTTTTCGAGAAAGACTCGAGATAACGAACATCTTGGCGCAGGATCACAGCCTCAGGACAGTCAAGATCCAGATCAAAGCACCCATCCACGAGAGCGGCTTTGGTCAATGACTGTATGTCTTGCTCAGTAGCATTGAGAAGTCCTTTGTACGAGACTCGAGGCATGATGGTAAAGGGTAATTGGTAGATGTCAAGACTGGGGGCGAGAATTGGGATTATTATTTCCAGGGACAAGCCCTAGAGGAGGTGCACAGGGCTCCTTCTATAGTCTACTTGTTGCTAGGCCGATATTTCGGGTGGCCTGTTCCGCCAGTGTGAAGATGCAGACCCTGTCTCACGGTCTTTACCCACTCGCTATTTCCGCACCAAAACTGACTGACTTTGAAACCTATTCTCTTAATAAATTCTTTAGATAATTTTTAATAAAATATTTCTTACTGGATGATCTGACATATGTGGCTGTGAAGTGGTAACTGATTGAAATATACATAAGGTGAATCTCTATTATATATAGCGGCTCCCATACTAAACTCACGATTAGAATCATTTGTCAAGCTTTGAAAATCGACCACTCTTTATCTAAAATACTTTGTTAGATAATATACGTATATTTTACCCTATATTTGAAATGATAATGAATATAAAAATAGTTAAAAATATGCTACGGTATAAATTTATTAAAAGAACATGGTTCAAAGTCGGTCAGTTTTGGTGCGGAAATGGCGAGTGGGTAAAGACTTAATAACCCCTATGTAGTTCACCCAAGGTATTTGGATCAAACCAGACACAAACCTCGGAAGCCGTCGCTGTACTGCGTATCGGAATGAAATAAATAGGTTGTCACAGACACAAGATTTAGAAGCGAGTAATAATGCAAACATCGCATACAATTTATTGAAGTCATAGTACAAAGTAAATAGCAACATGCGTACATAAAGTAACGGTTTCGTATCTCCTCGAATGAATCCCAGGCATATGCTTTCTTCAAACTGGATCACACCATTTTGAGGACGCGCGCCTATTCTGCTCCGATGGCGGAGCGTCCACGAGGCGATCCCCGTCTTCCTGTGATTCCGTTAAAATATCCAGGGCCGAGATTGACTGATCTCCATCACCCAAAAGAGATGATAAGTAGACCGCATCCAAGAGATCGCCGCCTCTCTGTGCAAACGAAAGCATGCGGGTCTTTCCACCTTCCACTCCCCGACGATGCTGGAGTACAGCTTCCCACTCCGGTGTCTGTTTTAGTTTAGAGAAGGTCATGCCGTCTTCTTCCGAGATGGGCTTTGTCATTCGGGAGATGATTGGCGTTTCGAACGGTGACATAGTCTCCTTCAATGTTTGGGATGAGTCGCTCAAGAAGGTCCGAACGGTATTGCCTAGGATGCGCAAGTATTCCAATGCCGTCTCCTTGGATATGCTTCCTGGCCGGTAGGAAATTCGGAGGTCCAGCTCACCGTCCCGAGAGACCGCAGTGACGCCCACATCGACCGTCCACGTCGCATCAGGTGTCTCCAAGGTTGAGATAGCGTATTCCTTACTGCCCAAATCGAGGGTACGGGTCTGCTCCGATATGCTATTGAAAGTAGAGGTAAAGCGCGTCGAGGTCACCCAGTCGGTACATCCATGTAGAATTTCCCGGAATCCGAGTTGACCGTGATCGAGACTTTGAATCTGTTGATCCCGGGTCTTGTGAAGGAGCTCTCGAACAGTGGCTTCGTTGGAGAGCTGTAAACGGACCGGGAGGAGTGTGACACAACACCCCATGGCGTTCATTAGAGAGGCCTTGACGGTGCCACGCGTTGACACCGTGTCACCGAACACAACATCCTGGGTATTGGAAAAGCGGCTGATAGTGACTGCCCACGCCGCCTTCACCAGGATCGCGATAGTTATGCCTTCAGATTGAGGGTTGACGCACCGAATAGTTTGAGGGGCTAGGTGTGCGACCTGGGACGGATATTGACCAATTGTCGTGTGAGAGCTACCCAGGTTCGTCATAGACGAGCCAGAAAGAAGATTAGTCCAGTATCTGTAGGTATTCGGTGCAATGCTCTGCTGCTGGTGGTAGAGGAAAGCCGAGAAAAGCGGTTGTGGGTGAGGGACTGTTCCTTCGATGATGCACTTAAGGATTTCCCAGACTGTATTCATAGAGACCGCATCATACTCGGCATGTGTCATTCGCAAGAGAACTCGGTGTCGGGAACTTCTAGATTCCTCAATAATGGCAATCTGGGTGAAAGGCTCGCCTAGGCGGGGAGGTGGAAGCAGTAGTTGGTTAATGATCTCGGACGTCATTACCTCGATGGAGCGATCGGTGCGGAAGATACGGATTTCGGGCTCATGGACACTCTTGATCACCTGAAGAAGTCGGCCCTGGTCGAACACGTAGGCCGTGCGTAATACAGGAATGGTTTTGATCAGATCTAAACAGCTCTTTCTCAATCGCTCGATGTCATAGGTGCTATTACCATCGAGGAGAAAGTGCGCACAGTTTCCAGCCCTGGGGCCAGCGAGAATACCAGCAACCGTCATGGCTTGGAAGTCGGTGGTCGGTAAGATGTCAATAACATCCCGCGTGCTGCAATCACAGACCGGGTATAATACATTTTGGATAAATTCTTCGGGGTTGTCAGAACCGATTAACGAGAATGGAGCTAACTCATCACCTGAAACGACTGGGGTTTCATTCTCTGCTCGAGCGCTCAAAATCAGAGCCAGGTCTGAGAGGCAGGAGTACTTGAAGATGTCGGCTACAGTCAAAGTGTAGCTCCGAGAGTGTGAAGCTGCAACAATGCGCATTGCCGCGAGGGAGTCTCCACCAATGTGGAAGAAATTATCATTGGCTCCGATGTTTTCGAGCTTGAGATTAAGTCCTTTAGCCCACAATGCCTGCAGGTCTCGCTCCATGTTGGTGGACGGCGCCACTTTAGTTCCAACGCTGACTCGATACTCATGAATATTGTCGTCTTCGATGTTTACCAGTAGCGCACGTAAGGACTTGCGATCCAGCTTCCCTGATAAGTTGCGACTCATTTCAGCAATCGGAAGGAAAACAGGCGGAACCATATAAAGGGGTAATGTGCGCAATAATATCTGGTACAGCGTCGCAAATGCCGTTTGCAGCTCTGTTGACAGCGGCAGAATTCCGGACGGTGTTGTCGGCACAGGGCGATGCGCACTGTCTGTAGCAAACTCGACAACTGCCACCAGGGTGATCCTTTGACCCTGGTCTGCCGTGAGTGGCTCCACTGCTACAGTGCTGACCCCGGGTAGATGGTGCAAGATTTGATGTTCGATCTCGCCCAGTTCGACTCTTTGGCCCCGGATTTTGATCTGGGAGTCCATTCGGCCGAGGTGGACCAATGTGCCGTCCTCGTTCTGCCGGACGAGATCGCCAGTGCGATAGAGTCGTCGTCCACGCAAGTTAAGGCGCCCCGTAAACTCCGGATCGACGATGAATGATGCATCCGTTCTAGCCGGATCACCAAGATAGCCCCGTGCCAGGAAGGGACCTTCAATCCAGAGCTCACCTGGGGCTCCGATAGGGCTAAGATGATTGTCATTGTTGGGTTGTGTGACCCATAAGCTTGTCGCCAGTGGAAATCCGATGTTGCTGGCTTCGTGGGCGCTGGTATAAGGGCGGGTACAAGTGCTCATCGAGCCTTCCGTAGGCCCATAAGCGTTGTAGACTTCAACATGATCCAACCAAATCCTAACAACATCTGCACGGACTGATTCACCAGTCAAAATCAGTTTGCGCATGGTGGGGACGCTTGTCGGAGTGATCTGCTGGGCCACGGTGGATGTAAGCATCGCTGTGTTGACGTTCATGTCTGCCATGACCTCAGTGAGCCGGTTCATGCGGTCCTCCTCGAGGGGTACACATACTACACCTCCAAATGCTGTTGTGGCGAAGGTGTCAGTGATGATATTATCGAATGTGTATGATGCAAACTGCAAAAATCGAGTACCCGGTGTGAGTTCCAACCAGTGTCCCTGCTCATCTAGACTTGTCGACATGGCCCCGTGTTCGATGACAACGCCCTTAGGTATTCCAGAGCTACCAGAAGTGAAAATTGCCCAGGATGCGTTTGAAGGTGTCACTCCTGTATTCGGGGGTTGAGTGTAATATGGAAGACCATCGAAAGCCTCCTGATTGAGGACGACGAGTTTGACTTGACTAATGGAGCTCAGCCCGCGCAGCCGTTCCCCTTGCTCTGGGCTAACAACAATAACGCGTGTCTGGGAGGCTTCGATGATGGTTTTGATGCGGGCCAAAGGTTGCGTTATCCCCAAAGGCATATTGACACCTCCTGCTTGCATGATAGCGAGCATTGCCACTGATCCCCATTTCGATTTCTCCATACAGAACCCAACGATGATTTCAGGACCGACGTGGAGAGACACGAGGTGGTGGGCCAGACGTGCGGCTGCAGAGGAAAATTCACTGTATGTGAAATCTCCATCCCACGCATTGATAGCGGTCGCTGAGGGCGAGCGATCCACCTGTTCTTGAACCATCTCATGGATACATTTTTCCAGTCGTACAGGTACCTCTGTGTTCCATTGTAATATCTGTTCTTGGCTCGCCTGGTCAACCGTCAATATACCGGCTAGTGATTCTGATTGGGCCACTGTCTCGCACAATCGGTGGATCATCGAGGAAAAATAGTCCATCACATGTTTCATTTGGGAAGACGGGATGATATTCTTGTCGTAGTGCACGTCGACAATAACTTGCTGTTGTCCGAGCTTGCATTCGAGAGTGATGGCATGGGCATTGAAGGGTTCAATCGGCATAGGGATGCTTTCCATGCCCGGGAACGCTAGCTGTTCATCAGAACCGCTCTCATCAGCAGGTTGAATGACGAGTAAGCTGCCCATGTCAAGCGTGGGCGAAAGCTCGGGAACCAACGCTTTGATACTCTGGAGACCGGTATGCTCGTGGTAAATCATGTTTGTTGCTTGCAGCTGGATAGCCTCGAGGTACCGGGCCACAGTTTGCGTTTTTTCCACATTCACCCGAATGGGCACCGTAGTGATGGTTGGACCCGCAATGTCAGAGATCCCCCGAACCCTAGCATTACGGCCAGATAAAGTCGCTGCAAAGGCTATATCATCATGGCCAGAGTACTGTGCTACGACAAGTGACCATGCGGCACGCAGGATAGTAGACATTGTCACCTTGCATTGCCTCTGAGTGGCCGGGAGTGAAATTATCCGTTGGAGGTCTTCTTGCGGGAGCGGCTGGATATCCGTTGGTCGTCGAGGCCAGCTGGCCATGACGTCGCCCTCCAGTTGATTGCGCCAGTAGTCAGTACTGGAGACTGTATCAGGGCGGCCGTTTTCCAAATACTGGATAAAGCGAGTGAAGGGGACAGATGATCGGGACTGATTCGAGTGATATATCTCACCCAGACGTTTGCTGAGTGTATTCACGGTCCAGCCATCATACAGGGCATGGTGGGCGGTCCAGATAAAGTAGCACTCTCCACTCGGCTCTTCAACAAAGCCATATCGTACTAAAGGTTGGCCCAGAGACATTCCCTTATCTCGGTCAATTTGCAGATACTGCTGCAGGTCTGTGCCATATTGCCAGAAGATGGTGCCGCAGACCACAACTTGTACTGCGCTTACTTCCATTACGATCCGGGAACGCAGGATGTTGACCTCCGCCGATAGGGTCTCCCACGCAGCCTTGAACTGCTCGCGATTCGTTGAGTTGCCCATCAAATACACCTGGCGGCTCACATAAGCCGCCGGCTGTCTGGCAGTAACTGCCATGAGGCCCTCCTGCAGAGGCGTACAGGGGTAAATATCTTCAATCTGATCTTTTTTCACCCCAATGCTCATCGCGACACTTGATAAAAGGTCCTCTCTTTCATCGGTGGAACAGTTACAGAAGTCTTTCCACATCGAAAATGGCGCAGGATCCTTTGTTTCATGGGCAGATACATCTTCTGAGGGCCGTTTGGCGAGGTGCGAGGTCAAGTCAAGCAACTGGGGCCACTTGAAAATATCTTCCACACTCAGTTGAAGCCCTTGGGACGCTGCTACTACCACCAACCGCATTGCAGTCACCGAGTCACCACCCAGGTGAAAGAAATTGTCGTTCATGCCCACCGCATCAGCTGAGATGTCGAAAACCTCAAGCCAGAGCGCATGCACCTGCTCTTCCAATCCTGTCATGGGGAGTGCCTTAATCTCCCCACCTTCATGTTGGATATATTGCTGAAGCCTTGGGAGAGAGTGTTGCGCCAAAAGGTCCCGAATAGCACGTCTGTCTAACTTGTTGTTGGGATTTGATGGCATGTGGTCCACAGGAAGGTATGCGGCGGGGACCATGTATCCTGGTAAGACGCGGAAGAGCGTGTGGCGAAGATTGTTGAATATAGCACGCAGGTGATCACTGGGAGCGAGGGGTTGGGGACCATCCCTCGAAGCCGTTTCGTTGCTCTCGCTCATCATGTCCAGTACAGCAACGAGGCTGACTTGTTTGCCATCGGCCCCGTGCTGGATGCGCTCCACCGCGACGGTACGCGCACCCTCAAGGTGTTGTTGGATCTGGTATTCGATCTCACCTACCTCAATACGCTGACCTCGGATCTTCACCTGGAAGTCTCTGCGGCCGAGGTGGGTCAAAGACCCATCTGGATTTTGCTTGACAAGATCTCCAGTTCGATATAACCGTCGATCCGAGAGGCCCAGCTGCTGCATAAAATCAGGGTCTGTGACAAAGGCAGCGCGAGTCTTTTCCTCGTCATTGAGATATCCACGGGCTTGAATGGGGCCCTCAATCATTAATTCACCCGGGGCACCAATGGGACACAGAGCGTGGTGATTTTCAGCCTGCACCACCCACCAGGAGCAGGCAAGTGGGAAACCAATGTTGGACGCAAGTGCGGTGTCATGAATTGGCCGACTGCAAGATGAATGGATCGAGCATTCTGAGGGGCCATACGCATTCAGAACGGTCGCGTGAGGAGACCACAAGGCAACAACAGCAGCTGTCACAGGTTCACCAACAAGAATCATCGTCCTTATAGAGGGGATCTGCTGTGGGACGAGCATCGAGGCCACGGTAGAGGTTAATGTCGCAAAATTGACACTCATGGAGATCATCGATGTGGTGAGTCTGTTGACGCGATCATGTTCTGATGGAATGCAGACGCATCCTCCCACCCAGAGAGTTGTGAATAAATCCTGAATTATTGCGTCAAATGTATGAGCGGCAAATTGTAGGGTTCTAGTAGTATGATCCATCTTGAATTCCGCACCATGGGCCATGATACTTGTACTAAGAGCACGATGCTCCAGAATGACTCCCTTCGGCGTGCCCGTACTCCCGGACGTGTAGATTATCCAGGCCGTATTATGCGGAGCCACCTCAGTCTCCCGGATAGGTGCGGTGGTCTGCGCGAGATTGAGTGGTGTAAGTTTCTCGATAGATTCAACATCCACAGAAAATAATCTTAGGCCGAGTGGTGCCAGCCTCTGATGCTGTTCACTATCCACGAGCACAGTATCCACCGCAGCGTCCTGTGTGATTACCTGAACCCGAGTAAGAGGGTGAGTAACTCCCAATGGTACAGCAACACCACCCGCGTACAAAATTGCGAGCATGGCAACAGCCGCCCATTTGGACTTGTCCATACAAAGTCCCACAGTCTTCTCTTGCTTGACACCTATTTCAAGAATGAGATGATCAGCGAGCCTAGCTGCATGACAAGAAAGCTCGGCGTAGGTAAAGTCGCCATCCCAGGCACAGATAGCGGAAGCAGTGGGCTGTCGTAAGACGCGATCAAAAACGAGGTCATGGATACATTGATCGCTGCCAGTTGGACCTACACGGTTCCAGGCCAATATCTGGTCTTCATCTTGTGGACTGACATGTAACATGTGCAACGGTTGCTCAAACCGGTTGGGATTTGAGAGTTCCTTGACAATATGCACGAAGTAGTCGACCACTTTCAGGACATTTGGCGATGCAATCACGTGCTCGTCATATTGTACATCGACTTCAATTTCATTGGATCCCAACGTACACTCCACTTGAAGCCCAAAACTGCCAAAGTCTTCAAATGGTACTGGAAGGGACTCCAGGCCGGAAAGAGCGATAGAGTTATTGTCAGTCTCTGCCGCGGGCTGGATCACAAGAAGGTTGCGGAGAGCCAAAGCGGAGCCACTCATTTCTGGCAGCAGCTCTTTGATCTTTTGCAGTCCAGTTTGCTCGTAAGGAATCATTTCCGTGGATTGTTGCTGGATTTTTCGCAAAAGTTGAATCACAGTCATAGATTTGTCGATTGATACGCGAACAGGAACAGTGGCCAACGTGGGGCCAGCGATTTCCTTGATTTGCCTAACGGCGGCATGGCGTCCTGAGACGCTGGCAGCGAAGGCGATGTCGTTACTCCCACTGTATTGTACCATAACAACAGCCCAGGCCGCTCGCAGGGTGGTTGAAACCAAAACGCCTTCGTTCGACCCCTTGGGAACAACGATAGCTTTCCGAATACGCGATTGGGGGCGAGGGTGGTAACCAATTTGGGGAAGTGGTGGCCAGTCTGCCACCACCTCCCCGGTTAATTCATTTTGCCAATAATTGGTCGTCTCAACAGGATCCTGCCGCATCAAGTACCGGATGAATCTGGAATATGGAATGATAGAGTATGCCGAGGTGTGATTATTACTATTGTAGATCTCTGCAAACCTCTGCACAATCTCGCGCATTGTCCATCCGTCATAGACACTGTGATGAGCGGTCCAGATAAAGTAGGATTTGTCCGCCGATTCCGTTACCAGCCCGTATCTCACGAGGGGTTGATCCAACATCATGCCTTTTTCGCAATCCTCGGCGATATATGAAGTGAGGTCACCGTTGCATCTCCATACGATAGGGCTTTGTACCACAACTTGTATGGCTTCCTTGTTAGGGCCCATCATAACCCGAGTGCGGAGGATGGGAGTTGTGCTGCTTAAAGTCTCCCAGGCTGACTTAAACCGGTCTAGATCGATTTCTTTGGCGGACAATAAATAGACTTGACGGCTGATGTAGGCAGCAGACTGCCGAGTGGTAGTTGCCATAAACCCTTCTTGCAGTGGTGTACACGGGTATATATCTTCAATCTGACTCACGTCCACATAACAGCGGGTCGCAATATCGTGCATAGCTTCAGGCGAGGCATTGACCCACAAAGTGAAGGGTTCTGGGTCCTCTTCTTCTGGAACAAGTTCAAAGCTGCGCTCAGTCATGCTCTGCGCGAGGTCACAAAGGTGAGGATGGTGGAAGATATCGGCCACAGACAATTGCAAGTTGTGTCGCTGCCACGTCATTGCTGCAAGGCGCATGGCAGCCACCGAGTCACCTCCAAGCTGGAAAAAGTTGTCGCTCACCCCCACTCTATCCGACTGCTCAATTCCCAAAGCTTCAAGCCATAGAACATGTAGTTTGCATTCCATCTCGGTTGAAGGAGGAATTTTCTCTCCTTCCTCAAGATGCTGCAGCATGGATTCAGCGGAGATTAATGCCAATTGCTCCCGCAAGGTTGCCCGATCCAGTTTACCTGAGAGGTTGCGAGGCATCTGGGCAACGGGAAGATATGATGCTGGAACCATATGTGTTGGTAAAACCTGCATAAGGGCACTGTAGAGCTTTTGGAAGGCCTCGGTCATGAACACTGTTGGTGGCAGAATTCTCAATTTCAGGGAAGGGGCTTGAATATCACCCGTCTGGTATCTGCTGTCAGGAGCAAATTCGATTGCGCCGACTAAAACAGGCTCTGAATTTCCCCCTCGCTTTAGCAGTTCCACTGCCACGGCTCGGGTCTCTGGGAGGTGCCGGGCGATCTGATATTCAATCTCACCAATCTCGACCCGCTGGCCGCGAATCTTCACCTGGGTATCGCGTCGCGCAACATAAACAAAAGACCCATCGTCCTTCTGGCGGACAATGTCACCACTTCGGTAAACACGACGCCCTGTTTTGAGGCCGAGTTTCGACATGAAATGCGGGTCCAAGATGAAGTGCTCGTTTGTTTTCGTTTCGTTGTTCAAATAGCCGCGAGCGAGTTGGGGTCCCTCGATAAGAAGTTCTCCTGGCGCTCCCACAGGGCATAGGAAGTTGTAGTTCTGTGGATCCACAACCCACAGACGTGTGCCAATCGGTTGTCCAATGTTGTGTATCTCGTCGACATTTTGAACCGGTCCTGCTGCGGAGGAGAAAATTGAGCACTCGGACGGGCCGTAGCAGTTGAACAAGTCCACCTTGGTCCTCCAGAGGTTAGTTACCTCGACTGTGGCGGGCTCTCCCCCAAAACGAGGACACGCAGTGTGGGTGCCTCTTCGGGCGAGAACAATCCAGCCACAGTATATGTCGTCGCAAGCGCGTTCACTTCTGCCCTAGTCATGAAAGCAGTGAGCTTTCGAATATCGAGACGATCATCTTCGCACGGTACACAGCATAGGCCGCCCCACGCCAGTGTGGTAAAATAGTCCTCAATAGTCCCGTCAAATGTATGAGCTGCGTACTGCAACTTGCGGGTGTGGGTGCCGAATCCATATCGCGCTCCGTGGCACTTAATACTTGTACACAAAGTGCCGTGCTCGAGAACAGCTCCTTTGGGTGTACCGGTTGTACCAGAAGTGTAAATTACCCAGGCAGCGTGGTCTGAAGTGACCAAGGGACACGACCGGAGATCGGTGGCAGGTGTAATAGAGAGCCTCTCGAGGAGCTGTGAGTCAACTACAAGGAGTTGACAATTGACGTTGCCATTTAGGCGACGGTATTCTGGGGCATCTACCAAGATCACGGTCGCCTTGGTGTCGTTCACGATGGTCTCAATTCTACGGGTTGGATGGGTCACGCTCAGGGGCACAACCACACCTCCAGCCTGCAGAGTGGCGAGCAGGGCCACCGCCACCCATTTTGACTTGGACATGGACACACCAACCATTTGTTCTAGTTCGACTCCCAGTGCCGTAAGTTCGATTGCCAGGAGATCAGCCACTTTAATCAGTTCCCCGTAGCTCAGGTTTCCATCCCATGCCCATATCGCTTGAGATGTCGGACATGCGTGTGCTTGCTCCCGAACAAGTTCATGGACACATTTGTCTACTCTTCTCGGAACAGTTGAATTCCATGCTGCAATTTGGCGTTGATCGGCACTACTCAGAAAGTCCAACTCCAGCAGGGGGTGACTTTGGAGGTTTGGGTCGCATAGCTGCTCCAAGATGTGAGTGAACTGGTCCAGCACTCGGGTCATAAAGGTGGCTGACACAATATTGGAGTCGAATCGAGCTTCTACCACGATCGCTTGTCCTAGAGTACACTGAACATTGACTCCGTAGCTGTCAAAGTCCTCCACTGCTAGTGGAAGGGCTTCGATGCCGGGGAAATCGAGAGTCGTATCGCTGTCTGCTGCGGTTTGAATGACGAGCATATTGCGTAGCTGCAACACAGGATGGCTGAGGATTCCTTGTAGCCCGGTATGCTCATAATTGATCATCTTGATGGCTTGATCCTGCACCCCACGAAGGAAATCTCCCACAGACTGAGGGTTATCAGTGTTGACTTGGATACGTAGGGGCACCGTGGTGATGGTAGGAGCGATTATCTCGCTCACTTCGCGGACCGGGGCGTTGCGACCGGAGACATTGGCTGCATATACAACGTCTCTGTGGCCAGAAAATTGCACCATGGTCAAACCCCAAGCGGCTCGCAGCACGTTGGCCATCAAAATTCCCTGTCCCATATGTGGTGCACTTGTTACTTCCTTGGAAATGGAGACCCTCGCTCGTGGCTCATATCCTGCGTTGGGCAGAGGAGGCCAGTCGGCCATCACATCTCCTTCAAGCTGCTTGTCCCAGTACTCGAGACTGTCCGTCGTATCGATCTTCGTCAGATATCGGATAAAGCGAGAGAATGGAATGGATCGGGGTATGTAGTCAGCCTGGTTGTAGATGTGAATGAGCTCCTGGCACAAGAGACGAATCGAGAAGCCGTCGTATATACTATGATGGGCGGTCCAGACAAATACTGGGTCGCTAGACGGTGGATAGATCAGACCATATCGAGCCAGTGGTTGTCCGAGCTGGATGCCTGCCTCCTCATCCTGTGCGATGTAGTCTTTCAAACTGGAGTGCTGGTTCCAGGTAATATCCCCCCGCACAACCACCTGCCAGGATTTATGTACGTCAATGATTGCTCTTGTACGCAGGATGGGCATGCTTGAAGCCAGGGTCTGCCAGGCCGCCTGAAACCGAGCTATATCGATCTTGTCGGACAACGCATACATTTGACGGCTCACATATGTCGAGGGTTGACGTGCAGTGCTTGCAAGAAGACCCTCCTGTAATGGCGTGCACGGATATACATCCTCAATTTGTTCCACAGAAACACCACATTGCTCGGCAATGAGCGCCAGGCGTGCTGTTCGGTTATCCACATCTGGTTTCACGGTCTCTTCCCACAAGTCAAATGGGGCGGGGTCTCGCTCCAATGCGCTTACCATCTCACTCTCCACGGATTTCTCCTCCATTACACGTGCAAGGTCCGACAGTCGGGGATTTTGGAATATGTCGGTAACAACCATCTTCAACTCCTTGCTCTCTTGGTTGGTAGCTATGACTATCCGCATGGCGGTGACAGAGTCACCACCCAAGTGAAAGAAATGGTCGTGAGCACCAACCTCCTCAATAGGAACTCGTAACGCCTGCGCCCATATTCGTTGGATAAATGTCTCCATCGGAGTGGATGGCGCTGTCTTGAGCTCGGTCTCATCTGCGATATATCCTGCCAAACTGCTTGAAGGAATTTCACGCAAGAATACCTCCACAGCCCGGCGATCCAGTTTGCCTGATGTATTTAGAGGGATGTGAGCAACTGGAACATAGAACAGGGGTACCATGTAAGTCGGTAGAACTTCAAGCAACTCATGGCGTAACGTAGCGAATGCTAATCGCAGGCTTGACGTTGGAACCAGAGGTTCCAGAGATTTTGCTTCAGCCGCAGTCTGCTCGCCATCCTTTCTGAATTCAACCGCCGCAACCAGAACCATCTTGGTATCGAGCTCCCGCAGGTGAACCACTGCGTACTGAGCCTGAGGAAGCCTTTGCGCGATCTGGTGTTCAATCTCGCCAATTTCCACCCGTTGGCCGCGAATTTTGACTTGAGTGTCATGCCGCCCGATATATGTGAATGACCCATCGGCTTGCTCATAAACGAGATCACCAGTCCTATAAATGCGACATCCCGATGGGGTGGACAGGAAATCTGGGTTGACTATAAAAGAGAGAGCTGTCTTCTCGGGATTGTTTAGATAGCCCCGAGCCACCAGAGGTCCCTCAATCAACAATTCTCCTGGGGCACCGATGGGGCACAGCTGGTTATTGCTATGAGGATTGGTCACCCAGTGGCGTGTGGCCATGGGCCTGCCAATCTTGAGTGCCTCCTCGGGGTTTGATAATGGTCCATTCGCAGTACACACGGATCCCTCGGATGGGCCATAGGTGTTGTAGATGCTTACCCCGGGCTGATTCCATAATTCTATCACCTCGGGCGTCAGTGCTTCTCCAGTCAATGCAAGCGTGTGTAGCGACGGTATGTCAGAAGGAGAAATTAAATGTGCCACGGTTGGAGTCAAACTGGCAAAGTTGACCATCATGATGCGCATAGTTTCTGCGATATTGTTGAACCTGTCATCCTCTGATGGCATACAGATACAGCCGCCATAAATGAGAGTTGCTGAGACATCGGAAATACTGACGTCAAAGGTAAATGGAGAGAACTGAAGAGCTCGGGTCTCGCTGGAAATATTCATCTTGTTGGCCTGCATCCTCATACTGGTACACAATCCACCGTGTTCAATTACAAGGCCTTTTGGCGTTCCCGTACTCCCGGATGTGTAAATGATCCAGGCTGCGTTATCGGGTGTAACGGTAGTCGCTGGGGCATGAGTCTCCGAAGGTAGCCCATCCAGCAGTTCTGTGTCGACGATGATTAGATTCACGTTGAGATCCAGGCTTCCAAGTCGCAATTGATGTTTTGCATCGACGAGAATCAGCTTCGCCGCAGTATCTTCAATAATAACCTTTAGCCGCGAAAGAGGGTGAGTTATACTGAGAGGAACAATTACGCCACCAGCAAAAAGTGTGCCGAGCATGGCTACGATCGCCCACTTGGATTTATCCATGCACAGGCCAATTTTCGTTTCAGAACTGACGCCGGCATCAACTAGGAAGTGGGCCAGCTGCACAGCTTGACTAAACATTTCACAGTACGTGAGATTTCCATCCCAGGCACAGACGGCTGGCGAGTTAGGTCGTGCTAAAACTTGCTTATAGACCATCGTATGGATGCATTGATCAACACGGGAGACATCGACAAGAGCATTGTGCTCGAATATGAGCCGTTTATCCGCGGCGGTGATTAGGTCCAGTTCGCCAAGATTACGCGATTTGATCAATGCCGGGTTGTATAGCTGCCGCACTAGGTGTGTGAGATGTGACAGGATTCGTTGCACCTGTGCCGTGGGCATAACGTGTTCATCGTACCGGATGGCTACCCGGAGTTCCAAAGGACTCAAAGTGCAGTCCACGGTCAGGGCGTGACTGTCAAACTGTGTCACTTCGCCACCTACCAGCTGCTGCACACCAGGGAATTGCTTGTTTGCATTGCCTTCTTCAGCGGTTTGCACCACCAAGATGTTCCGAAGTTCAAGTGCCGGACGCGACTCCGAGGAGATGAGGGCCTTGATTGTCCGTAGACCGGTGTGCTCATAGTCAATCATCTGCACTGCTTGTTCTTGCACCGAGTTCAGGAACGATGTCACATCTTGGTTCCAGTCAACGTGAACGCGCACAGGGACGGTGGTAATGGTCGGCCCGACCATGCTCTCTATCCCCAATACCGGAGCGTTCCGACCAGATACAGTGGCAGCAAACACGACGTCATTGTGACCTGAGTATTGTGCCATTACCAAGGCCCAGGCTGCCCGGAGCACATTGGATGCGGTCACTGTGCTGCCTGACCTGTGTGCAGCAAGAGATACCACCTCGGTCAGCTCTAGTCCTGGTTGTGGTCGATAGCGAACATGTGGAAGAGAAGGCCAGTTGTTCATCACATCGCCTTGAAGCTGATTGGACCAGTACTCTGCACGATCCATTTTTTTATTTTCATCTTCCTCTTGATTGCGCAAAAACCGAATGAATCGTGTAAACGGGACGGTAGACTGGGAATATCCAGACTGGAAGATCTCAGTGAAATTTTTGTAGAGGAGACCTGAGCTCCATCCATCGTACAAACTGTGATGGGCAGTCCATACGAAGAAGCGCTCTTCTGAATTATGGCCGCGGACCAGCCCATATCGAACCAGCCGTGTTCCAGGTCCCATCTCATCCTGTTGGTCGGATACCAGATATTCGTCGAGACTGGTGCTGAAGTTCCAAGAGATTTCCTCGTCTAGGACAACTTGTAGAAGTGGCTTCGATGGTTTGCTGCTGGCTACAATGCGCGTACGGAGTATGGGAGTGGTGGCACTCAGAGCTTTCCAGGACTCCTGGAAACGATCGAGATCCAGATTCGGATCGAGTTTGAAGATCAGTCGGTTCACATATGCGGATGATTGCTCAGCAGTAGTGGCTATCAGGTCTTGCTGTAAGGGTGTGCAGGGGTAGACGTCCTGGATATTCTCCAGCACAGTGCCGCATTGATTCGCAATCTCTTGCAACTGATCATGCTGTTGTTGCGTGACTGGACTTTCGCCAAGCCACAAAGAAAACGGCTGGGAATCATTGTTCAGTTCTTCCCTTGGTAACAACCTGGTGCTCAGGTGCTCCGCCAAATCCACCAGCTGTGGCTGCCTGAAGATATCGGCCACGGTTACTCGCAATTCGCGCCCCGCAGCAGTCGCAACCAGTCTCATAGCGACCACCGAATCTCCTCCAATCTGAAAGAAGTTGTCGTAAATATTGATCTGGGAAACAGGCACATGCAGTACGTAGGCCCAGAGGTCTTGAAGCTTGCGTTGGATCGGTGTTGCAGGCTCGCCGGAGAGCTCGCCGGCAGCCAGGTATTTTTGTCGATACTCCGGTCCAATCGCCTTCAAAAGCTCCCCAATCGCGCGTCGGTCGAGCTTTCCGGATACATTCAAGGGCATCTCCAGAATTGGCAGAAAAACGGCAGGCACCATGTATGTGGGGAGCAACTGGAACAGCGTGCCCCGTAACCTTCGCAGGGCTGAGTTTAAGGCAGGCGTTGGCTGAAGCATACCATGCAACATGACGGGCCTATCGCGATGTTCACACCCTTCTTGAAAATCGACCACGGCGGTCAAACTGATCTGTTCAGTTGCACTCTCTTGCAACAATTGAACCGCCACAGATCGTGCCCCTTGAAGCTGTTGTGTTATTTGATACTCGATTTCACCTACCTCTACGCGCTGGCCGCGAATCTTCACCTGTGTATCACGTCGACCTAGATGGGTAATTGACCCATCCTCGTTCTGCCGCACCATGTCACCAGTGCGATACATCCGCCTCATGTATCCATGATCCGATTGTATGTTGAGCTGCTGGATAAAGGATGGTTCGATGACAAATGCCGCTCTGGTCTGTACCTCGTCATTCAGGTACTCGCGTGCCAACAGGGGTCCTTCGATTAGGAGCTCTCCTGGCGCCCCGATGGGACACAGTTGGTTGTATTCAGCGACATCAACTACCCACAGTCGAGTCCCCATCGCTGTACCAATAATCGACGCTTGTTTGGGATCAGTCAAGGGTTCACTACAGCTTGAGTGAATCGAGCATTCGGACGGGCCGTAGGCATTGAGAACGGTGACATAGGGCAACCACTGCTTGACTACGTCCGCTTTGACTGGCTCGCCAACCAATGCTAATTTTTGCATTGAAGGCACGTCGGGAGGATGGATCAGTCGCGCTACAGTAGATGTCAAAGTTGCAAAGACCACTTCCATCCTGCGCATCGCCGTCGTCAAGTTACTCATTCGCTCTTCCTCATTTGGCACACATACCACACCACCCCAGGAGAGGGTCGTGAAATAATCTTGGATGCAGGCATCAAAAGTGTGGGCTGCAAATTGCAACATGCGTGTTTGAGAATTCATTCCGAAGCGAGCTCCGTGGGCCTGGATACTGCTGCACAGGGCCCGGTGCTGCAGGACAACTCCTTTGGGCTTCCCCGTGCTTCCGGAGGTATAAACCACCCATGCAGCGTTATCTGGACCGACCGTTGCATGAAGTTCGTCCTCTCTGGCTGGAAATCTCTGTAAGAGACTCTCATCTACAACCACCAGCTGGACATCGGGAAGAGTTGAGAGTCGGCCTCGCTGTTTAGCATCCACTAGGACAATTTTGGTCCTAGTATCCTCTAGTATTCCTGTAAGACGTGCCTTAGGATGGGCCACTCCAAGCGGAACGACGACTCCTCCAGCTTGCAAAATCGCTAGCATCGCAACGCCGGCCCATTTGGACTTGTCCATGCACACCCCAACCATGTTTTCAGCGCCGACCTGCAAACCCTCAAGATACCATGCCAGCTGGTTGGCATAGTTGGCAAGTTCCTTGTAGGTCAGATTTCCATCCCACGCACATATAGCGGTGGTATCTGGCCGTTGATTGATTTGATCCGCCACCAAGTGATGTACGCATTGTTCAACTCGTGCAGGAGCGGTACCATTCCACCGGATGATGGTAGCTTGGTCAGCGGTACTGACCAGCGAAATATCGCGGACTTTGTATGTGTCTGTGTGGATGCTATAGAGCTGTTTCACCACATGTTCCAAGCACCTCACCATCCTCTTCACTTGCGCCCCAGCAATCACATTCTCATCATAACGTGTTTCCACAGTGATCGCGTCTAAGCCTAGCGAGCACTGTACAGTCAGTGGGTAGATATCGAATCCCTGTAGATTGACCGGCAAAGCGTCCATTTCGGGGAATACAGTATCCTCAGCTTCCCAGGCGGGCTGGATCGCCAACAGATTCCGCACTTCGAGAACAGGTCGAAGCTCGGGGGCCAGCTTTCGGATCCCTTGCAAGCCCGTATTCTCGAAGGCCATCATTTCCGTTGCTTGCTGCTGAATCATTTGCAAGAAGTCGCGGACGCATTGTTTTTGATCGACATCAATCCGAACAGGCACTGTAGTGATAGTGGGAGCCGCAAGCTTTGTCAACTGACGTACTGGAAGATTTCGGCCTGCTAACGCCATGGCAAATACTACGCTGTGCCCCTGGCCCGCATATTTAACCATGACCAGGGCCCATGCTGCCCGGAGAATAGCGGGTAGTACGGATGCGGGGCGGTTGTGAATTTTTGATGGCGGTAGAAGCATCTTGTAGATGTCGCGGTGCATAGGCTTGGGCTGATAGTCTTCGCGCGGCAGCGGCGGCCAACTCACTATCAAATCCCCCTGTAGCTGGGTACACCAATATTTGATATCGGCGGCATGGTCCCGTCGCAACAGATGCCGGATGAAACGTGTGTATGGGACAGCGGAAGGGACGCGGTCATGTAGATAGATGTCCGCCAGATGCTGATACATGAGCCCGGCACTCCAGCCATCGTAGACACTATGATGTGCGGTCCAGACTAGGAAGCGCTCTGTCGGATGCTGTACTATGGCCAAACGCACGAGGGGCTGGCCCAGTTGCATCTCTTTGTTCTGATCACTAGCCACGTACTTGTCAAGATCAGAACTGTGCTGCCAGCTTAGTTGGCGCCCAATCACAACCTGCACCAATCTACTTTCATTGGCCTCTTGGTCAACCAAAATCCGGGTTCGCAGAATCGGTGTCACTGTGGCCAAAGTTTCCCATGCCGCCTGGAAGCGGTCCAATCGAATTGAACTGGATAGTCTGTACACCTGTCGACTCACGTATGCGCTGTGCTGATGGGCTGTAATAGCGATAAGACCTTCCTGAGTGGGGGTGCAAGGGTAGACGTCCTCGATTTCCTCCACAGAGACGTCACATCTTCTCGCAATCCACTCGAGCCGTTGGGCCTGGGTGACTGAATCGGCATGTTCTAGCTCTCGCCACAGAGTAAAGGGCTCTGGATCTGGCTCCTCAGGCTGGTCTTCCGTGCTCTGTTCGTCGAGAAACAGAGCGAGATCCGATAGCTTTGAATGTTGGAAGATGGTAGCAACGGTGAGTTGGAGTTTACGCGCCGCTTGGAGAGCCACCATGCGCATTGCGGCAACAGAATCACCACCGATCTGGAAAAAGTCATCGTCACAACCAATGTCTTCAGTATCAATTTGCAGCGTCTCTGCCCATAGGGCCTGCAATCTCCTCTCCATCTCGGTAGTTGGCGCCTCCTTGGGTCCTGCATTGGGCATAAACTGTTGAAGATCTGATATGGAGACCGTGTTCAGATATGCTCGAATGGCTAGCCGGTCCAACTTCCCAGACGCATTTATGGGCATATCATCCATCGGTATATACAGTGTAGGCACCATATACGTGGGGAGGGAGCGTAGGAGATTCATCCGCAATTCCTGGAAGGTTGAAGCGAGCGTTCCAATCGCAACCGTAGCACTCCCAGCGATCGCCCCTGTCGTCACTGGCACGGGTACGGTGGGCATGTATGGGCTGTTCGGGGCGAAATTCATCAAGGCCACTAAATTAATATGAGCTCCCCGTTCTACCAACTCCACGGCAACGGTTCCAATGCCAGACAGTTTCTGCGTGATATGATACTCAATCTCACTGACGTTCACTCGCTGACCGCGGATTTTGACTTGTTCACTGTTACAGCGGCCGAGATAGAGTAGCGACCCATCCGGATTTTGGCTCACTACGTCACCGGTACGGTACATGCGACGTCCTGAAGGCAGGCCTAGCTGGGTCACAAACTTCGGGTCCAGGATAAAGCTGGCTTTGGTCTTGGCCACGTCATGAAGATAGCCGCGAGCAAGCAGAGGGCCTTCAATCAGTAGCTCACCAGGAGCTCCGATGGGACACAGAGTTTGGTAGTCCGTTGCCTGCACCACCCAGAAGTTGGACTTCATGGGCCGTCCGATGTTCCGGGCCTCGTAAATATGGAATAGCCGCTGGCTATTTGAGGACACGATGGAGCATTCAGACGGGCCGTAAGAATTGAACACTCTTGTGCGGTGTGCCCAGGTAGACAGAACCACAGGATTTAGCGGCTCACCACTGAGTGCTAACGTGGACAACGAAGGCAGCTCCGCCGGGGAGAGGGTAGCCGCGACCGTAGATGTCAGTTCCGCATAGCTGATCTCCATTCGCGCGGCCGTCGCTTCTAAGGCGTTCATGCGCTGCTCTTCGGACGGCACGCAAACACAACCGCCGGCCTGTAAGGTGCTGAATATATCGCACAGGCTCACATCAAAGGTGTAGGCAGCGAATTGAAGTGTCCTGGTATACTGATTAATTCCCATGGCGGCCGCGTGGGCTGTGAGACTGGTACACAGCGACTGGTGCTCCAAAGCGACACCTTTAGGGCTACCAGTACTTCCTGAGGTGTACACAACCCATGCGATATTCCGCGGCGTGATGCTAGCTTGTGGCGGTTCCATAGTTGTAGGTATATTCGCCATCAAGGTGGTATCGACGACCACCGTATTCGCGTCTAGGCATTCCAGTCGACTCTTCTGGTCCTGATCAACAAGAATCACTTTGGTTCCGGCGTCCTGAAGAATATTCTGAAGACGTGGCAGTGGACTACTTCCCGACAATGGCAATACTGCGGCGCCAGCATACAGAGTGGCCAACATGGCTACCACAGCCCATTTAGACTTGTCCATACACAGTCCAACGGTATTTTCGGGTCCTACTCCCAAGCTGACGAGGAAATGGGCCAGTGAATTACTGTAGCTCGCTAACTCGGCGTACTGTAACTCACCATCCCATGCATCGACTGCGATGGCCGTGGACCGGCTCATCACCTGGTCAGTCACCAGATCGTGAATACACCGGCTCACTGGCTTGGGAACGGCGGTGTTCCAATCTAAAATCAGCTGCCGGTCACTCGGGGAAATTCCCATCGCCTCTTGCAACGGTCGATCCCGGGCCAACGGGTGGCACAATCCCTGCGCCAAGAAGATGAATTGTTCCATAACCTTAGTCAAGTCCGCTGCAGCAATCATATCTTCGTCATACATAACCTCTATCTTCACAGCTTCACTCCCCAGGGTACACTCCACGTTTACAGCGTAGCTGTCGAAGTCCTCCATTGGTAGGGAGATCGGACTGAGTCCAGGGAAGGCTTTGTAGACATCTTGTTCCGATGCTGGCTGGATAATCAACAGGTTCTGGAGTTCCAAAACATCATGCAGGTCCGGTAGCATGGTTTTTATCATCTGCAAACCAGTGTGCTCATGGTCAATCATGTCAGTCGCTTGGCGCTGCACTGCCTGTAGGAATTTGCCAACTGTCTGAGTCGGGTCAATGCCGATACGCACGGGAACTGTAGTGATCAATGGGGCTGCAATCTCGGCGATCTGCGAGACAGGGGCATTGCGGCCCGATACCGTAGCAGCAAAAATGATATCGTCCTGCCCAGTGTACTGGGATATGACTAGCGCCCAAGCGGCGCGCAAGACATGTGACATCATGACGAGTCCTTGTTCGGCGCCTTCGAGAATTGGGATTTCGCCTTTGAATTGGGCCCGGGGACTAGGCTGATAGTTGGGGTGGAGTAATGCTGGCCAATGCGCCACGGAATTAACATTCTCGCGCTGAAGTTGGTGGCGCCAGTAGTTTGCAGCAATAACCGGGTCTTTTCCTTCCATGTATCGCACGAATCGGGTATATGGGATAGATTGCGGCAGCTGCTGTTGGAAGTAAACTGCGGCTAAGCGGCGGTAGAGGAGCTGCGCACTCCATCCATCGTAGATACTATGGTGAGCCGTCCACATAAACGTCGCTCCCTCTCCATCGACTAATTTCGGAACGAGTCCGCAGCGGGCTAAAGGCTGACCAAGCTGCATACCTTCTTTTCGATCCTCCGCCAGATAACTCTTAAGGGTGGAACTGTGTCGCCAAAGAATGCGGTTGCGGGTCACCACCTGCAAAGATCGACCACTGGGTCCTATGATAATTCGAGTGCGAAGAATGGCGGTCCGCTCTATCAAAATATCCCATGCTGCTTGGAAACGATGGAGATCGATGTTTGGTCCCAGGGCAAATGCTCGGCGGTCGACGTAGGCCGCTGGTTTGCGGGCAGAGATGGCCATCAAACCTTCTTGCAACGGAGTGCATGGGTACACATCTTCGATCGAGTCTGCTTCAAGCCCACACTCCAGTGCAACCTGCTGAAGCAGTCGTATTCTCTCTTCAGGTGTAGCCCGGCTGTAATCCTGCCAGATACTGAAACGTTCGGATTCGCCTTCCTTGTGTCCGGAGGTCCCCTCGACTGTTGAGTAGGCTGGACTATCATTTTCTCGAGACGATCGCAATTTGGTTGTCGAGAAGAGCTCTGCAATGCTGTTTAAGTTGATGATATCGCCCGTCTTTACTTCGATTCCTCTGTCCTCGCATCGCGCAATTAGGCCAATTGCCGCAATGGAGTCTCCACCCAGTCCGATGAAGGACTGAGACTTATCCAGCTTTTCGACCGGGATTTTAAGTACCTCAGCACAAATTTGGAAGAACTGTTGTTCATTGTTTGTTGCCATTTCTCCGTCAAAGAAGGTGTTCGTCTCACTATCGCTCTTTGGAGAATTTGAGGCACTGTCCGATGGGGTCATGGTGTTTGTAGATGAACTAGAATAATACATAGTTACTGGTAACTTGAAGCTTCCTGCGTTTCAATAAGTCAGAAAGGTAATACAATGGAATCTTTGTATTTCTGATGACTGTACACACCCTATGTCAGGCTTGCTAGCTCTGATGAAAACAACTTGGATAAGGGACAGGGTATGCTGGGCGATTGGGGTTAGAAATCTTTGATCCAATCATGGGTATTGACTGCTATTATGTTTCTCACTGATTGCCATAGCTTGCCATATCTCAGGGCCAAATCCTAGTCCTGACGTACCATTGCCGCAGCCCTGCTCCAGAAACGGTTGAGGGTTAGGGTCCATGTAGACCTCCGCATATTGCATTTTCGGGTACCCGTAGGTTACCCGCAAACTCAGTGGGAAGACGATCAACCCCAGTTAGCATGGTGCATCATCTGAGGTTCTCCATTTCTTCTGACCTTTCCCCATGAATTTCTCAGCACAATTCTTTAGTGCATTGTTATTACTAGAGTCGGCAGTGGATGCGATGCCCTGCTCCCTTAGTCACCGGACCCGCTCGGGTGTAGGCTACGGTGTTGGGTTTATGGCTGAGGTCATCATTCTTACTGTCAGACTGGGATATGGCCCCCCTAGGCTCTAAACAGGAACCGAGGTTTTTTGTTATGGTCTAGTGGTAAAATAGGCTGTATCTTTCCCACACTTACCACAAACGAGTGTGCCACGCAATCGAGGCACTCTTATAATCCAACTGTAGAAAGGGCTCTACATAACATTTTATTACTATATTAATAATATCCTTAGGTTATCAATGATGGATAGGGCTTCTGGCTCATATGTGCATCATGAATATATGTAATTTCGAGATACATACTAAAATTCAAACGAAATGCATGTGATACTCCGTTAAGTATTATACCTTACCTGGAGACTGACTTCGGAACCTTCCGAGGTTGGATAGAATCAACGCCCAGAACCTTGAAGAGCGGTCACACTAGGCATACATCCTAGCCAGGTTAATTATTTCCCAAGTTGTGGTACAAGTTTGCTCTTATTTATCGTCATAGCGGCCAGCACTGGTCGTGGCCGGCACTAGCAATGCCTTACGTGGGAGCTCACTCCCTCCTCTCTTGAATCGATCTGAAGTGTTTGTTACAACAAAGGTCAGGAAGGTCGATTATCATCTCACACACCGACCAACACAGGCTTCTCTTTGCATGCCATGGAGATGCTGCATGAACTACTCCTCCGGGGAGTACCGAAAGTGCTGCTGCTGCAAGGCGCCATTGGGATCATTATCTGCTTAATGTTTCACCAGCTTGTATTGTCGGATTCGCACGAGTATAAACAGTTCTGGAAGAAACAGGTCTGGGTAGGCCTTCGCGCGGAATGGTTTCCCAAATTCAGAGCCTCACTGCGAACTATCAGCGGTATCCGCCAGATGCTGGATGAGGGCTATGAGAAGGTTGGTTCATGGGCATCCCCTTATACTTCCGGTGACAAGCCTGTTCTTGTGAATCTGTTCCACTAATCAAAAGAGGATTGAATCGGACAGTATTCCAAAAATGGCAAGGCTTTCATCCTGCCCACCATTGCCGAAGCTCCCTGGGTGGTGTTGCCACCCAGTAGCATGCGTGAGCTGCTCTGCAAGTCAGACGCTGAGCTGGATCCGGACAAAATCCACGCAGAGCAGCTGCAGCACTACTATACTCAGGGGCCTCTCGGGTGGCATGCGGTGCAAGTGCCTATCCAGTTCGATCTGGTACGCCGCCAGCTGTCACGACAACTTCCTCTGGTGATCGCGATCATGGCGGAGGAGGTCGACTGCAGCTTTCGGCAGTACTGGGGCACCCAGCAGACGGCTACGGAGGTCAATGTCTTCGAAACTTGCACACAAATTGTGACGCGTGTCGCCAATCGCGTCTTTGCCGGTCCAGATATCTGTCAGAATGAGGATTTCCTCCTCCATTCGCGCCGCTACTCGGAAGGCGTCGCGCGCGCGGGAATCATCATCCGCTTGCTACCGCGATGGCTGCGTTGGCTTCTCGCCCCGCTTATAACATATCCAAATCGCAAGAACTACCAGGTCTGCCTGGACATTGCTCTTCCCGTTGTCAACGACCGGCTGCAGAAGACCCTTATGGGAGACCCCACATGGAAGGCTCCGGTCCGTAAACACCCTCCTCTTTCTTTACCTGCATTCTCTTCATCCCAATTTGTTTCCAATCATCAAACATGGCGCCAGAAAATCTTACTCTTATTTCGTAGGTCGACGGACTTCAATGGCTCCTGGACGATTGTGTGAAGTGCGACGACGCACGCGAAATCCATCCAAGTTTGATCGTCCAGCGACTATTAATGCTCAATTTTGTTGCGATAGAAACGATGGCTATGTCTATCACCCATACGGTAGTCGATCTATACTCTGCGCCCGGTTGCGCTAGCTTTGTCGTCGGGCTCCGAGAGGAACTTGATCGCGTATGGCACGAGGAATCGCAACAGCAGCCGCAGCCACAGGCAGGGCAATGGACCAAAGCTAGACTGGATCGGCTGGTACGAGTTGATTCGACCATCCGGGAGTCCATGCGAGTGTCCGATCTGTCGTATATTGCTGTTCCACGCATAGTGGCGCATCCCTCAGGCCTCGACTTCCGTCACGTAGGAGGATTGCTCCATATACCGCGGGGAGTGCGAGTGTGCGTGCCAGCCCATGCCATCCACCGCGACCCAGACTACTACTTAGATCCACTCACCTTCAATCCCTTCCGGTTCAGTGATACTGCCCAAGTAGCTGCTGGTCGGAAAGCCTCTTCCATCGCGACTGCGACCGACACTTTCCTCGTCTTTGGGCATGGGCGACATGCCTGCCCTGGTCGATTCTTCGCGGCCCAGACGATGAAGTTGATGCTGGCGTATCTCGTGCAGCATTATGAGGTAGACCCGCTCAAACACGTCGTGCAGAAGGAAGTGCAGGTTGGGACAGCTCGGCCCAATGCCAGTCTGTGTCTGCTTGTGCATCGACGGAATTGACGGGTGGCGGGATTCTATTTTCCTATTCCGGGGGACGCATATCTCGAGTACAGCTCCCAGGGGTACAGGAAGGGATGACTTTAGGTGATGATGAAGCTAAGCTTCAGTCGGTGGCCCAGGTAGCAGGGAGCGATATCGAACCGGAAATCCCAGACCCATAAATGGAAAATAGCTTATTGTCTCCGAGCGCCTACCACCCTCTGTTGAAGCGTGGTGGGTAGTTGTGACAGAGTTTATCATCCCCCCGCGCAGCGGATAACAGCAGCAGCATATGCGGTAATCGGCCAACTATGGGACTAGTCAAGTAGTACAAAAATCTATTATTTATATGCCTCACCCCAGAGCAGCACCACGAAAGGCGAACTATATACCCAGGCCTTGACGCATCTCTATCTGACTCGACTGACTCGACACGCGAGTCAAACCCGACTGGTCGGGTGCACTCCAGCGCTCCCGCGGGAACACCAGCCCAGGATGGATGGTTGTCAAGGCACCACATGCGATGATCATCATAGTCCCTTCGAGGATCATGAAAGTGACCTGATCATTTGCTAGTTCACTTGTAAATCCACCCTTGAGCTCTGCGACTCGGAAACACGAACGAATGAAAATGGTGATAGTGGCGACCACCAAGCCTTGGGGAATCATTTGGGTAAGCAGGAGTCGAAAAACATACCAATCCAAGTCAATGAGAGAGGAAGAGAAGGAGGGAAACAAGGACATCGCTTACAGGCCAAAAACCCCGTCCATTTCCACCCAGTTTCCCACTTCGTGGGTAGAAGCGACGCCGGCCCGCGCGCCTGTTGACGTCGCACTCGAATCGCGAAGTCTACTGCGAGGCCGACAAATCCTGCCAGCGAGACCACCTGGCACGCCAAGCCAGCAATCATAATGTTGATCCCAAGGTCGCTTAGGCTGGTGTTAGACGTCCCGGCAGTGGACGTGATCGCACCACCCGCGGACTGCAAGATCAAACAGACGACATCGCAGGAAATAAAGATCTTCGAGTATGTGCGGGGCTGCAGTCGGGACAGCGAGGTCCGTCCTCCACGCGAGGCACCAATGCGCCCATTGTACTCAATCACCACCCGACTAAAACAAAAGTAGATCCCAGCACAGATGAAGGCGGGGGCAATGGTGAGGCAAATCAGGTACTGCAGGAAGGCGTTGAAAGAAAATGGGTCATAGTGAAGGTTGATTCGCCCGGCGTAACCTATAATCTCCAGGAGCAGGCCACAGCCCAGGGCAATCAAGTATGAGTAGGTACGGTACCACACACCTAGGACCAGATGAAGTACCATCGCGATAGAGAAGAGTGCGAGAAATAGAGCGTTCCCGGCCAGTGTGGGAATGTAGTGGATCATAGCATAATCCAGAGTACAGGTCTTGAGAGTGCATTCGAAGGCTCTAGTGATGATCGACATGTTGAGCGATGTGGATCGATGGAGTCAACCAAAGGTAGGAGCGTTAAACTGGTCCGAGGGGAAACAATATAAAGGTATTCCAAAAAAGAAGGTATAAAAGTAAAGAAAAATGAGAGAACTCTAAAGGGAAAAGGGAGGGGATTAGGAAGATATTTATATACATATATACATTCTCCCGTAGAGTGAAGGAGTATAGATGTAATGAGATAGGGGCTTGCCAGGTTCCAAACGAAAGTATATCGGGTGAAACCAAAGATAGATTCAGAATCCCAGTCACTCTTTCAAAGGCCCAAAATCCACTACAGCGCGCGCCCCTCCCCCAAATGCATGTTTTGTAAATACCGACTTCGCCACTCAGTGGCCGCCTATATCAACGCTTTCCTTTCATAACCACTATTATCATAAGAAGATATGGATATGCAATAAGCTATCAAGGGAAGGACGGTGATTATGTGGCAGAATATAGGTGGAGATTCAAGTGGGTTTTTACCAAACATGTATTGGGGGACTGTTGTCATACCACCTACGCCTGGGCCTTCGGTTGATGCGTAACGGACCGCTGGTAGCTTCGAACTAGAACTAAAAAAAGCTACGGTGGAGAGTGCCACAGAGCGGCCCGTACGCTACCGAAAAATTAGGGAACGGTTAGCTCAGCCGAGGAAATTAAGTGAATCGGAGATCAAAGATCTACAATCTATAACCACGTCACTCTACAAGTGATTGGACTATTGTTGTAAAGGAATGAAATATCCGGTGCGTGCTAAGCTCGACAAAGCAAAAAGGAATGAGAAATCAAAACATCTAGACTTCCAAGGCTACAAAAACATTACATCTGCGTCAAGACCCGAGAGCCCCAGGGGTCCGCCAGCCTGATACTTTTTTTGCCTGAATATTGAGGATCAACGAATTCAAGCAATCGGTTAGAATTTATAGAAACGGAAATAAACAAATAGTGAAAAGTAAAACGTTGATTGTTTGACTCCACTGCTAACTAGTTATGCCTAAATGCTCAGATATTTTATTTGGTGTATAAAGGTACGCTGAATGTCGAGCACCCAGGTAGTGTAGAGAAAATATATATTTCTACAAACTCAGAAAACAATCTTCCCAAAAAACACCAAAACACTACCTACATCATCCTTAAATTGATATTTCAATAGATAATTAACTAAAAGCTCAGTCTATTCTTCCAGAATAAAGAGTTATTTCTTAAGCTTTCAAGACATTTATGGTAAGAATACATACTCCGCCCAATACATGGCCCACTCCCGGTGGGAGTTGGGCCGCACGGGTTATTTTTAGCCTCTAACCAGCCCTTGAAATTCTTTTACCAAAATTACAGACCGCTTGCGAGGGTCCGCCACCCGAACGGAGGATATAGATTTATTTCAACCTCTACGAAGGTGCAGCCGAATGCCTGATTTTAATGGTTTAATGGCCTAATTAGTACTAGTTCTCACTAATTTTGGATCGCCTTCGACACCACTTAATACCATGTTTTGTAAGTAGTAGTCCCTATAGTAGGTTGAAAGCCATGAACTGTGAATCTACAACATAAATCTAAATCTAAAATATCGGTATATCCTCTCCGCAAATTGTGGATATCAATTGTAAAGGATCTGCCGTAGTCTAACTGTAGTGATCAGGTGATATACCGAGTATTGTACTGGGTTTCAACCCTGTAATACTACCATTGTATTCGACAGTTGGCCCCTCAGCTTTCGGTTATGTGGAAGCCTACATATAATTTTGCAATTGCAGGTCTATTTCGCAGGCACAGGAAATTGACTCAAGACAGAGCCAAACGCAAACACAATTCACCATGCGAGCACGTCCCGATTTCCCAGGTTTTTCTGACGCCCGCCTAGATGCATCTCGGCCAGCTCTGATGCCGACACTGTCTCCAACAATTGATCGTCACAGAGCGACTGGAACACGGCCTTGCCAAACTTCTTGTACGCCGCCGCAAGTCCCTGTTGCTCGATTAAGGCCAACTCCATCTCATCAAGCACGAACGGGTACGACTGCCCGCCCACGGTAACTAGTCGACGGGGAAGGTTGATCTCAATATCAACGCCAGTTTGGACCGATGCATAGAAGTTGTCATCGGTGATGGTGAGGCCCAAGAGACCGATAGTGGGCTGATTACGCCCATAGATGAAGGAGAAAGAACGTGCAATCACACATTTCACGCCGAGACCTACGGTTCATACCTGTTTAGAGCAAAATCCTTTTTTGGATATTCGGCCACAAGTGGTGGTCACTTACCTTTCAAAGCACGTGGCGCTTCTTCACGCGATGAACCACAGCCGAAGGCTTTGCCAGCGACGACCACGTCCAAACCAGCCCGAACCTGGTCGCGAAACTCGGGGTGGGTTAACTCCAGGCAGTGACTGCCGAGCAGGACGTCGGTTGGGCTCTCCATAATGAACGCAGCTGGAATAATCTGGATCATACGTGGTTAGCCATCGCTAATGCCGCGGTCAAAGAAATTGAAAGAAAGTCCGGGGAACTCACCGCGTCGGTGTCCACAAAATCACCTAAAGCAGAGACCTTGCTACAAATAATCTCCTCTACGGCACTACTGATTTCCTCATTCAACTGCTCCTGTCTCGGTTTCTTCGTCTCAGCGGCTGCAACTTCGCGAACGGACAAGTAAGGCTCGGGCGCTGGAGGCATAGCTGACGGGATCGACGCTGCACTCTGTACGGCACCCCCTTTGGAACCATCTCCGGACTTCTGACGCGGCTCAGCCTTCCATCGCCGGCAAATTTCAAGTAAAGTGCAATATCTCTCAACCGACACTTGGCTAAGAAGATCGCGAGGGTCGGTGAGTTGCATACTAAAAGATGAGGCAGCGACTACAGCGGCGGAGCAAATATGTGCGATGGATCCTGCGGGGAGACAAGGTCAGCCAGTCGTTGTTTGACGTAGGTCAATTATCTAGGGAAGGAGGCCAACCTGGACCCATTCGGTTCTTGAAGTTGCGGTTCTGTGATGAAAGCCAATTCTCGCCAGCCCCTGCGCGGTCGGCTCCCATCCCCAGGCACAGGCTGCAGCTCACAGCTGGCTGTTGAAACCCGGCCTGGGAATAGATATCTAACAAACCCAAGTCGCGCAAATTCTTGACAATTGGTAAGCTTCCAGGGACAACCATCCGCTTCCCTGTAGCCAGCGGTAGCCCGATCTGAAGACCCGCCTCCAGGACTAAGGCGCCTAAGATCAGATCTTCTTCGGTGGTGGTACAAGCACCGATGAAGCAACCCTCAAAAGCCATGTTCAGTTTATCAGTCACTTCCACTACGTTGTCAGGGGACGGATAGAGCGCAATAAAGGACTTGACCTCATCAAGATTGATCTGAAAGGTCGCGGCGTACGTGGCATCTGCATCCGGTTGAAAATACAGAGATTGTGACTTGTAGCGGCTTTGAGGGCGATCCGAGATGAATTGGCTAGTGATCTGGTCTGGGACGAAAATACCTGTAATGGCGCCCAATTCCTATTGTCCTTCCTTTGCATCAGTCACTGGTCGGGGCTAGGGCTAGATCAGAAACAAAGTCGCGTACCGTGCACATATTACAGATTGCGAACCGGGCATCGCACGAAAGGTAGCGCGTGCCTGGTCCTCCGAACTCTATAATTCGATCAGCAGCATGCGTGTTGCGCTTGAGCAATTTTAGAATGTAAAGGATCACATCTTTGCCCCGGATGTACCACGCAGGCTCGCCCGTGAACTCCACCCGGATTGACTCAGGGGTTTTGATCCATGTCTCACCGGTGGCCAGAGCCGCCATCACATCGGCCGCCCCGAGGCCAATAGCGAGCGAACTGACGGCACCTGCCGAACAGGTGTGGGAATCCGAGCCTAGAATGAGCATGCCCGGTTCGGCTCGCTCCCGCACGAATTCGGTGTGGAGGATGGTATACTGGGGAATGAGTTTGATCATCAGCAACGACTCCCAGTGAAAGTCCAAGAATGGGATATGGCAGGAGCTGACATTTGAGCCTTGGTTTTCAGTCATCTTGAATTTTGTCTTTGCATCTTCCATGCCGTCAATAAGCTCCCGAACCCGCGGTTGGTGATATGTACGGGGATCAACCGTGTGATCTCCCGCCAGCCAAAACCGGTCATTTCTCCAGACCGTAGGCTCCTCCCCTATGCTGGTCATACTGTGCTTCATGCCCTATAGAATAATTAAATTTGCCGGATAGTTTCTAAGATGCGCAAGTTTCACTCTGGAAGGCTTCATCAACTGAGAGGGGGATAAAAAAATGACCTACCACCCAAGATAACTCACTGGCAATAATCCAGTCAACTGAGGTTCGAACAAAGTCACCACTTTTAAGACCATGTGCAGATGGCAGCGAAGATGGCAGTGAAAATGCATGATGAGCAAGAATCTTCTCGGCCAATGTCATGGGCCGCGTGACAGAAGTCTTAACGGACAGCGGTGCGGGGAGGCATCTACCTGATTCAGCGGAGTTCAGAGACTCCAGCCATGCCTCAAGGAGATCCTGCAGGTCTTGAAGTTGCATCTGACTGAGCGACCAGTCGATGCATAGTGCCTCTGATAATCCCAAACCACCGCGCTCTGTCTCCCTGTGACACAGGTCGAGGACATATCGTAGTGTAGATGCATCTGCTGGACGGCCACCGGCCTCTAGTTCGTTGCTGAGATGGGTGATAAATGCCTCGGTATTGGTCACTATTGAGCAACCGGGGCTTGGAGGGCTGATATGGGATTCTTTAGTTAGGTATAGGAGGGTCTGGGTTGGATTGATGTCTTCAATGCTGCATTCCCCCAATCGAATCCCACGGGTGTCTTCTAGGATCTTCACCACTGCGTGAACGAAGGCCCTCGCATCCCCGGGGAGACTGCGCCCAAAGATATACACAATTGATTCACTTGGCATTTTGTTGGTCAAATGTTTAGAGGAAGTTTGTAGTGTCATAAGGTGGGGTTTGACTATTTATATGCGCGAGGAGATAGGCGTCCGTGTTGAGGACTATCCACATGCTTACGATCAGCCTAGATCTTCGGTGGAATCAACTGCATTTATCACTGCCATTTTTCATTGTATCACAGTAGTACAGACTAGTACAGACCATTATGCCTTTTATACCTTCAGCCAATAAAGATATGCTTATTACCCCTATGGCATATAGGAATCTCGCCCTTTTTCTCTCCTCACATCGGGCCGCTGACTGTGCTCATACTCTCATCCCCAAATAGCACACGTTCTTTGTAGTTATCCTTTTATACGGTTAATAACTAATGGATTTCCTACAATACTAATATTCGCAGGTGAAAGGAATGGTCATTCCCCTCACGCATTATCCTTTAAATAAGTTACGACTGCGTCACCGAACTCCGTGGAGGAAGCCGTTCCACCGATATCTCTCGTCCGGCAACCCCCCTCAATGACCTCCCTAACGGCGGTTTCGACAGCAATTGCAGCGGCAGGCATCTCAAGTGAATAACGGAGCATCATAGCAATGGATAGAATCATCCCAGTCGGGTTGATAATACCCTTCCCGGCAATGTCGGGTGCGGATCCTAAGCACAAACGTATTAACGATGCGGTCCCTTCATACAGCGGGACGAAGCCGTCATATGAACACAGACAGAACAAAAGGCACGTCACTTACCATGCACAGGCTCGTAGATACCACGAACTACGGTCCCATCAGCATTGTCAGGTATCGCACAGAGACTCGCGCTAGGCAGTAAACCAAGACTGCCAGGAATGGCACTGGCCTCGTCGCTGATAATGTCGCCAAACATGTTGCTGGTCAAGACAATTCCATTGAGTGTCGTCGGTCGAAGAGCTAGGGTCATGGCCGCCGTATCGATTAGCATATGCTGAAGTGTCAGATCTGGAAACTCCGAGGCAATAGTTTCCTTCACCACACCACGCCAGAGCCGGCCACAGGCCGCCAGCAGATTGGCTTTGTCTAAGCTAGTGATCGGTAAAGGAGGATTCTTCGACCTGGCAAGCCAGGCCGCTAACCGCGTAATGCGCTGGATTGTGCTCCCGTCATATTGGTCGAGATCTGAGGCAGTGTTGAATGTCCCGTCATGTTCCTGACGTTCTCCATAATATATGCCACTGCTGAGCTCACGCACAATGAGGATATCTGTTCCGGAGCACACCCGCTCTTTTAGGCTGGATGACTCGATCAACACGGGAGCAATGAAGTTAATCGGTCGAATGTTTCCAAATGCGTCCATGGCCTTGCGCAGTCTCCCCAACCCCAATTCGACGGGGATTGGGCTTCCCTGCCAAGCCTGTGAAGACCTTTCCGTCAGTCCCATGAGCTATTCATTTCATCCTTGAAGCTGATATCTTCTCACGTACCGGACCACCAACAGCGCCAAGAAGTACAGCTGATGCTTTTTTAGCATCAGAAAGGGCTTCCTCAGTCACAGGGGTGCCATGGGCATCGAATGCGGCCTGTTCAATCACCGCGATCGTTAGCCGTCTTGACAGGCGGCACGTAGGGGTGGAATTGGAGAGTACATACTCCACCAATGAGATGGTATTTGAGGTTTAGCGTGGCATCAGTTTGATACTGTCTTTGAATCTCGTGTAGCACCTAATTAGTTTTTAGTCGTATTGATTTGCAGTTGGCCGCTGGTAAGGCTACCTTCAGGCCTTCGACCATCACCTCGGGGCCTCCATAGTCGCCTGGGAACACCACAATATCATGTGTCTTAATCATAGTGCCAATAAGTAAGTTTGTATTGCTTCTGAGGAAACGATGGTATCAAACATGGAGAAAAGAAGGCAATCGGAAGCAATATAAATGATTACAGTTCGCACTGCGTTACGGAGAATTTCATAGAATACCCGCACTTATGGAACTCCTCAATAGGTGGAATCCTTTGTCCTTTCTTGTCCTCTAGCTCATTTTCTTTATTAAATAGCTACAACCACCTATGGGGTATCATCTACACCCTATATTAGTTACCTTAATCTACTCCTCGCCAAGATGCAAACTTACATTATAAAAAACAGTTACTTCATTATATCTATATAAGTGAGAGGCATGGGATTATATTTATGAGCTTATTAAGGGCTGGATGGCGAGTGGTGTAGCCTACAGGCGAAGAAGCTGTCCTGACTAAGCATCCGAGCTGGTGGCGGGGCTGAGACACCGTACAAACGCATGATAGATTTATAACTAGAGGACTGATTACTGTGCATAAGTGCGCTGTCTAGTAAAGGACTCCTTATGGCTCTTGTACATCTAGTTCATCCATAATGCACGAACCCCGGGATTGCTCGGTCTCCCTGTCCGGCTTAGCTTACAAAGAACAGCGTTCAAAGAGCACAGGGATTGAGCTAAGCACGATAACTCTCCTTCTACCTTCTACCCCTCTTCAATGGATTACTCGATGTGTCAAGGTCTGGGCCTTTGCATTGTGTAGCTCTTAGGGTATGTAGAAAGAAAAGAACCACGCTCCCCACTAGTAAGAACCCCTCTTCTTCAAATTGTTTGGCATACAAGGCAAAGAAAAAAAAAGGAAATAAGACAAATGCCAACAACATGTGCAGGTGGCCAAAGCCTGCAGAGCAAATATGGCGGTCGGGCTCCTCCCAATATCCATCTGCCAGACCGACAATGGCCATCGAAGAAGTTGACGAAGTCCCCCACTTGGCTGTCGACTGATCTACGGGATGGCAACCAAGCTCTCCCCAATCCTATGGTACGTATGGAACTACCCACCCTGGAGAAGAAGACGACCTAATGTGGTTATTAATACGATGCAGACAATATCCCAAAAATGGCAGATGTTTCGCCTGCTGGTGGGTATTGGGTTCAAGGAGATTGAGGTCTCGTTCCCCTGTGCCTCAGATATCGAATTCAACTTCACACGGGAGCTCGTGAGCACACCTGGGGCCGTCCCACCGGACATCAGTCTGGAGGTGATGACCCCCTGCCGGAAAGAGACGCTGAAGCGCGCAGTCGAGAGCCTCAAGGGGGCAAAGAAGGCCATTCTCTTTACCTACCTCGCAACCAGCGACAACTACCGCGAGACCATTCTGCAACAACCATCAGAGTCAGAGTGGTTGGCGCGCGTCACTGACTGTATCGAATATGCTCGCTCCATCACCAAAGAAGATGCGGAGGCGCGGACCACCGAGTGGACGCTAGGATTCGGCTTCGAGGACTTTGCTAATGCCCGTCCAGAGGCTGTCTTGCGCCTGGCGGCAGCCATCCAGGCTGCGTGGAAACCCACCCGTGAACAGCCGGTCATCTTAGGACTCGCATCCAGCGTCGAGGCCACCACCGTCAACGTGTTCGCGGACCAGGTAGAATACTTTGCTCGGAATCTGCGTAACCGCGACACGGTCTGCATCTCTATTCATACCCATAATGACCGTGGCGGCGCCGTGGCCGCCGCGGAGCTCGCGTGCTTGGCCGGCGGGGATCGCATTGAAGGATGTCTGTTTGGCAACGGCGAGCGAGCGGGGAACCTAGATCTTGTCACGGCCGCCATGAATTATTTCACGCAAGGTATTGAGACCGGGTTAAATCTCTCAAACTTGCCGGCCATCCGGCACGTATACGAGAAGATCACTCAACTCCCTGTGCATCCAAGAACGCCGTACTCAGGCGACTATTACTTCCGTGCCTTCTCCGGGGCCCATCAAGATGCGATTTGGAAGGGATTGAACAAACGAGCCATTAGCCTGTCGAATAGTGTATGGCGGGTGCCGTACTTGCCCCTCGATCCTGCCGATTTGGGAATCTCCTTTGATAACGTAATTGGGGTTAACAGCCAGAGCGGGAAAGGGGGAGTGGCCTGGCTTATCCAGCAAGGGCTCGGCTTGAGTCTTCCCAATGAGTTGGCCGCTGCTTTCAGCGGTATTGTAAAAGAGAAATCGATGGCCTGGGAAAGAGGATTGGCTGCTGAGGAAATTTGTGCCCTTTTCTTGGAATGTTACGATCACAGCACTTATTATCACTCGCTGGTACTTGGACAACAGCGCACAAGCAACTTTTTTCAGCAACCTGCCCTCCCACACGATCTGGAGGTGATGACAGATCAGGCAAATCTGATAGCCGCCTTGATGAGCCAGACGTTGCAGTTCCCCATTCGGTGCATTATGGCGACATGCCATCCCCTTCCTGGTCGGCAGAAACAAGACCTGTCTGTCACATTCGCACAATGGTCACTCGGAGATGGCGTTAAACCCGTCTGGGGCATTGGGGTCGGTATAAGCAAGGATGAGGCTATCTATAGTACACTCCTGTCTAGTATTCAGGTAAAGTTATCAGTCTCCTGGCGATAGGACTCGCCCGACTTCGACTGTACTAATGCATTGGTTGTACAGAAAGATTATGTGTCACTCACAGGTGAGCCTTGGCCGAGTTCTGATCAGAAGAACAAGCTAGAGAACTTTGCGTTGCCACCAAACTTGGAAATGGCTGCGGTCACAATTATTTCATTGCCTGATGAAGTATAATGCTCCTGCGGTGGACTTGGAAGATCGAGAATTGCTATGAACACCACCACACTATTAGGTGAATATTTTCTGTTTCCAAAGACAATAAACATGATTCAACTGATTTTATTTTTCCCGAAACCATTCTCTCAGTACTTTGGGAAAGAAATTATCTCGTGTATCATTCAGAACATTATTTTGCCATCGGAAGCATAGAGAGGCCACAATCTAAGATGAACAGGAATAAATTGATAACACAACAAAGACAAAACAAAACACACAACTATTTAACAATATTGTTTCAAGCCTTTCCCCCATCTCATCTCCACCTGCCCGAACAAGATATTAGCCATAAGTACGAACCAGCTTCAACTGATTATATTCAAATGCGGTTAAGCCATCATTGTACTCAGACTTGATGCCCGGACGCACAAACTCAGCCAGTGTATCAACGAGGACATCCCGGTCCGGCTTGCCAAAGTATGCCACCGAGTACCGGGTTGCCAGCATTTCATCAGTGTGAGCATCCTTTCCTTCAGGCAAACTCACACGATGATTAGCTGACCGCAGATTCTTGTTAGTCCATCTCTGAAGGCAGTCGCCAACATTGATGATCACCTCGTATACATCTTCAGATTCCACTGGAATAAAGTTACCCAGCTGCTGCTGATCTTCGACCTGCAGACCACCCACAGAGTCTTGCAAGAGCAGGGTGAGTGTGCCAAAGTCAGAATGCTCGCCAATCCGCTTGACAGTCTCCATCGAGCGGCATGGAATAGAAGGATAGTGCAGCAATCGCAGCTCGCTGGTGTTGCTCTGATGCTTGGAGATAAGATGATCCTCGGGGAGGCTTAATCCGGCCGTGATAGCGCGCAAGAGGTTCGCGTGGAGCGCGTGGAATTGGTCATAGATGCCCTCCATGAATTGACGGAAACCTGGCAAATAAGTTTCATCTACCCATCGGTTTGGGAAAAGCTCGTCGTTGGCTGCCCCTTGATCAAATGATTCCTGGTTGCCTGTCAGTAGGATCACTCCATCTATGTTAATTCTGCTCGGAAACCTACGCGATACTCTTGGTAACGGTCATTCTGCTGCTTCCCTTGCTCAAACTTGGAAATCTGCCACACACTTTCCTGGCCAATTGCACTCCATCCTCGATGCGGGTTTGGGGCTTCTGGGTGTGCCGCCTCTGCTTTCAGGTGATTGGGGAGATCGAAGAACAGCTTGTTCTGTTTACCTTTAATCAGAGTCACTTCCCCGATTTCTTTGTCTTCAATCAAGTACTCACAAACCTGAACAGCTGGTCAATCGTCTCCTTTGAGAGAGAAGAGTTGTGAATCTTGGCAAATCCATAGACGGAGAGGGTTTCGCATAATTCATCACAAAACTTTTGTCGCTCTTTTATATCGTCGCTGCAATATTGAAGAAAATCAAGAGATTTGATGGGCATTGTTGCCTTTGTATATTGAGAGCAAGTTTTATACTCCGTGATCAAGACACAGCGAATTGAAGGTCAAAATATATACAACTGGCCCTTGGGATGACCCGACATTAAATATATATACATTTGTTGGATACCATACATTGCCTTCTACGTAGCTTAGTGTACTGTATCCATGGGCTTCCAAGGTTCCACGTAATAGTCTACTGGATAAGCATGTTGAGTATACCCTAGTCCTTTCCCGTGACCCGGATGGTACGGTACGCAGATGCTTCTTGACATATGGCGACCTGCGGGCCCCTTGAATGGATTGCACCTTATAGCCTGGCCCCTACCGCTACTATTTACTCGCTGCTGATTCTTGGCGTTGATTCAGATCAGCTGGGAAATGAAATCTAGAGTCAAAATTGACCACTATTTTCTCTTTCTTTCTTTTCTTCTTTCAAATTGGAACTTCTCCGTCTGTGTCAATATCTGCCCTTCAAAATGATCGAACTTCTATTGGATCTCACCTCGCTGCAACAAGGCATCATCGCGGTGATTGCTGTTCTTCTGTTTTTGGTACTGACTAACCGATTGACCACCTGGGAATACATCGTTCCCAAAGAAGTGCAATGGATTGACCGACCCCAAGAGCGCTTTGGCTACCTTCGTGCTAAGGCGCGGTCGTTTTTCGTCATGAAGGAGAACATCATGCAGGCCTATCTCGAAGTACGTTATTTCTTGTTCTCCCAAAGGGCAGTCTATCATTTAACCTCCCTATCAGTGCAATAAAAAGGGTCGAGCCGCCGCCCTTGCCATTGCATTCGGTCGACCGCAGATCATTCTTCCCCCCAAATACATTCGATGGATAATCGACCAACCAGAATCGGTGCTCAGCATGGACCCCATTCACAACGAATTCCACGCCTTTGTGCAGGACGGGTTAGTGGGCGACCACACAGTGCAGGAAGTTCTGCGCAAGGAATTAACCCAAAACCTTGGCCGAATGACGGCGGACATCAATGATGAGATTGTGGATGCGTTAAATGCTATTTGGGGGAATTCGCCTGAGTGGAAGATGATTCCCCTCAAGGACAGTACGCGCACGATCGTCGCCCGCATCACTAACCGACTATTCGTGGGTAAAGAAATATGTAAGAAACACGTCCACTCCCCAGGAGGCATCAGTATTGGGACTAACAGCACCTGTGTGGACCAGGTCGAAACGAAGATTATATCCGTGACGCTGTCGCGTTGGGTATGGCGGTAATGCCAGAGACCGTGTTCCAGGACCTGGTTCCTCGGCCACTGAAGGGGCCTCTCTCGTTGGTTGTGAAGTGGATAAATCATTACTATATGGCCGGATTCAACCGACACCTGCAGCCGATAGTGCGAGAACGAGTGCAAGCCGTACGACAGATGGAAGAGACGGTGGAGAAGAAGGGAGAAGAGAGCGAGGAGAATCCAGAACAAAAGCCATCCTCCCTCCCGAACGACTTCTTGACCTGGATAGTGCAACGTGCTGTCCGTCGGGGTGAGTCCCCGGCCGATATCGAACAGCGCGTGATTGCCCGGGTGGGCATGGCCAATCTAGCTTCTATCGAAACGACTACCAACACGATGAGCAAATGTTTGGCGGACATTACCACGCTAGGCGAGGCTCAAGGATACCGGGCGTTGGTTACAGCAGAAGCGCAGAAGGTGCTGTGCGACTGCCAGAACCTGCCGGTGAAGAAAGATATTGAGAAGCTGGTGCATATCGAAAATGCGCTCAAGGAAAGTTTGCGGTTAGCGGTAGTCTTCCCCGGTCTCATTCGGCAGGTCACCAGTCCTACAGGAGCGACCTTGGAGGATGGCCTCCATCTGCCGTGCGGCGCGCGCATCAGCGTTGCCGCTTATGCCATCCACCGCGACGATAATGTCTGGCCAGATGCCACCACCTATAATCCTGCCCGCTATGAGAGTCCCCAGGCTCCAACCGACCAGACAACCGCGAAGGTACCATCGTCGCATCTTCCCATGTCCCGTGCCTCTGAGAGCTTTCTCTCTTTTGGACTAGGAAAGCGCGCTTGCCCGGGCCGCTTCTTCGTAACGGATGAGCTGAAGCTGTTGTTTGCCCACATGTTTACCAAGTATGAGATCCAGATCATCCCGCCCCCCACCAGTACTGCCGGGCAGTTCACAGAATTGACCCTGCGGGGGCCCCAGGAGCATCTGCTGATTCGGCGAAGGTCAGAAGCGAATTCTGTGAATGCATGATTGTAGTCAGCAGCGCTGTGTAAGTAGATATCATCTACTTCACCCTTTCTGCCAGAGATGACGCAGTCACCAGCCTTTGAAGGCTGTACATTCTGGATTCTGATGTACCCAAAAACACATATATATACATTGAAGTAACTGTGTGTCGTATAATTTGATGTAGAGTAGTGCTAGTGTAGACTTGCAGTACCTCCTGGCTCTCTGGCTGAACTTCCAGTGTATTCCGATTAGTCGGTGCGATGTTATTGCTTAAATTCTTATTGCATGATTGGGACTAGGCGATCAGCTATTTCTTCCAACTCAATACTCGAGTTAAGAAGGCTCTTTGGGAGTATAGGAACAATACTTGGCTTTTTCGTGACGAAGTCGGCTATGTAGAGCCGATGGGAGAAGCTGTCGATGCATGGACTGAACACGTTGAAAGCAGCAAAGGTGTTCTGTCAAACGAAATCGATAGCTGGATGACCGGGGTTAATACGAATGTGAAGGGCAAGACTGTTCGGAGTGTTGCGAGGTACACTGGCAGTGCGATAGAATACCGCCGGAGATGCACCGAGTGTAAAGCCGCTGGTTGGAAAGGTTTGGTATTTGCCCAACTCTCGAACTCCAAGTTTTGATGTGGATGAATGTCTATGAATTACTACGATTCAAACGTACTGTCTCCCATCTGGTACATAAACTGTCAGATATGAAATCAAAATCACAAAGGATCAACCTCAGTCAGACCCCAAACTAGCCAGTAAACTAGCAGACGGAGCAAAGAATGTCGTCCCAGTAAGTGGCTTGGAGAAATCAAGGATGCGATCATGCAGTCCAGGCGGATCCCCAATAAACATACGCTCCAACATTCTTTCAATAACCCAGAGACGGCGAGTATAGCCGATAAAGTACGTCCCAAACTCGCCAGCACCAGGAGATCCAAATGGCATATTATCGCGAAGAATATCATGCTCGTTCCCATCCTCATCTTCAATCGTATTGAGGGTCTTGTGAGAGCGCTGTCCAGATGTCGCATCATCCAGTTCAACATTATCTATCTTGGTGCGACCGATAATCCTCTCCTGCTGTTCCGTGGACAGATCTTTCCACCCGGGTAGATCATGGGTGTACTTTTGTACAACGATATAGCTACCACCAGACGCAGAGGCATCTTCCTCTGCAACCAAAACGGAACCCGGCACCGCCAATCCAACGGGATTAGCCGTCCCATCCACAAAACCAAGGAGATCCCGCACATCAAAGTACCGAAAGCCAACCGTCTCATCGACGACAGAGACCGAGTCACCGAGTTGATCCATCAGCTGACGCTCAAATTCAAAGCAGATATCTCTGCGCTCGGAGCGAATGTGGAAAAGCAGATCACCGGCGGTCGAGACCGCAGTGTGTTTTTGGCCTTTGATCTTACGGAAAGGATGCAATTCTGAAGGCCGGGGAAGACCCGTGAGGCGATCCCAAATATTACTTCCTATGCCGACGGTGCACGCAAATTGAGCGCTGAGATCGCGGATGGATACATTTTTGGCTAGGCTGTCGATCCCTGCTAGTGTAGAGCGCACGGTTTCAATGGCATCCGGCTTGTTGGTCACAGAGAGAACAAGGAATGTAGCTGATTGTGTGAGAGGGGCGTCCACACGCTGAGGTGCTATTGGGACACGATGGGTGCTCATATCTGCTTTTTGATATAACTCGTGAATGCGACCGGTAGATACGCGTTGGTTGCGGAATGTAAAGGTGAAGGTTGGCTGGTTGGTGTAATGCCGTTGCTTTTTGATAATACTTATTGCAGCAGCTCGAAGGGTATTTGTATGACCAACAGCACAAAATGAGAATGAGGGAATAGTGTTTAAAATATACGAGCTGACCAGGGACCTGGACTTAGTCATACTTTAGCTGCTAGCGTCCTTAATCGGAGGGAACTGCTGTCTTATAGAGGGCTCGGCTAGTCTGATTATATCAATTGATTATAATAAGGAAGAAGTGATTGGCCAAATTAATATTCTAAGACTAAATAGGTCGATGCTACATTTGTAGGTGGTGATGTCACACCCGCTGGAACTGGCTGAGGGAAAAGATTGCCGCGTATAGTGATTGGCGCATCATATTCCGATAACGTTAAAAAGAGAAAATCAGCAACTTAATGATCGTATGAGCTGAATCATATCTATAAATGCATGCTAACTTATCGCTGGGTGTACCCGCCATCCACAAACAAAGCCGTTCCAGTAACAAAAGAAGCGCGTCCACCACTCAAATAAACAACACCATCCGCAATATCCCCCAGCTGACCCACACGTGCCATTATAACAGCATTGGCAACCTTCTCCTTCATAGCGGCCAGGATCTGAGGCGACTTGGTTGCCAAAGGGGTCTCAGTATACCCAGGACAGATAGCATTGAACCATCTTTAGCATAATCCTCAGAGGCAGTTCTCGTCAACCCAATAACCGCATGGTTTGTGGCAGTGTACGCGGTCGACAACGCAATTCCAGCAACACCCTGAATAGACGGGAAGTTGACAATTGAGCTACGCTGTAGTGGCCTGCCATCAATCGAGGACTTGATAGGCTCCTGCTTCAACATGATCCTGGCAGCAGCGCGCAAAACGAAGAATGCGCCTGTGAGGTTCACGTTCAAAATGCGCTCCCAGTCGGATGTTTCGCAGAATGCAGCTCCGCCTGTGTGCTTCATTGCTATTCCAGCTGCGTTGATGACGTAGTCGAGTCGGCCAAATGTCGTCGCGACTTCTTCGACGACTTCATTGACACGGTTCTCATCTGTGATATTGATGGGGTAGGTCAGGACTCGGCATGGTGTCGCTCCTGCTTTGCACTGTTGCTCTTCGATCTCGGCTTTGACGGCTTTAGGGCTTCGGGGCTGATGTCGAGCAGAGCGATTCCGGAGGCGCCATCTCGGGCGAATGTCTTTGCGCAGGCGCGGCCAATTCCCGAGGCGCCACCTGTGTGTGATAAGGGCAATTCCAGAGACGCCCATTTGAGGTACATGATGTATGAGGGGAGAGTTGGGGGAGTTGGTCGGTCTGTTGATGCGCGCAACAAGAGTGATTTTTAGCTGAAAAGAAGAAAGCGATCGAGGAGTGACAATGTATATAGGCTTCCACAAAATGACCCGGATAATAACAATAATAGCTCGGTATCTCTCTCCAAACAAGAGATATACTTGCTCCTTGGATAAATGTGGGGTTGTTGCGGAAACTTGCCTAACTTGCATCTAGTGATAGCCGCGCAACCCACGTATGACAACACACCTCGTGCATACTTTCGAATCTTTATAGATTCCATACTAGACTGATACGTACTGCCAATAACGCAGATACTTAGTGCGGGGTTGTTGCAGATGATTGCAGCCTTGGATTTGGGACAGCATGGCACAGGCAGATTGCGGAAGTGCTAACAGTTCGTTTGGGATCAGAATATAAAAGAGGAGATGTATCATACTCTATGTACACGAATATAGATATCCACGTTTACAATTTATGGTGAATCATCAACAACAGTGTTGTAGGCTCATTTCTTGGGCAAACGATCATATCAGAAATCAAAATATCTGCTGTAATGGCACGGTGCTTTTCATCAGATCCAACCACGTTATACTCTTCTCATTAGAACAAGTTTTCTCCTGCCATATTTGCTGAATATTGGCCAATGTCTCAGTGAAGCAAGACAAGCCACTGCGACGTGCCGAATTCACAAACCAGTTGGAAAATGATGCGTGAACCAATGGATCCTTGGCTTCACAGGCCGCAATAAATGCAGGCCAAATGAATCCCGCTGAGCTATATACCACAATGGAGTCTCTGTGCTCGCAGCGCCGTAGACGATCCAAGACTTCCAAGACCCTTTGCTGTAGCAAGGAAGCATCCACGTCGTGGATTCGACGGTAGAAGTATACTGCCAGTGCATTCTGCATGGCATTAAGCATATTTTCTATGACTTCATGATCGAGTTCGGATTGAATGTTCTCCAGGCTGGGTAGTGGCAGGTTGTTGATGTAGTCCTCTAGAGTCTTCGCGCGGCCAATGAATTCTTTCAAGCTAATACAGTTGGATGCATCGTCCCCTTCTGCCGCATCCTTTTCTTTGCCTAATATAGCAACTCGAGATAAAAGAAGAACCCAAGGTTCACGGATACCAAAAATCTCTGGATAGAGGGTGTCAGACCGGAAGCCAGGTCTTTCGAGATGCAGATCATTCTCGCCATCCTCTTGTCCGCGCACTCTCATCATTTCTTGGTCTAAATTCTTCCAATCCCATAGTCGAAATGACAGACTGTCAAGGCTGTGGTTTCCCAGTCCGCTGGTTTCAATCGCTGCGCGTACGCCATGACGTTTTCTTGAGTTCGCTCCACAAATGAAGACACTCTCGTGGATGATACGCTCAAATACATAGCAGTGATCCAGTAATCGAACTTTTCGGGACTTTTCGCGTGGTAGTCCTCTTAAACGAATGAACCTTTCCGCTTCGACAAAATAATATTCCAATTGCATTCGGTTCCCCGAGAAAATTGTCACCTGGACCATAGTGAGCAATGAAATCAAGATTGACTTGTACTTCGCTACTTTCGGGACATCGTAGGACGTTATGAGCATCACTTTCGCATGTTGTTGAGCTTTCTGTTTGTAGATTATGGCTTTTTCGCTCCATGTTCGAGATCGAGAGACACCCCCAAGACTAAATTCACTTATGGCTAATGTTCCATAGAATGCACACAACTGGCATCACCCAGATCATCGCCGAGAGCCAAGCCGGCGAGGCAGCTCTTGGTGTGGGGTAAAAGAAGGACGTGCCAAGGCGTTTTGGAGTGTTGGAGGGGAGTTATCAGGCTAATTACAGCCGAGACATAGTGCTTGAGAAGGAACACTGCATCTTGTGGCACGGTCTTTGTGGTATCTATAGAGGAGGTGAATGAGGTGGGTGATATGGGCTGAATTTAAGATTGGTCCGGAAAACATAATGTGGGTGGATATTCATGGGGTAATGGATCATCTTCCACGAAATCTTGATCTACCATAGCGTCTAGATATCCCGGGAAAGGCGGACTTGGAACATTCTCTGCTTGATCAAATCCGAACTACATCAAGGCTTGGGACCAAGGCGAGAGATGCAACTCGGATGGAGGCAAGTAGGAATTGCTGGATCTTCCGGAGAGCTTGAATGCGTCTCTTCATGGTTGTTCACAGTTGGTTCGCAAGGCAAGGCAAGGTGTCTTGATCTTGGTTCAATCTGAACGCCCCGAACGGACCTTGGTGGATCTCAATCTCGTCCACAATTATCGCGTCTTCGCATTCTTCGTCAATTCTGGAAATAATCTCGAGAGTCATCTTTGGAGGAGCACTTGAGACAAGCCATTGGCTCATGCGTTCTCTTTCTTTGAGTGAAAACAATGGTCGACGAAACCGGACCCCATGACTGCGGGACTAGCCCTCGAAGTGGAAGAAGATAGCGTTCTTGTACCCCCCGCAGGACAGCCCAAAATATTGACACATTGAACATTCTGGGCGTCCTTCGTCTCATTTGACATGTCGACTTCGACACTGTATTGCCGGTTAAAAATGAATTATTATTACTGAGGTGCCCAAACGTACTGTGGCATACCCGTTAAAGGAGTGGGTGTGAGCAATAGGCTCGTGCATACTTTTTTTGGGTTGAATCTGCCATCTTGTGGTGGTTGAACAAGGGAAGTGTTGTACATGGGAGTCAGTGAGGGAAAGTGGATCGGTCGATCGCCGATAGCCGAAACTGACGGAAAGCTGGTGTACGAACAATGTATGGTATAAATGACCGTTACTTGGATCTGCCTGCCCTAGACAAACATTATCGGCACTGTGACAGAATCAACGTCTTCGGTGCCTGGTATGCCTTGCAATTGTTCTCGTATTCATACAGCTTCGGGGCAAGACCAACGCCATTTCTTCTCCACGCGACTAACGAGCGCCGGGAGGATATCTTGCCAAGCGAAGCTGATTCGCTACCAAATCCCGTCAAAATTGATAAAGAGGCCAGGTGGGTGGCAGGTGAAGATAGAAACCTGGTTTTGAGCTATGTTTTCTCGCTTCATATTACCTACCAGAGCACTAGGCCCCTTTCGGGCAAATCGCCCTGTCGCTTCCATTTTTATCCTCTCATAAAGAGGATCTGAAGTAACTGTGATCAACAGGGGTAGTCCAATAATGGCTGAGCCGCACGTTTGTTCTTCTACATAACTTATCGCTACAAATTAAGTCTGTTGTGGCTGGAAATAGTGGGAGGAAAGAAGGCAAAATGCAATTACAAGGGTGAAAATGACTTCAAATCTGATAACTACAGGGGCCAATTATATGATCACAGGAAGACACGGGGGTGAACTCCCCAACTTAAGCCCCGTACTGTTCTTGCAGGAAACTGGCAATGCGACCTCCAATCATATAAGCCGGTCCAGAGAGATGAGTATCAGGCAAAGTCGGCAAAATACTAACATCTGCAACGCGCAGACCGTCAACGCCGTACACCTTCAACTTTGGGTCGACAACGCCGCCCTTGTTCTGCGGAAGCATGGCACACGTTCCCGAGGCATGCAGGTTGGACATGGTACCGGATTTGATGTATTCGAAGATGGCATCGTCATCATCAGTATCCACGGCCGTGCCTGGTGAAATCTCACCATGGTTCGGACCAATAGTGTATGGGGCTAGGAACTGGCTAGCGAGAATCTTGCGGGCATCGCGGAAAGCATTGATAGCTATGGTGCGTTCCGTTGGATGAGCGTAGTACTGCATCAATTTTGTTAGTTGAGTAGCATTGAAACTCGATGTCAACGCTCACATACGTTAGGATTGATGACTGGCAAATCGGACATCGCAGCAGAGCGGATTGACACATAGCCCTCCGACAACGGGACTTGACTCGATGCCGTGATCGAGAAATAACACCCGTCAAGGGCCGGGATATGCTCTGCTGTCGGGGCGAACGGGTAGAACATGGCTTCAAACAAGAACTCGACCGTGGCACGGTTGGAATAGCCAGCTTTGATAACATCGTCGGCGTTCAGAGAATGGAGCTTCTCCTCCGAGTACTCCTGGAATGCATTCGTAGCGCCTCCAATACCAGTGTACACACCAGAACCCTTGGAATAATACTCTTCCTCAGAGGCTTGGATATCGGGAAGGTTGATAAACTCGCGATGCATCGAGCCTTCAGGAGTAGTCTTGGCCATGATACTGAAGACATGGTGATCCATGAAATGCTTTCCAACATTTTCGTTGGCGACTACCGGGGTAATTCCCTTTGACTCGAGGGTTCCACGCGGCCCAATACCCTAGTCATATACTTGTGAACACTTTCATAGCAACATATTGACCTACGAAATGACATACCGAAACCATCAGAAGCTGCGGTGACTGGATGGCACCGAGGGACAGGATAATCTCGTTCTTGGCCGACGCCCTCCGGAACACGCCTTCAATATTGTCCGCAAATATGACGCCTGTGGCACGGGGCTTTCCACTGCTTCTATCGAAGAGAAGGGCCTGAGCAGGCGAATTATGCATGACTTTCAGATTCGGTCGGTCTCTCGCATGGTCATAGAAGTCGTAGCCGGAACAGCGGCGATACTGGGGCGCAATCGCGGCAGTTCCCTGCTTCACGCCAACGCCATTGCCGGTATTGAGGTCTTTGACAATTGGGATACCAACGGATGTACACGCTTGAATGAATGCAGGGTTTGATTTCACGACGTAGCCCTGGTAGCCGACATTCAGGACACCGTCTCCATATGCGTCTGGATCCCAAGTCTGGAAATCTTTGTTGTACTGATCTTTGAGGGGGGGATTAAACCGTGTTATCTGTTGACACGTTAATGCCTTTACTCGCTCAGAGTAATGACGAAGGAAGCATACTCTCTTGAATTCGGGATAGACATCCTTCCAGCCCCATCCGGGGTTACCCAGTTCCTCCCAGTGGTCATAAACAGCCTTAGAGCCACGGCCGTAGAAACAGCCATTGATGTTGCTGCAACCACCGAGGCCCTTTCCACCTGTACGATATTCAAGTTACTTTCCCATCCTTGTAATGTTGGTGAGAATTGGAAATACTTACGACGATAGGGAATCTGTCGTCCACCTAAGCCGGGGATAGGTTCAGTCAAGAAATTCCACTCCAATGCTGTGCCCTGAAGATGTCCAACCTCTCCAGGACATTGGTACATCTGAGCGATAGTTGGGTCCGGGCCAGCTTCGAGCACAAGCACGCTGTGGTTCCCAGACTGGGTCAATCTTTCAGCAGCCACCAACCCAGCCGTTCCTCCTACAATTCGTGTCAGATGCGAAATACTCAAGTTTTGCAGAGTTATACGAACCCCCGATTATTATAAAATCATAGGTTTCCTGCAATTTGGGGCCGGAATTCCTAGCCACCGAGGCTCGAGGGTTTCCCTTTGGAGGCATGCTGTCACTGAATCTGACGCCTTTATGTAATGAAATTAGATAAAACAAGATCAGGAATAATGGCAAGACTATTTTTGTAAACTGTCATTCTCGTTTCTTATATAGGAATGTGATCGTAGCTCCAGCCTTGTACGCTGCCACTGTCTACACGTCATACATTCGGCGGCTTCGGGTCCATTCCGACGTAATGTATCCATTTGTTTGCAGTACTTAGGTCCGTCGATAAACGGACCATGGAAGTGCAGACAGTAGTGCAAGAATGAATCCCATTAATCCGATGGATAAGAGGCACTGCGTGGAACTTGTGATATCATATGGGCATGATGGGTAAGAAAATGAATCCACTACGGTCACATCCGAATCGCCCGGGCGTGATCAGATATATCGATGGAAAAAGGCATCCCGGCCCACAGATCATCATTGATGCATCAATGGGTCTTTTATTAATCGGTGTTGCGATAGCAAAGCCCGACAACTCTTTCTGGATCCGGCCTATCTCTGGAATAGCTGCCAACTCGGGCGTGGGTACGTGGAAATTGGGCTGTGGCCCATAGAAGTACTAGTTAAACGTTACCCAAAGGATTATGGCAACTTACTAGACTTAGCGTAGAGGCCTACTTTCTATAGTCGTTTTATTACCTAGTAGAGGTAATTTATATATAATTCCCGGTCTAGGGAGAATGGTTAAGTCGTCCACTTCTGATTGCTCAGGGCATTTGTAGCAAATGCGGATCCAGATTCTGCTTGAAGGGCTAAATAATATAGCCCTTGTCGTGTGGTAATCGTCCCCCTTTGAGGGTCATACTCGTCGTCGTACATGACCACTGGGGAGTACTCGAGAGTCCAAACACCTTGGTCGTCAACCTTTCGCAGAAAAAAACGTTTCCTCGTATGTTGACAGAAAGGCATGAGTGACATTCTGGTCCCGCATATAGCGGGAGACTTGTCCTGTAAGATATATTAGTACATTGGTAAATTTTGAGAATATTGTATACCATATCTTACATACCGAGGATGTGGCGAAGCCTGCCGTCATCCCCGCTCTCAAGCAGATCCACCCCAAAGCTGAGCATTTCGACGTGGTCCCGAGGCCATGGTGTCTTCACTTCACCGACGACCTTAATGACGGCATTGGCGTTCAGCATGACTGCGTCTGGAACCCTTGTGGTTGCGGTTGCAGTTTGTGCAGTTGAATTTCCCGCCTTGAAGCCTCCAGATCGTAGGTTGTGGCCCTGGGCTTGGAGGCAGGAGGTTACTGCCTGACAAAGGCGTTCATTCAAACGCCCCTAAACGCCGTTCTCATCACCGACTACCAGCTACTCTCGCGACACCGAGTTCTCTACACCGTGGCCAATCATAGCCACATCGATTATACGACGGCTCCAACGTAGGTTTGAGGACAGAAGGGCAATTACATCGTGCTCGAAGTTTTGCCATGCCCTCAATCGGCCTGTGAATTCCACCTGGTGCAGAGCACCACTAGTTGTATGGAAGGAGCCTACTGAGAGGATTGGGAGGGGCGTACGGAGCACATCTCGGGCCGAGAGAGGTATAATGCGAGGCATTTTGCTATGGTAAAGCGCTAGTGTTAGCCTTGTAAGCTTAGTAAAGTGATGAGCGGATGTAAAGCCATGAAGCAGGGCCAGAACTTTGATAGGTGGTGTGATCCAGATGGATAGTGTAGACCGATCGAGTGGATAGACAGGAGAAGAAGAGTAAAGAAGTAATCGAGTAGAGGTGAAGAAAGGTAAAATAAACACCTGGTAGGTAGTAAAAGCAAGGGATCAATTGAGCAGAAAGTAAGAGAAGGGCAAGAGGCTCACCTGGTAAGCAATAAGAAAGAGATCAATTGAGTAGATGGTTTGAAGTATGAGTACTTTTATCCATTCTCTACGCAAGTTGCGACCTCAAGTCTTATTTTCTAAGAGGTGGGAGTAAAGTGAGTAATGAGAGACTGTATTAGCTGTCTAGCACTGGGGAATAAAAACTGAGAACGTACAACAAGCAATATGTAGCTACATCCTCTGCAATGCACTGCTGGCAAGCAATCTCAACAATTACTCTAGTCTCGTAGCTTTCTCCTCATCCGAAGAAAGGTTCGGCTATGACTGACACATTAAGCTCATTAGAGGTGATTAGGTCAACACTCCAATCCTTATCTTGTGCCCGGAATATTGAAAGCAGACCCCTTAAATCTCAGAAAAGAGCTGCAATTGATATTGGAAAAGTCATTCCAAAGACGAAGCTCCAGAATAGTTATACAGAGTTGTTCCACTTCCACAATTTTGTAGTATGCTTCTAGATATATGATACCATTCTATCATTCTGCCTCCCCAAGGTATACACAGCTTCTTACTCAACTCATTCGATATATGGTCCCCCTTGAGCCTCAACCTCACTGTCGAAGATATCAACAACCAATTTTCCCGTCCGCTAAAACGCAAAAGCCCGGTGCGTCTTTTATTTAGATTTCATTTCATTCGTAACCTCTACATCAACGGAACGAGAATTTTCACTCCATCCACTGTATCCTTATAATCTACAGGCATAGGAAACAAGGCAATGGTTAAGATCATCCCAAAGTGCGCAAATATCAATGACATGATGTTCCAGAGTCCCCCAGCAACCTGTTTCATCCCCCGACAATGATGACTGAGTTGATATAATAGTGCTTGCTTGTGACTACTTCGAATTCAACTCAAGGAGCTCCCTGTGTTGGACGTTAGAATCCTCTATATCGAAATGCCATATGTCGAGCGTAATTTTTCTGCTCGCCCTTTGCACCTAGGTAGTATAGACGCTCACTCTGCTGTAGAAGCAATCCTTCCGCGCAGAAAGGTTGACCCCAGTGCTTGTGATGAATAGACTTGGACTCCCGGAGATGTTGGTTTGGAAAACCTGGATGAAAAACTTATTTCTAAGCTGGATTCCCGGTTTTTCAGTTCGTTGAAAAAAGCACTTGATGTTAACTCCGCCTAAGAATGGATCCGATCCTGTGATCAACTATTTGGAATTGGATCCTGAGAACTTGTGATGCAAAGCTGTCTAAGCTTGAGTCGCAATTTGAAAAGAGACAAGAATACACACCAGCCCCCCCGGCAGGTTTCAGGCATAAGGAACCTTTTTTTAGAAATGACAAAGTTAGTGGTTTTCTCATTGCACATATTAGTCTCTCGAACATAGTATCATGAATTATGCGATGTCCCGGCCCAACATTGTCATTATCGAACAATAACACAATGATGTAGCCAAGACCTTTTGTAAGATGCTAGAATGAAAAGAAACAGGTCTATGTCATCGATGGCTGGAAACAACCAAGTCGTGCAGACAAAAAAAAAGGAAAAGCCATGAAGCGCCAGGACCAGCCAGGAAGAAAAGCAGGTGGGGAAAAAAGTCAAGAAATGCTCCAATGAGGGCGTAAACACATTCATAACCCTCCAACGCAAGACAAAATTTGATGTCCCATTTACATCTGTCGCAATCCCTCTGCAAGACGCCGCTTGCCGAACTCCCAGGCGTTCATTAGACCCTGTTCCGTGAGATCGATATTCTTCATGTTGGGTGCATCTGCAGCCGGTGCGCGGCTGACACGCGAAGCAATCATAACGGGGTCTGTCTCGAGGATGATTCCGTCGTCAATGGTCTCGTCAATGGTCAGGGAGACGAGGTCGTAGTTCTCGACGATAGTGCGCTTGTCGGTTGCACCCCTAATGAACGATATTGTTAGCACCGGTCCACAAACTTCCCCAATAGGATCAAAACATAACATACTTGAATAAGATTCCCAGAGCGTCCCGTAGTGACAGCACAACATTATACAGCAGAACCTCGTTCTCGTCGGCGCTTCCAACAACGTAAATCATGACGTCGCTCTCCATCTTGAAGACCACGATGCGGTTATCGTAAAGGATGACATCACTTGCGGACTTGTTTGTCTTCTCAAGGAGGCCCTTCTCGAAGGCACGCTGCTCCTTCACGGTGGGGTAGGGGTTGGCACCGGGGTAGTCAGTTGAGTTCGGTGCAGCGCCGGCGGGGGGGTGAGGTGCCGAGAAGTACTTTGCGTAGATGCGGGAGCCATCGTCGGCGGACATTACAAGGACCGCATTGATGGAGAAGAGGGAGAGAGAGCCGGTCATGGTGATTATTGTTGTGGTGAGGAGCAATTAGGGAAATACTGTCCTTGTGATTGTTGATGCTCTCAACCGCCAATCTGGCCAGAGGCGGAGACGCACTAATGTTGTTCCGTCCAAGCTCCATATACTGTACGGGTAAACTAGAGACCACAGTGTACGTAATTGGGAATGAATTCATACTTGGAAAAATTTCTCTAACTTGACGCTAGTACTCAGTCAGCTTCGGTTCATTTGTGCTCTAGTCGTTTGTGGTATCCTCGGTGTCCTAGTGGCGAATTCCCAGATATGGAGATATAACCAGGCATCCGTTGGCTTTTGTCCTCAATTGAAATACTACAATACTGGAATAAGATATACACCTCGAGATTTGGGGATATAACATAGAATGAGTGGAAAGACATCATCGTGAAGGAGACATGGGGAATAATATATATCAAGATAAACAAATAAACCACGATGTATCAGACTCCCTTCAAACCACATCGCATGGAGAAACATCGTGATCAGATCGCATCAAAGGAAGCATGAGAAATCGGGGACCTTGAAATACAGGTGAACATTTCGAGACATGAGATTGCATTATGTGCATCATAGGGGGGTACGGGTATGTTAAAAATATGGTCGAAGACCAGTTTAAGATCACATCAAATCATACTGCCCGGGGAACAAGGCTTACTGCGGCGGCGCAGGTTCATCGGTGCTGGCGCGATTCAACCACGGAATCCAGCTCGCGCGGTTCGCCTTCTTGCGTGCTGCTTCCTCCTCCTCCTTGATTCTAGTGGTTTCGCTGACAAGGCGTAGAGGGCGCAATTTGTCCTGCTGCATCACCGCTCCAGTGTAGTTGTTCATGCCGCTACTGGATCGAGGGGGGCTGGAGGTAGCCCCGGTAGAGGCTGTATCTCCGTGGGGATCACTTGTGACACTAGGGGAGCTGCTGCGACCAAACCGCTCTGGTTGGCTGGACATGGAGGGTGCGCGGCTCATACTGGATATATAGCTAGCGGCTCCAGAGAACATGCTCTGGCGGGATCCAGGACCCATTGCAGTCGGGCTGATGGGTCCGCCCGAGTTGCGTCCGCCACGGTACATGTGACCGACAACACTCGCGGCACTTGGGTCGACTTGTTCCGAGCGGCTGCGACGATGGCTGGCTCTCACAGACTGTGTACGGAAGGGAATGCTTGGCGCAGTGTTGGGGTTCTCGTTGGGGTTGTTCCCAGATGGTTGCGGTGGAGGCAGCATGCTGGTTGGGCGCGACCGAGGTTGAGTTGAAGGGCGGGAAGTTGGAGCACCCACAACCGACTTCGCTCGTTGTAGGAGACTTTGTGACGAACCGTCATCTTTCTCCGGGGGAGTCGGGGGGAGCTCCTTTTCACTGCCCGCGGTCTTCGTGGTAGAGGTCTCATCATTCGAGTCCAGAATGTGCTCAAATCCGTCGTGCATGAGCAGTCTGCTGATAATACGCTCTATATAGAGAGTCAAGGCTTTGTTCTGATCTTTGAGAGCCTTCACCTCTCCGTCCGGTTGAGCAGCATCGGTTTCGGGCGACTCATCCACAGATTCAAGCTCGTCAGCCAAGGACCCCAAACCACCTGCTGACTCCTTTGTGGGGTTGGCATCTCGCATGAACTCGCCCTTGGCAAAGTCTCCGGTCAGGGTTTTCTCGCTAAGAAGAAGTTGATAACTTTCATTGTCTTCCATCAAGCGAGCGTTGGCCACGCGGGCCTCGAGTAAGTCTTTCTCTAGTTCTCGCTGACGGCCACCACCGGCGTTCTCCATCTCAACGAGTTTGATCTGTGATTCGGCCAGTTCGAGGCGTAATGACTCAATGAGTTTGTCTTTCTGGAGGAGAAGTGTAGAGTTGTTGCGGGACGGGCTGCGCTCGATGTGGGAGGAGGGCGCAAATTGACCATCCACATCCGGCGAAGATCGATTGCGGAAGCTCGCTATACCGGAGGTTAGCCTTTGAATCTAATCAGCGACGTTTGTAGGAGTATAGGTGTCTTACAAGATCGGGAGACCTGAGTGCGATCCCCTTCTGCGTTCATGCGCTCCTTCTGTGCCACCGAGTCCTTCAAGCGTTGAATAGTCGCCTGCATTTCTTCCTCCCGACTAGTCTGTTGTTCTTTCTCTTGGAGCATAGCATTCCGCTCCGACTCATGGTTCTGTTCTAGATCCCGGATCTGACGACCCTGGTCGCGAATGTCACTGTTGAGGGCCTCGATCCGACTGTCTCGCTCATGCGCTTGATCCTCTAACTTGGTTTGTTCACTGATCGCTTCATCGAGGCGCATTTGCAGAACGCCGAGCTGTTTTTGGTATTGTTCGGAGGCATTTTCGGCCTTCTGGAGTTGTGCCCGCAGTTCCTCGATGAGGGCGGCATTCTGAGCCCGCGCCTCTTCTTCGGAGGGGTCGTTGGAAACTCGTGGAACGTTTGACATGCTGAGGTTGGAACGGCCAGGCTTTCTTGCAGCTGCGCGCGCGGAAACAGGAGTTGAACCTCTTAAGGAGGGGGAACGGTTGAGACCGTTGGTTGCGCTGGGCGAGCGTGCATGCCCTCGTGTGGACCCGTTGTTGGAGTGCGGATCTGCGGTTGATGATTTGCTGGAACTGCCGGGAGTTCCAGGCTTTCGAGGCGTTGCTGACATAGTGAAAGGCGCCGAGTCCAACGCTGGCGAGGGTATAAGAAAAATAAAACGTATATAACCCCCTATTGTACTTCAATTGAGGAAGGGAAAAGAAGATTCCAGGGTTGCAAGTGTAATTAAGAGCGGTCAAAACTGAGTGGACACCTTGTGGAGAGCGCTTGTATGGGAAGACCGAAGGTCAGGAATGTGGTTGAAAGCTGTCACAGGTTGATTGCGTGCCACATGGTTGATCGGAGTTGAAGATTCATCGGAAACAATAGCATCAAAGTCGGAATGAGAAAGAAATTGAGAAAAGTGATGGTTGCAGACCTTAAATCAAAGTTGTCTTGTTAGGGAATGCGGATCCCCTTACTGTATCTAAAAATACGCAACGGCTTTGGGGGGCTGGAGCAATACGAGAGAGTAAGGACTTTCTAGAACAGGAAAAGAGCAAAACAAGGGAGTTGCTGAAATAAGGAGGTTATGAGATTTGAATTTATTATTCTACCGTTCATCTATAAGGGGGTAGCCTGTTGATATGGCATGAGCCCATGAAAGAGCCAATACAAGCGCATTTAGCCGTTTCCCAAAAGGAGCTTGATACCTCAGGCATTAAACCGGAATAATGTACTTCCTTCTCCATGCTTAATTGAGATCTCCATACATACTGTACTCCGTGCGCTCTGCATCCACTTCAATCCAGCTTACAAAGTACTTACATTACAGTTGTACTTTACGGGGTATACTTTTGAGAGTCCTCGATAACTTGAATACTAAATTGGGCCTCCAATACGCACATATCCCGACATTACATCTCCATAATCAGGCATGGCGGCCCAACAGGTGAGTGATACCAGGTCAATTACAAAGGCTCAGCCTAGCGATAAAGTCCATGAATACCATCTCGGTACTACACCTATTATGAAAACTGTGCACTCGCTCAAGACCAAGTTGGGTGTTGTCGCTGCTAACAGTCCCAGCTCAAGTACTCCGTACATGTACGGATGCAGTGCTCGCCAAGACCCTAGCGCATCATCTCTCGGGCAACCACATGAATCACCTTCTTTGGTATCGCGCCAAAGTCGGAACAACGTGGACTAATAGCGACAATGGATAACAACACATCAAGTTGGGTACCATTTACGCCACCAGCAATCGAATTCTGGTGACTTGGTCATCCTCTGGCACAGTTCAAGTGGACTAAGGGGAGAGCAGTGATGACAACGATGGATCGAGCTCTGCGTAGACAGGATCTGATTGAGTCTTTCTCGATTAGAACCACGAATTGATCTCACGTGTACGTATGTACTTCTCGATAGAGCAGCTGGTCATAAAAATGAACTGAACGACATGACCCATCCACCTCTTAAACCTATCGGCCCCTAGAGGTTGTCGGGAGTGATCAAATCCATGGATATAATACAATTTTTATGTATCTTTAAGATTTAACATGGAAAACAGGTATGGGTGTACGCAATGAACTCTTCCAGGATTCCAAGGATAGAACATAATAACCTGCATTCAACCTCATCTTGCCGGTGTTCTTTTATAGGTACCGACGGTAACCGCACTACTGGCTACTAATTCCTAAAAGCACTGGTTCTACGGAGTAATGAAAAATGAGGCACTAAATATTGGAACCCCGGTTATGGTGGTCACGTGACCATATTCCAGGTCCAGGTCAGACTGTTCCCGATATGCAGGCCCGCTTTAGACCTGAGGTCACCGTCTTGATTTTTGTGTTTGGAGAAAGCCAAAGGTCTAACAAGTAGAAAGTCGAATGAATTCCTAAGCAACAGTATCCTTTTTGACTCCATCAACATCCGCACCCCATGGCACATTCCCCACGAACGCCTTCTGGTTCTGATTGCCCGGTTTCTCGGCATCAAAATCCAAACGGTCAGGGATCTTTAACCCAGCGGGGAAATGGTATCTCACAAACCATGTCGACACCCCGTCCCGGTACAGCCAAGGGTCCTCTGTCCGTCGCTGCCATGTTTCCAGTTTCGTCCTCAGATCCTCGAGCACAGCAGCATGTTCCGGGTCTTTGACAAGGTTGTTCACTTCATTTGGATCGTTCTCCAAATCATACAGCTCTTCTGGTGCACGGAAAAAGTAATCCTTGAGCTTTCTCTCGCCGATCATAATTTCGCTATCTGATGAGTTCCGAATATCCTCCCAAGAAAGGGACCCATAGATGTCAGCGGCAAATGGGAAATCCAGGCGCCATGCGAGATTTCGGTGGTATTTGTATCGTCGATCCCGAATGAACCTCGTTGGCCAGTAGTTCGTGACTTCGTGGAAAGTGTGCGAGCCGAATACTTGGTTCCACTCTGATGGTTTGGCGTTGGTTCCAAGTATAGGAAGCAGCGAGCTTCCAAGGCGCTTCTTCGCCGGGTCTACTACGCCCGGATGTCCAACGTAGTCAAGCAGAGTAGGGAGGATATCGACGTATGAGACCATGTCAGAGTTGACCGCGGGCTGAACCTTTGGATGTTTGATGATAAGAGGCAGTCGCACTCCTGCATCGAAAAGAGTTGTTTTAGAGTTGATAAAAGGTGGGCCGTTATCGCTGATGAAGATCACGAGAGTTGATTCAGCCAAGCCAGCCTCTTCCAGGGCCTTCAAAACAAAACCGATACCCTGGTCCAGGCGATGAATTGAGTTGTAGTATTCAGCCAACTCGAATCGGGCACCTGGTGAGTCATTAATAAAGGCAGGAATCTCGACAGCATCAGTGGTGTAGGTGCCCTTCGTGATACGGGGGTCGTATTCTTGGTCGTTGCCAAATCCACCACGTGTACGATCGCGATGCGGATCATGGAAACCAATAGTCAAGAAGAAAGGCCTTTCATCAGCCAGAGCCTCTTGGAAAAAGTCATTGGCTTGATCAGCGATCACAGCCACATCCCTCGTTTCACTCTCCTTGGCGACCTCCCAGGGATAGACTGGCGCGGGTCCGACATGGATCTTCCCCAGAATACCAGTCCGATATCCGCTTTGATTCAGCAGCTGTGGTGCAGTTTCCACATGATCAAAGGTGACAAAATGATGGCGGTGACTGGCAAGTCCATACTGGCCGTTCTGATGGGTGTGCAGACCTGTATAGATCACGGAGCGGCTGCCGCTGCAGGACGCGGTGCTTGCAAAGGCATAATCAAATTTAGTACCTTCTGCGGCGAGATTGTCGAGATTAGGTGTCTTGATAGTCGATGCCCCGTAACAACCAAGTTGCTTACCGAGATCATCGGCGACCATCAAGAGCACATTCTTTCTGCTCGACATGATGTCTCGGTAGATTCGAGCAAAGATTTTCAGAGCAGGGTTCTTGTGAGGACTTGAAGAAGGAAAACCCGCCGATTGAGAAGACATGTTCTTATTGTATGTCTAGTGTCATTGGTGGATTTACGCCATTTGGAACTAGCTCCTCTTAGGCTTGCTGACAGCGCCATCTGACAGCAAGATGATGTGCTTGCTTGTGAATTCTCAACTACAACGCCACTAATGCTTAGTCCCTGGAAATCTTTGATTAAATATTAATTAAAAATGTTGCCATCTGCAGAAATCTTTGGCAATCCTACCGAGGTCCCATGAACAACCCAAATTCTTCACAGAGATATACTATCCTACGACACCTTGGGGATAAATCCCGCATAAGCCACTGTTATCGGATATGGACTGAATAATTATAGTGGATTTGTCTCACTTGTTAATCGCCAATCGCGATACTACTGGATGGAGGAATTATGGCGTCTTTTATTAAAGATATTGATCAAAGGGATTGAAGACCTTATACAACCTAATTGTATCAGAAACAGTATAGCTATTATAACTAGCTCCCTAACTAGAAATACAACAAGATAGAACCAAGAGTGAAGGGAAATTGAATTGTACCTTCTCGTCACTTCACGATGAAGTTCACCAGTTTTCTCTTACTTCCCTTGTTGCGTATCACTGCGGGCCAACTTATTGGCCCTGTTGGTCCAACAACCGACCTTCAAGATAAAACATTCGAGTGCAACATTCTTGATTATGGTGCTGTAGCTGATAACAAGACTGACATCTCCACTGCATTGGAGACGACTTTCTCAGACTGTGTTCGCAAACATCCGGGGAGCCGACTCATTGTTCCCGAAGGAGAGTATCTCATCGAGCGAGGTGTGACTCTCATAAATGGCACCAATTGGGCATTCCAATTGGATGGGCTGATCACAGCTGCATATGGCGGTGATTGGAATATTGCGCGTGAGTTGCTACTCCAGGGGTTCGCAGGCACAGAGATCATCAATGCCACTATCAACGGGGAGGGTGATAATAAATTCTTATTAGATGTGCTCGTCATTGTCAATGGTGAGTTCACATGTCTATATACCCTTTTTGGATCTTAAAATTGACAAAACAGCTGTGGATTTCGAGTTCTATTCTTCCAATGGCAAAGGTGCCTTCCAAGGACAAGGTTATATCTACCGGAACCTTGGAAAGTAAGTTATAGACCCGTTTAATCATTTCTATGAGATCTTGTGAAGCTAACACATTGAATTCTAGCACAGATCGCCCGCGCCTAGTGCGTTTGATCTCTCCGACCAACGCCTCCGTCCATGACTTGATTCTAGTCGACAGCCCCAAGTTCCACATTATCTTGGACTTTGCCATTAATGTTGAAGCCTACCATTTGACCATCCGGGGAGCAAACCTGGGTAGTTACGATGGCATTGATGCCATTGGAACCAACTATTGGATCCACGACAATGAGGTACGCATTTCATGCGATTTTTCATGTTTCGCCCAAACTAACGCATAGTGTAGGTTACCAATCGTGACGAGTGTGTTTCGGTGAAGAGTCCTTCTCACCATGCCTTGGTTGAGAACCTGGTGTGCAATCAAGCAGGCTCTGGTATATCCATTGGCAGTCTGAATTCGTCTGCCGAAATATCAAACATTGTCAGTTTCAACCACATGTGGATATCCCATCAAGTGACTAACATTGCAGTAGGAAGCACGCAACATCAGTATTATCCAAGGTAACAACATTGCTTTCATCAAGACATACCCTGGTGGATCCGGCTATGTTACAAACATTACTTTTACGAATTTCCGCTCCTTGGGAAGTCTCTATGGCTTGGATATCAACCAATACTGGCAGAATACCTTTGAACCCGATACTGGTGCTGTTGCCTTGAGCAACTTGGTTTTCCGAAACTTCTCTGGTAGGTCATTGTCAAGGTTTTTATCTGACAATATTCTAACAAAATTTATCAGGCTCTGTTGCCGATGGAGTCAAGCGCCCTCCACTTTACCTCATTGCGAATGACCTCACATTTGCTACCAATGTCACTGTGGAGGATTTCTCAGTGTGGACAGAATCAGGTACTAATGTTGTAAACAAGATCAGCAATATCTTTGGCACTGGAGATGACAGTTACGGGTCAAGCAATGGTATCAAGTCTCTCGGCGCGGGAGAATCCCCTTCGCCTTATTCTAGCACCTACACCATTACAGCATCCCCAACTGGCTGGAAAGCCCCCGCGACTCCTACTTGGGCTGTGCCTAGTACAGGTTATGGAAGTAAGCTCTTTGCCCTGTTCTTTTCTTTTTCTTTTTCTTTTCCTATCGCATAACTAATTTTTTTCTACAGCGGCATCCCCCATTCCGGTCTACAGTCCAGCTCCTCTGTGGCGCCCAGGTGGTGTAGATTATGATTTGCATTACTGGGGAAGCTTCTAAATGACAGATTACCATTGGGGAAGTTTATGATACGCTTATTGAGAGGACATTCTCTGGCGTCGCAGGGATGTTTGGTGTACGCGAGGTGGTTGGTAGAAGTTGGATATTGCAGGGGTTAGATTTAGTCGAATGCATGTACAAGAGAGAATCTGATTTTGCAATTATCCGTGCCAAAAAGAAAATATTATTCCAAGACCTTACGATATTGCTTATTGTTTATTTTTATTTTCTACCCTGTTTGGTAACCATAGAACCCAATATCTATGTTGTACATAGGTCAAGAAACGGCGTCATCCCCAGCTCTCCAACCACGTATTTCTAGGCTTTCTACGATACAGCGAAGCTTGCTAAAGCCAAGACCCTTCAAACGGTGTCAGTAGAGCAAAACTTTAACGCCAGCGCTTGTGCCATGTGGTAAATTAACCGGTGAAGTGAAAGTCCGGTGAACGAGACTTGGGAGCGCCGATATTGACGGTGGCATTAGGACCCTCAATTCTCATAGAAACCAAGAAGTTAGATATATTATTGTAAGACAAGATCTTCCACCAATCGAAGAAGATACAATCCAAAATGGTCATCGCTCATTAAGTTGATTGGGTAAAGACTGATGCAATCAGGCGCGAGCATGGCGCAAACATCGGCTAATTGGCAAGGCTTGTTTTCATTCACCAGACATCTTATCTTTGACTCACGCCGTTAAATATTTGCTTGGAACTTATCAGCCAGGCGTTCTTTAGACCGCTATAGCGTTCTTTCCAAATACTAGGATGATTTCGCCATCTCTTTATTAGGGGTCAATCCGTTCGCTGGCGTCGATGGCATCATGCAGATACTTGAGCACGAATTGTGTGCGACTTTCACGGGGGGTCTAGCTTATACCGTTACTTAGTTCATTTGATATATAAAGTGTTCGATCTCAATAACAATGGATAGTATTCAACCCGGTGCCGAAGTTGCAGTTTCGCATCCCTGCTTGTCTTGTCCTTGATTTTGGACCCGTACACCCAGGATAGCCATGGCATCGACACTTGCCAAAGAGCTTGGATCGGATTCTGAGCCTCAAAACAACAGTCATCAATACAAAGATGGTTCTGTGGTGACAACTCTTGCCGAGCCAGAGGAACAACGGGAATCCCTGTCGCTGTTTGGTGCGCTTTTCTCTCGGAAACGAAAGGTCGACCCGGACTCTATTGCGACAGTCCGAAGTGTGTTTGATGATCCCCAGTTGGCGCAATTTTACCAACCTTGTGCGGAATACGAGAATCTGCACAGATTCGATCCAGACGAAAGATGGACTCACCGTGAGGAGGTCTCGGTGCGCCGCAAAACTGATTGGAAGATTCTCTTGTGGATCCTTATCATGTTCTTTGGTCTCAATCTCGATCGAGGAAATCTGGGAAGTGCCGCGGCTGATAACCTGCTCGACGATCTAAAGATCACCACTAACGACTACAACAATGCGCAAAACATGTATCGTATCGGCTTCCTTATTGCTGAGATCCCATCTCAGATGCTTGGAAAGAGATTGGGACCAGATCGTTGGATTCCCTTTCAGATCATCTTGTGGAGTCTAGCATCCGGTGGCCAGTTCTTTATGCAGGGTCGCTCGAGCTTCTTCGCTTGCCGATTCTTGATTGGCCTGTTCATGGGTGGCTTCATCCCAGATTCAATCTTGTACCTTTCGTACTTCTACACCAAGACCGAAATGCCATTCCGTCTTGCATTGTTTTGGTTCACTGATTCCATGTCAGGTGTGGTTGCCTCATTTATCGCTTATGGTGTTCTGCACATGCGCGGTGTGGATGGCCGCGAAGGTTGGCGATGGCTGTTCCTCATCGAGGCACTCATTAGTCTCATGATAGGATTCCTCAGTTTCTTATTCTTGGTGCCGGGTCCAACCCAGACAAAGACTTGGTGGAACCCTAAGGGATACTTCACCGAAAAAGAAGAGAAGATCATTGTGAATAAGGTGTTGCGAGATGATCCGTCCAAGGGCGACATGCACAATCGCCAGGCCCTTTCTCTAAAAATGTTCTGGCAAAGTTTGATGGACTATGACCTGTGGCCGATCTATATCATTGGAATGATTTTCGAAATACCAAGTTCGCCACCGAAGAGCTATCTGACACTTTCACTCAAAGGGATTGGATTTAGCACCTTCGAGACTACTTTGTTGACAATTCCTGTCACTGTTTTCGCCTCCATTAATTTGCTTCTTATAACCGAGTTGTCTGAGCGTTTGCAACAAGTCTCTTTCGTCGGTCTTCTCGCTCAGATTTGGACCTTCCCACTTCTCATCGTCCTTTACACATCAGTTGGATCCCTGTCACACTGGAGCATGTATGCCGTTTCCTTCATCCTGGTGGGCTGGCCAAACCCTCAAGCAACACATGTTGGCTGGTGCTCACGCATCAGTAATACCGTGCGAACTCGAAGTATCAGTGCGGCGCTTTTCAATGTGACCATCCAACTTTCCGGAATTGCATCCTCAAACATCTACCGCGCAGATGATAAACCAAACTACCGTCGTGGAAACGGGCAACTCATCGCTGTCAACGTCGCTACTATGGTTGCCTATGTTCTAGCAAAGCTATACTACACGCGCAGGAACCAATGGAAGAAGGCTCAATGGGAAAAATTCACCCCAGAGGAAAAGGCAACTTATCTGAGCACTACTACCGATGAAGGAAACAAGCGATTGGACTTCCAGTTCCATAGCTGAGCACTATTCCCATGTGATATCTGCTACATCTATCTGTATTTAGGATTAGACCTCATTAGGGTGGTTTAATCTGTTCTCGTCATATTTAATATATCAGGGAGGAGGGGTACTTCTCGGAATCAAAAGCATCTTCGTATCTATGTTGCAAATCTACGCAAAGATTCCTGTTCACATAAATATACATGTCTATGCCTCAATCCTGCTATCAAGGAGAGGATCGCGCTCTGACGACCCTGGCTGATTCTCTGCAAATCGCTCCTGATACAGAGCAAAGTGCTGAAAGATAAAGATGACATCGAATAGGACGGTGATGTTGCCCAGCAGTAGTTTGGTGATGTTGCCGACGGCGCCCGACCAATCTCCTTGCATCGCAGAGTCCAGCACCAGCTGCATCAGTGACAGAATCGCACCGGACAGATCTAGCAGGATCGCCACGATGGAAAACCCCGCTGTTGACTGCCGCTGATAATTCATTACCGCCTGGGGTGTGTATTTGACGGCTGTCAGGAACACCTTGATCATGCCTACCACATAGACCTTACGCGAATATTTCAGTCAGTATATGTTGACTAGTAAATGAGTTCATCCGTTGTGTTTCCCTCTTACCACATCAATCCATTCCCATGATGCCAACACCAAAACGCAAAGAATAGCTAGGGGGACCATCCCCAGGCAGCCCCAAAAAACTACGAGAGCCAAGGTACTCGGTCGCTGCAGCTTAGAATCAAAGTTCCAGAACCGCACACAGAGGAAGTGGCTACAGATCCAGCAACATATCAGTGCTCCGTGCAGGGCATAGACGAAATCGTTCCATTGGACAGTCGGTTCAGGGCTTTGCGGATGTCGCTGGGCATACTGGGCGCGCACGACCGGCGAAAAGAGGAAGCAGGCGTTGGAAATGGTGTATGCCGACAATCCAAGCAAATTAAGCAGAGTGAAGTCAATGGAGAAGCCGTCTGTCGAGCGGCGGCGGTGGTTGTGCAGGACCTGGGGGTAGAATGACAGCGACCACAGGAAGAAATAGGCCCAGCCTAAAATTTGAGAGATGCTTTCTGTCCACGTGGCATTCATCATGGAGATGGATATGATTGTCAACAAGGACAGAATTGATCTCGATGGAGATTCAAGATCATCCGAATTCCAGGGTCTCGGAATAGACGCCGGAGTTCGGGGTATCCGGAGTTCAGCCTCAGCGATCCTCAGCGAGTCTCCACGGTGATCCATGGCATTAGCAGGATAACCAAGTATCGAGCGCATGTTGGACGAACGACAGTGGCAAAGTTTTTCACTATGATGTCCAGTAGCTCGAATGGGGGTTTGCTCTCCCTAGCTTTCCGTAGTCTATAGCATTCACAATAGCGGCAAAATGTGTAGATTGCTCTTTTTTTTTGTCATTCTGACCATTGCAAATATACGTATATATGGGTATTGTGTATCGTAAATTTCTTCGAGGTAATATCCATGGATAGGAATGAGTTTCAAGGTGTCTAAAGGTGATACCTGTTTGTACATTTATATATATGTAGCTAACAGTGTGATCAACATGTCATGTACAGGCAGGACATGCATCTCCCCGATTCATTAAGCCCTAAATCCTTTTTTTGTAAATAAATTATGGATACAACTAATACATATGAACTATAATACATATGGATAAAGCCTTTTTCGCTTCATTCTTTTTGCTTTCTCAGGTAGAGTTAGGGTTTTAACTCCGAGATATCGGACTTAGGTTCAGACCTCGGGATTGTTAGTCATCTGCTGCTGAGTCGGTCCAGGTTCGAGGTCATCGATCCCATAACATCAACATGGCGACATATAATCTTTGAGAATCAAGCACTGAGAATCGTTGACCAAGCCGGGTCTCAATAAAATGCAAAAATGAAGACGAAAGAGACCCCATGCAGGTGCCCAGAAACCCATCTCGATTGCTGCCGGCCACTACGATAATCATCTCCCTCAAGACTAAACCTTCCAAGAGGCTATGCAATACCAGACAAATGGATGCCTGTGGCAAGGATTCCGTTCACACAAGCAGGAAAAACGAATCATAAACACCTCGTTGAGAACGTGGAGATGATGTCGAGGGGGCTTATGACATCTGATCTGGCTGCAACATTTGTCAGCTCACCAGTTGCTCCCGGGATAAAACAACATCCATTTTAATGCGATTGAAAGCATCTGAAAGTGATCAACTTGGATTCTTGCACTCTGTAGTTGGTTGATATTCCCTTCGGGGGTGTCTACTCTCTCCATCTTGTTCCTATAGTATAGAGGTCGAGGCAGGCTTTTAAATAATTCATCAAATAGCATAGATTGATGAAGGAGGGTATGGCTCTTATTACAAGCAAACTTTCAATTACCCGGGTTATTGAATACCGGGACGAGGAATCCTCCAGGGCTTTCAATCTTGGAAGTGCATCGAAGAGAGGGAGTGCTCCATTTATCAGCACGATAAGAGTGGGCCAAAACGGGATTAGTGGAGAAAGCTTTCAGCCAATCAGAAAGAGACTCTATGCGTAGGAAGCCTTGTGTGGGGGCCTGAGCGCTCAGGCATTGATAGGGTTAAACCCTTTTGCCACAGTGCTGCTTGGAAATCAAGACCCGTGACCACAGCGAAATCGACCCTCTTTTCTCTTTCTCCTTCCGAACCCTCGACAACCACCGACAACCTATACCCAGTTCGCAGGAAGTGCCATCACCACCCTTCCAGCACTCAAAATGGCCCGTCGTCCCGCGAGATGCTACCGCTACTGCAAGAACAAGGTGCGTTCCGATTTCGATTTCGCGAGCTTTTGAAGATTTGTGCGGGTTATCTTTTGTGGTGGGGAGTGTGCATCAATACATCGTCAACGACCACCTCGCCATGACCGGAATATCACCTTTGCTATGGGGAGCGATCCTCGTAGCCTTGTGCTTGTGCATCTTTTGGATTTTTTTTTTTTTTAAGATGGGCGGTTTCGCTGACATCAGTGTTCAACTTCCAGCCTTACCCCAAGTCCCGGTTCAACCGTGGTGTTCCCGACCCTAAGATTCGTATCTTCGATCTTGGTCGTAAGAAGGCCAACGTGGATGACTTCCCCATGTGCATCCACTTGGTTTCCAACGAGTACGAGCAGCTGTCCTCCGAGGCTCTCGAGGCCGCCCGTATTTGCGCCAACAAGTACGTTACCCGATCTACTCCCACCTCTCTCGCCTGACATCCATGGACACAATCTCATAACTTTCAATAGGTACCTTGTCAAGATCGCCGGTAAGGAAGGTTTCCACCTGCGCGTCCGTGTGCACCCCTTCCACGTCGTCCGTATCAACAAGATGTTGTCTTGCGCTGGTGCCGATCGTCTGCAGACCGGTATGCGTGGTGCCTTCGGTAAGCCCCAGGGTCTCGTCGCCCGTGTGAACATTGGCCAGATCATTCTGTCCGTCCGCACCCGTGACGCCCACCGTGCTACCGCTCTCGAGGCCCTCCGCCGCTCTCAGTACAAGTTCCCCGGTCGCCAAAAGATCATTGTCTCCAAGAACTGGGGCTTCACCCCCGTCCGCCGCGAGGAGTACGTCCAGCTCCGCCAGGAGGGCAAGCTCCTCCAGGACGGTGCTTACGTTCAGTTCCTCCGTGGCCACGGTTCCGTTGAGAAGAACATGAAGCGCTTCCCTGTTGCCTACGAGAACGTCGCATAAATGTTGATGGGTTGATCAGAATATGAAGTTCAGAACGAAAAATACTTGAATGTTCTATTGTCTTTACCTTGTCCCATTCATCTTGATATTTCGTGCAATCGCAATGATGGAGTTCTTCCAGGGGTCTTTTCATTTGCTCGCTTATATTGCACTTGTAGATTGTTCATCTCCTAGCTAAAGTGAACACCCGTAAACTATGTAATCCCGTCGTTCCGACCCAGGAGTAGGTAATACTTGAGCTTTTCCGACCATGCACGTATCATGCGAAGTGCAATTGCTAAATGTCGATGATATATATCTACTAGCAGAAGTCTAGACCCAAGTCCATATTGGGCTTTGTTCAGAGCACAGATGGAATAGAGCTAGAATATGTCACATCACATCACGAAGACTGCAAAATCACCCATCCATCGCATGCTATTCTCCTTAGGACTGTATTGCTTGTTCCCCTCGAGTTTTAAACATTTATATCCAGGTGCATAATTCAAGGAGCTAGGTGTAATTCGATTGCAAGAAAAATCAGACTAACCCAACGTTAATCGTAGGTCTTCAATATATATAATGTCACACATCCTACATCTGCCATCAAAATTAGTACTAGGACCAGATCATATTTATGTTTACTAGCAGGAATACGATTCAAGATCAATCCTGATCCTTTTATTCATCCCACTATATCCGTGATTTCGAGAAACAAGACCACATGGACATCAAAGTATACATATCCTCCTTACTGGGGTGGGTCCCCACCACAACGTTCCTTGTGCAATTCTCCGGCAGCTAAAGGGAAATAATTAGCCCAAGTCTTACAAACAATTCGAATCTCGTGTGTGATTGATTCGGAATCGGAATTGGCGAGGAGGGTATACCTGTCAAGTCATCCGAGGTACAAGAATCCTTCAAACAGGTACCGAGTGCGTCCTTGAACGCTTCGCTTGGGCAAGTGCACTCGTAATCAACAGAGGAGACACATCCTGCCACAACAGAGGCTTCGCTGAGGCAGCGATTCTGTTCACAGTACGGAAAGGTGGTTAGTCTTCTGAGTCCAAATCATACACGCAGATAGGGACAACGTACAAGGCAGGGACTGGCATCATCCGAAGGACCAGCGATGGTCAATGACAGGAAAGCAGCCAGCGGGAAGAAGATAGTGAGCTTCATTTTGGGCTGATGTTGAACGTGGGCTTAGTAGTGGTATGGTGATAAGAGTCTTGGAGTATGAAAGTGGAGGAATTGATGAACACAGCGCCCTTGCTGGTTTTATCAATAGTCAATATATTTGCGGAGCACTAGGAGAGACAATGCATTCTTTACCATATCGGTATCTCATAATCAACAACCCGGTGTCTGGGTGATCTGTGGAATGAGATATCGTTGGAATGTGACCACCCAAGTTTTCGGAAATATCAAGGCTACAACGTTGGATAATATATTGAATACCACGTCTAACCATTGCTTAGAGATAATGAAACATTATTTTGACTATATTAAAGGTCCTAGGCAAATATTGAATTTTGTGATGTGACTCCTCGGGCACTCTTTGCTGGCCACTCAGTGATAGCTTTACAACCACGAGAAATTTCAATAAGTCATCACTTTGATTCGCCAAGATATCAGCCAATTTATTTGCGGCAGTACTATTGAATATAAAGCTCCCATGTAACTCCATATGTACGTATGTTGCGTTGTTGCTCGGAACGGGGCTATAACCAGCTCCACTACTAGATTTGGTATTGAAGCCTACATTGTACTTTAAGATTATTTGGTTAGTATTTCTCAATAATGCTGTTTTGTTGGCTAGAGATACCCATGGCAAGAAACCGAATGAAAGGAGCGGCCCACTGGTGCTACGCGTTCAAGAACAACTTGGGAACATCCATCCTTATAAAGAAATCACAATTTAGTCAGGTGCAGTGGCCTATTGGTAATGGGGTCCATTATGTATGACCCCCAAGAGCGATCGTATTGGATTCCTCTGAGTGTGGCTTGGACTTTAACGAGAAGATCAGCCCTAAACACAGGAACTTCCTGAGCTACCTAGGCGAATTCATAGTCTTCTTTCGATAGGGTGTACTCGGCACCGGTGTGGACAAGTCGGATCTTAATCAAAGAGCTATAAAGACTAGGCAGGCCACCAGAGACAAGCATTTTGGTCAATATTGATATGAATGAGAATGAGACAGTATGCCCACTTCCAGCCCCAGAAACTCCACGGGCTGGCACCTAGGTCATATGCCATGGGGTTGACTCCAAGTTGTTGATATAAAGGATGGTCTGAAAAGTGATCCGAGAAAAGAGAATGGAGGAAGGAGAAATGAAAAACTACGAAGTGAAAGCTGGTAATGTTAGAGATGGTGAAGTGGACAGCATGACAGCGTCAAGGCAGGCGTCATTGAAGATGCAGCAAGGTCTTGGGGTTTGGTTCTTGGATCCCAACATTGATCCCGCCAGTGTACTGTAAAGTCAGGAGGACTTCAAAGGTTCGAATAGAAATAACACCGTCAATCTCTTCCATTATTGCAGATTGCTCTTTCGCTTCTGCAAAGCCGCGGCCAAACATTTGACAAGATAAGAAGACCAATCCACGAGACCGGCTCTTGAGACCGTGTACTCCTTGGCAGAAGGATTAAGTAGGATCTTCACGAGAGGGTAGTCATGCGATTTCAAACGTGACGAATCAGAAATGGAAGAAAATGAAGATGAAGTAAAGTAAAGTATTGCAACGTGAAAGATGATGAACTGGGTGAACTCTTCGTAGTCAAGGTAGACGACACAAGAAGGAATAAGGTCACATAAATGTAGATAGACAACATAAACATAGTCAAGGCGGCTAGGGGTAAGAGGCGAGGGTGCGAGAGCCTTGGATATAATTATGCCTGGAATCTTTCCGTTTTTTTCTTCCTACGTACATAGGGCAAAAGAGGCGTGGACCTCTATAGAACCCGGCGCAAAGAATCTTCCATAGATAAGTATGTTCATAAGATCTCTTGCAAGTATAGCCCATTGAAGACAGTGCATACTGGTTATAAAGAGACGAAGTATATAAATAATGCCCGATGGCCGCTATTGTCGCTATTCCGAATTAGGACCCCGAGAGAAAATCCCTCGATAACTTTGATTGGTTGGGCTTGCGCAGTGCACCGCCCTTTGTTTCGCCTTGATGCAATATGTAAAGATGTCTAATAAAATTTCCTTTTTTCTTATTATACGTCATTTCTTCCTTAGATCTATACACGGGAAAATCCCAGTTTACTTTATAGAGCCCTACCAATTTACACATTCATGCGGTTTTCAGAGTCTATATACTATAGGTGAGTGGGGTAAGTAACTAGTTTTCTGCCAGGCAGTATTAACTCGCATGGTCGATTTCTTTGTACAGCTAGTTCCAGCCCCGCATACGTCACCCTCGAAAATCCCTTTTCTCTTCACAAACACAGCTATGAAGCAGAGATTCTCATCTTTGGACGTCAAGGTACCTTCAAATCTACCGCGAAGAAGATATATGCTAACAACTCCAGGTCATCACGCAGGAATTGGCGTCAGAGTGTGTCAACCTGCGAGTGTCCAACATCTACGACCTGTCCTCGGTACGCTCAATCCTTTTCTCTATTGCCATCGAAGGATACCGAACTGATTCAATATCCCTATTAGCGTATATTCCTTTTCAAACTCGCTAAGCCGGACCATCGACGCCAACTCATTATTGACTCCGGTTTTCGCACCCATGTCACCCAATATTCGCGAACCGCCGCAACCACACCGTCGCCCTTTGTGACCCGTCTCCGAAAGTACCTGAAGTCTCGTCGGATCACAGGCATCTCCCAAATCGGAACCGATCGCATCATCGACTTCTCTTTCAGCGATGGCGCATACCATATCTTCCTCGAATTCTTCGCCGGTGGTAACATTATCTTGACGGACCGCGAATACAACATTCTTGCTTTCTTCCGCCAAGTTGCCGCCGGTGTAGGCCAGGAAGAGATCAAGGCCGGACTCAAGTACACTGTGTCTAATAAACAGAACTATGATGGGGTTCCGGACATTACAGCGGATCGGGTTTTGCAAACACTGGAAAAGGCGCAGGGGGCTCTTGCCCAAGAGGGAAATGCGCCCAAAAAGTTTAAGAAGAAGGGAACGGATGTTTTGCGAAAGGCATTGTCACAAGGCTTTCCTGAATATCCTCCCTTGCTCCTAGACCACGTCTTTGCGATCAAGGAATTTGATACTACAACGCCACTGGATCAAGTCTTGGGGAGTCAAGATCTGTTGCAGGCCGTGAAGGAGGTGCTAGAAGAGTCACAACGAATTTCCAACACCTTTGACTCTGGCGACAGCCATCCGGGCTACATTGTTGCGAAAGAAGACACGCGACCCATCCCGGAAGGAGAGACTTCGTCAAAGGCCCCGGGTCTGCTGTATGAAGACTTCCACCCTTTCAAGCCTCGACAGTTCGAAAATAAACCAGGAATAAAGATTCTAGAGTTCGAGCGCTTCAATGCTACGGTCGACGAGTACTTCTCATCTCTTGAATCTCAGCGACTCGAGTCGCGATTGACAGAGCGCGAGGAGGCAGCCAAGAAAAAGCTCGAATCCGTGCGATCGGAGCACAAAAAGCGGATTGATGAGCTCAAGAATGTACAAGAGCTTCACATCCGTAAAGCGGATGCTATTCAGGACAATGTTTACCGAGTCCAGGAGGCAATGGATGCTGTCAATGGACTGGTGGCCCAGGGGATGGACTGGGGTGAGATTGCACGCCTGATTGAAATGGAACAGGATCGCGGCAATCCAGTGGCGCAGACCATCAAGCTGCCCTTGAAACTGTACGAAAACACGGTCACCCTACTTCTTGGAGAGGCTGGCGACGACGAGGATGAAGAGGAGTTCTCTAGCAGCGACGAATCAGACTCTGACTCGGAGAACGAAGCAGAGCAAGAGACAGGCCGCGCGGAACGTGAGTCTAAGCTATTGACCATTGACATTGACCTTGGTCTGAGCCCATGGGCGAACGCATCGCAATACTATGACCAGAAGAAGCAAGCCTCGGAGAAGGAACAAAGAACAACCCAGTCGTCTACGAAGGCATTGAAGAGTCACGAGAAGAAGGTGACGACTGACCTCAAGCGAGGGTTGAAGAAAGAGAAGCAAGTGCTTCGACAGGCTCGAACACCATTCTGGTTCGAGAAATTTATATTTTTCATTTCTTCAGAGGGTTACTTAGTCATAGGGTACGTGGCTCCATTCAACACTGTTTTATGACATTTACTAATCCTAGCAGTGCACGGGACGCCATGCAGAGCGAGTTACTCTACCGGCGTTATTTATCCAAGGGCGATATTTTTGTGCATGCTGACCTCGAAGGTGCGACGCCAATCGTGGTGAAGAACCGAGCCGGCAGTGCAGACGCACCAATTTCTCCAAGCACACTGTCTCAAGCCGGGAACCTTTGCGTCGCGACTTCAACTGCTTGGGAATCTAAGGCTGTCATGTCTGCTTGGTGGGCACATGCTCATCAGGTATCGAAAACGGCAGAAAACGGCAGCGGAATCATGCCTACGGGTGTTTTCCAAATCAAGGGAGAGAAGAACTTCTTGGCCCCATCGCAACTGGTGCTTGGATTTGGTATTATGTTCCAAGTCAGCCAGGAAAGCGTTCGGAACCACAAGCAGCGATTCGACACATCTGACGTTCCGCAAGCTGCTATAACTCCTGCAGATGAGACTGAGGCTTCTGAGCTAAAGGATTCTGTGGAGCCAGTAGCCTCGGAGCAGACACAGGCCACCGAAGAAACCACCACAGATGCCACCGAAAACGCAGAGAAGGAAGATGCGGGATCTGAAGAGGAGGATGAAGACGAGAAAGCCGCCACGAGGAACCCTCTCCAGCGAGGCAATTCCGACCCTCTGGCCTCTCAGCTAACTCAAGAATCAAACTCTGAGTCTGAGCCGGAAGAGGAGCCCAAAGATGAGCTGGAGCAAGAAGGTGCAGAAGATCAGCCGGAGGGAGAAGAAGCTACATCAATAGCAGGTCAAAACTCTGTACCTGAGCAAAATGGAGAATCGAACTTGAACGCCCGAGAGCGACGTACCTTGCGACAAGGCAAGCCTCTCGATCGTCCCGGCGAGGCAGAGCCAGCTGCACCCCGCATCGCCCCCACTCGT